GTAACGATACCACTATTTCTGTGTCTTCCCACTAGTAACGATAACACTATTTCTGTGTCTCCTGAATAGTAACGATACCACTATTTCTGTGGCTTCTCACTAGTAACGATATCACTATTTCTGTGTCTTCCTCAATAGTAACGTTATCACTATTTCTGTGTTTTCCTCTATAGTAACGTCATCACTTTTTCTGTGTTTTCCTCAATAGTAACGTTATCACTATTTCTGTGTCGTCCTCAATAGTAACGTTATCACTATTTCTGTGTTTTCCTCAATAGTAACGTTATCACTATTTCTGTGTCCAACCCAATAGTAACTTATCACTATCTCTTTGTCTCCTCAAAAGTAACGTCATCACTATTTCTGTAGGCGTCTTCCTCAATAGTGTCGTTTAAATAGTAATGTTATCACCATTTCGCCTAGTGAGTCTGCGCCCTGTGTGTTGGGGGAGGCAACCGCCGTGGTTTTACCATCGATAAATACGCCGCTACACACCCATATGCCAGAATTTTGTCCGACATCATGCTTTTCCTTTTGTAAGTATACCACAAACAAGTTGTTTTATTTTGAGAGAAAAAAATGTGAACATGTTTTCTTTTGATTCGTTGATGAAAAAATAAAATTGATTTCATATCATGAACCTTTCATGGGGCTAGTAAATTGTGAGAACTTGTTCCCAATCCCTTTGGCTATTCAGTGTCAATCAAATATGTTTGAATGAAAGAGTTGTGCCTCTGGTCTTTCCGTAATATTGGGAAGCACTTCTGAAACGGATAAACTTATGATAGGTCTGAGGAAGGGCGTTAACATGGATACTTTAACTACGTATATGGCACGAGATGCGATGACCTATTGAACTGATATTTGGAACAGTTAAAAGTTATGAATCAAGCACACGGTATCATACCTATTTTATTGAGTATTACAAATAAAAGACTATAGTGTTACAAATAAAAGACTTGTCTCCATATTACCGCTGTCTTCCGGCCTCTGGCTCACTCTCCGACTCATTTGATGACGTCACCATGCCAATATGTTAATGTATGTTTTAAAATTCTGTTTGGAAACGACTTCACATAAGTTGGATTTGTTGTCCCCAGCCCCCTTTCTAAATATTTTGAAATAAAATATTATTATCAATTTTAATCAAACATGATTTATTAATTTAAAATACATGTAGTGTCAATAGTTCAATAGAATTAACGGACGGATATCTGCTGAAATAGCAATGTTCATCAAAAGAAATCCATGTGTGAACTATACTACTTACTCCGAAAATGATATGTTTTGGATCTTAAATAGACACGAAAATTGGATATAAGACCATTGGCTATTTCTTTTACGGCCTTCCAGGAAACATCTCCTCGTGGTATCATCGGCCAAATTGATTTTTTCAATAAATTCGTTTATTACAACAATAACGAACGTCAATGATAGGATTTTATGAAATACACCACGAGAAGCTGTCAGTGTGTTACAAGAATAGCACTGTCGCAAGAATAGCACTGCAGTGCTAATGTCTATTAATTGTTTTAAAGATCTTGTATCTTGTTACACGTATGACGTAAATACGATGTAAGAAGCATTTCGTTTTACAGAAAATTCGCAAAACTAGAAAGAGGTGAAGTCATGATCGTCTTTCTACTATCCCAAAAAGTGTCTTTCTCCCTTTTAGTAATTTTATGAATGAGTTTTCCTCATCACTCTTTCGTGTGAATGTCCGGTCCAGTCAACTGAACTGCTAAGACCCTCAAAGTTGTAAATATATACTTAAGAACAAAAAAATATCTGGGGTGGCCGGATTTATCCTGCGGCCGAACTTGCCCCCGTCTCCTCTACGGAATATTCCAGTTGTAAATAGCTATACTGTCAAACAAAAGCTTGCTAGCTAGCACTTTATATTGTAAAACAATAAAAGTTAACGCTTTTGAAAATTGCAGTGGTTTTTTTTAAATCCTTTAAAACTTTCGTAAATATATCAAAACAATTAAAGCTGGTCCTTTGGTAAATACGTTGTAAAACACGTTTTTAAATGGACTATCGAGTATGCCTTTGAATATCTCCTTCTTTTATATTGCTCTATATATATTTTATTTCTTTGCTTTTGTTTATTTTTGAAGAATTTATTATTAGCTCTCAACAAGCGGATTTTTTAATGAATTTTGCTACTTTTTAAAAACTAATTAAAGTTACAAAAATAACTTGCAAGCTAACCAGACTAAAAGCATAATAAAGAAAGCGATAATATTATGATACTCGGACGAAAAGAGAGAAATGCTGGAGTCATAAACTTACAAAGTGAGCACTATATTTTAAAGAAAGATATAAATTATTATGTCAATCATGCAAAAAAAGTTTAATTTATCGGATACATTTCAGTATAGTCATCAGATAAACCAGGTATCCGGTTTCGTCCGGATAATTCCGTAATTTAGTTTGTAATATGATTTCATTACGATAAACAAGGCGGAACTAATATTAATGTTTAATCTTGATCATTTTATCTAATGAATGAATTTGATATGTATAATTATAAATGTGAGATTGTTTGGTTAATAGGTATCAATAAAGCTTAAACTTAATATTACGGTATTAAAAGTACATATAAATGGCCCGTTTGTTTTTATCTGCGTATCAATCCGAAAAATGTATCAACTGCTGCTTTTCATTCAATATGGTTGAAAGTCAGACGTCAGAATATCTAGTACCTATATCTGGTTGTGACATCTACCATATAATGGATGTGTGATTTTATACCTGATTCTGGAGATTTGAGGAGTCAGCCGTTTTTTCTTTGTCACAATGGCAGCAGTGCAAATTTTGCCTGCGTCTAGGAGCGAGCTGGATAGGTTCCTGGAAGGAGGAACACTGAGCAGCAAATTTCATGAGCTATTCGATATTGATATCGATGAGATATCCACTTCTAAGTACGGTTGTTTAGTAGTATTATCTGTGGTATTGAATCGATTACTTAAGTAGTATGCATCTTCTGAAATGATTATCCAATCACAATAGAAGTTATCAGGCTTTTGCAGTTTTGTATCTATTTCAAATGACATGTCCACTTTCATTCTATATAAAGTGTGTATTGAGTATGCTCCATAAATAGTCCTGACAGGCGGTTAACATTTAAGCTTCCTCCTTTAAAATGACTTACATGGTATTGTAAGCAAAAAATGTATCAATGATGCGTGCTTAAAAAGATACATTGTATTATACCAAAGTTTGCTAGAACAGCCTGCATACTTGTTTGCAGTATTCAGTTCCATGGACATATGATACTGGTTGCTGAACTATTCTCTCAGAGTACCTTTTCTTTCCACAGCACATAATTTTGTCCAAGACAAAGGCTGATGTGGTAAAAAGATATGGTTATAGAGAAAAACACGGATGTTTGTGGGGGGTGTAATTTTAAGAGACAACATCACTAATGCATAATAATCAAGCAACTTAAGTTTTACGATATTGTAAAATTAGAAAGATCTTGTTGAGTAGTCCTCGATCTGCCAAACTGTAGTCATGCATGTGAGATCAATTTGAAGGAAATTATGATACATATATATAGCATTTAGATCTGACATTGATGACAATATTAATGTAGCCGTCTAGTCGATGTCACTCATTGAAGGTTTTGAACTGCTTTGACTAGGAGTTGAACCAGAACTCTGTATATCACTAGTCCTGTGTTCAGATAAATAGATATGGAAGAAAATCCCATCTAGTTAAACATGAGCCTTAATGGATAGTATCATGGGCAGCATTAGTGTCTTTTAATTTATGTAAATGTTTGCAATAACTATCAGTAATTAGTAAACCTTTATTGATTAGATAAGCAATGGTTATTTCTCATATTAGATCATCTGTACAAAAAAAATCACTAGATAATTTTATTGTGAAGGTAATTAAATTTTATTTACATGATGCATATGGTAAAAGGGTCAACTTAACACTTGTTACAAGTTGCAATTATTTAACAGATTATAGTTGTGACAACTTCTGATGAAAAAATAAGACGATGAATTAGTTTTCAGATTTTAAGTGTATTATGCATTCAAAAATCTTTGTTCTGGAAAGAGATTTGATACAAAATCAATGCATTATATACAATTTATGTAATCAATGAATTGCATCAGAATGTAGTTCAGAACTAACTGATTATATTGTTATCAGTTGCATTAATAACCAATCACTACAGCATATACATGTGGTTAGTTTTATAGAGAGTTGTGCTTGCTAATAGATATCTACATTTAAATACTGTAACAAGTTATTGACAACAAAGTATTAATCATGTTGCATTAATTCATCTATTATGATATAAGATGTAATATTGGTTATGATTGTCATTTGATCATAAAAGTAAATGAAGTATATAATGTTAAAAAAAAAGTTATACAGAGTTTTAGTCTGTCAAATCACTTCTCAATATATTCATAATCTTTAATATTTTCTTTATTTTTTGCAGAAAGAAAAATGAAAAGAAAAAGGCAAAAAAGAAAGTAAAAACGAAAGGAAAAGAAAAGAAACAAAAGGTAATATATAAATATACATTTGTATGAATATGTGTGAACCAAAAACTTGTTTTGGGACTTTTATACAAAATTATTTCTTCCCTGTTACATGAATATATGTATGTGTATATTTATCCTATTCAGTAACAAAATATTTATACACAGTGAGACTAGATAGTGTGTTGCAGGAGTTTTCAAGTTTATATTTAGAATAAAGACCCACAGGCAGTTGTTTTGACAATAGAAGCCAAATCTATATTTTCACAGTAAATACTGAACATTTTCAGTATACATTACATAAATGTAGGAGCCTGGGCATCAACCTATAGGAATTTTACAACTAGCCCTGTGTTGACATAATCATGAACTTGTAAATTATTACACTTTAATTATTTATATAAATTGAGCTTTGAATAAGGTGTTATATCATTGCACTCTTAACAAATGTATGACAGACTGATGTGATGTAATGTTTAGAGAGACAAAAGTCCGGATAACACAGAGAACCAGGTGCCTAATTTGGATGTGAGTCTGAACCCATCCGTATTCAATGTGTACTCGGCCGTCCGTCAGGCCGTCCTTGAACGATGTATGAAAGAGGCAAGCCAGATCTATCATCAAAGCATCACTGCTCAATCAGACTCGGACAGCGATGATACTGGCGATGAAAAAAACAAGGAGTCTACCATAAAACTGCCAAAGGTTTGTACTGTAGTTTAGTGTCTATGCAGTATTATCTTTGGGACATTTCATCTGTATACTTTTACTAGGTACAGTACGATCAGTGATACAGTTTTTAGCTCACCTGGCACGAAGTGCCAAGTGAGCTTATGCCATGGCGTGGCGTCCGGCGTCAATATTTTACTTTAAACGACTTCTTCTTAATAACCGAAAGGCCTAGGGTGTCGATATTTGGCCAAAAGCAAACTTGGATAAAGGGCTACAAAGTTTGTTAAAATTAATGACCTTCCCCTATTTTCAATGTCACAGGGGTCAAATATGTCAAAAACTTTAATCATCTTCTTCTCAATACCCAAAGTGCCCAGGGAGATGATATTTGGCCATTAGCATGCTTGGGTGAAGGGCTACCAAGTTTGTTCAAATGTATGACCTTCAACTATATTCAAGGTCACAGGGGTCAATTGTGTTAAAAAACCTTTAAACAACTTCTTCTCAATAACCAAAATGCCCTGGGTGATGATAGTTGGCCAGTAGCATGCTGGGATGAAGGCCTACTAAGTTTGTTCAAATGAATGACCTTCACCCGTATTCAAGGTCACAGGGGTCAAATATGTTTAAAACTTTAAACAACTTCTTCTGAATAACCAAAATGCACAGGGTGATGATATTTGGCCAGTAGCATGCTGGGATGAAGGCCTACTAAGTTTGTTCAAATGAATGACCTTCACCCGTATTCAAGGTCACAGGGGTCAAATATGTTAAAAACTTGAAACAACTTTTTCTGAATAACCAAAATGCCCAGGGTGATGATATTTAGTCAGTAGCATACTAGGATCAAGGGCTACAAAGTTTGTTCAAATGCATGACCTTCACCCATATTCAAGGTCACAGGGGGCAAATATGTTTAAAAACTTTAAACAACTTCTTCTGAATAACCAAAATGCACAGGGTGATGATATTTGGCCAGTAGCATGCTGAGATAAAGGGCTACAAAGTTTGTTCAAATGAATGACCATTACCAAATATTAAAGGTCACAGGGGTCAAATATGTTTTAAACTTGAAACAACTTTTTCTGAATAACCAAAATGCCCAGGGTGATGATATTTGGCCAGTAGCTAGCTGAGATGAAGGGCTACAAAGTTTGTTTAAATGAATGACCTTCACCCATATCTAAGGTCACAGGGGTCAAATATGTTAAAAACTTTAAACAACTTCTGAAGAATAACCAAAATGCCCAGGGTAATGATATTTGGCCAGTAGCATGCTGAGATAAAGGGCTACAAAGTTGTTCAAATAAATGACCTTCATCTATATTCAAGGTCACAGGGGTCAAATATGTGAAAAACATTCAACAACTTCTTCTGAATAACCAAAATGCACAGGGTGATGATATTTGGCCAGTAGCATGCTGAGATGAAGGGCTACAAAGTTTGTTCAAATGCATGACCTTCACCCATATTCAAGGTCACAGGGGTCAAATATGTTAAAAACTTTAAACAACTTCTTCTGAATAACCAAAATGCCCAGGGTGATGATATTTAGTCAGTAGCATACTAGGATCAAGGGCTACCAAGTTTGTATAAATGTATGACCTTGAATCATATTCAAGGTCACAAGGAGCAAATATGTTCAAAATATTTCAACAACTTGTTCTGAATAACCAAAAGGCTCAGGATGTTGATATTTAGTCAGTAGCATATGCTGGGATCAAGGACTACTTTGTTTGTTCAAGTGAATGACTTTGACTTATATTCAAGGTCACAGGGGTCAAATTTGTTTAAAATCTTTAAACAACCTCTTCTGAATAACCATGGGTCCGAGGATGTTTATACTTTGCAAGTTGCATCCTGAGATGAAAGGCTATACAATGTGTTCAACATAATGACTTTGTTCAACTTTCAATCACAGGGGTGAAATGTTTAAAAAAAAAATAACAGGGTCTTTTGAATGAATTTTAATCATAAATACTGATATTTTGCCTGTAGCTTGATTTTAGATCACTTTTAAGGTTACAAGTGCGAGTTTTATACCAAGTGAGCGATGCAGGCCCATTGGGCCTCTTGTTCATGTTAAATTACATTATACATCTACCAACAAGAAATGCCCCCCGATTTAGACTTTCATTTTTACATGCTGGCCATGGTCATACATTATCATCATCTCAGCTAACCTGTAACTAGACAGGAAAACAGAAGATGTTTACATTATAACACAACGAATTGAATGAGACAAAGCATTGCTTGCACACTAAGAGACATTGATTGGTCGTGACCTCCAACTAACCAGCCAGTAAAGCACCATCAACTCATTGGCATCAAGATGAGTTAGCCCCTTATATGTAATATAATTATATCAATATAGGTACGATAGGTGTTTACATATCTTGAATAAAACATACAAATTTGTGTAATATTTCTGTCTCAGAGATAATTTTAATATATGTTATTTGATTGATGTTGTTGAGAGGTAAGCATTCACTTCAGTCCTGAACATGCAAGGGTATTTATTAGCTCACCTGGCCCGAAGCATATGGCATGGTGCGGCGTCCGGCGTCAGTCCGTCCGGCGTCAACTTTTTACTTTAAACAACTCCTTCTCAATAACCAAGAGGCCCAGGCTGATGATATTTGGCCAGTAGCATGCTGGGTCAAATGAATGATCTTGACCCACTTCCAAGGTCACAGGGGTCAAATATCTTAAAATCTGTGATATAATTAAATGTTATGTAAACATTTTCCTCTTTTTTCAAACAAATGAAAAACAATAAAGCACATGGCATCAATGTGTATTTGTGATAAATGAGGCAATACTTAATTGTGTCCCAGATTGTGACCTTTGGACTGAGTGGTCTATTTGAGCTAGTACGAGAGACACGCACCAAGTACCCAGAGCTATGTGTGCGGGCCCTGGAGGCCTTGCTCAACCTCCTACAGGGACAGCAACCGGAGAGTATGAAATTGGAGCCACCAGACATCATAGGTGAGTAAACATATATGTGTACAGACATGTCTCCTAGTGGGGCAACAATAAACTGATTCAATGTATATTAGGGTAGTGTGATTCAAGACTGTTTTAGTATTGTAGAGAGGCATAACCTATCAGAATGAGCAATAGTCATTGAATTGTTTGTATGCAAATTTTAAGAAGTGATAAGAATAAAACCTTTTAAATGATTGATCAGCGATGACTTGGCATTTCACCTAGTGTACAAATAGGTCTAGCTAACTTGATATCAATAGTTCAGACATGGTGGTAGGCGGTGGTGGAGGAACTCAGACATGAGTCTGTCATCTTATATAAATTTATAATTTATTGTGTATGTACATAGATGGACTATTCCAGCTCCTTATGGAGGTGGCCATGGTCGGGGGGTCAGACATGAGTCTGTCCTCTCTATATAACTGATTGTGTATGTACACAGATGGACTATTCCAGCTCCTTATGGAGGTTGCCATGGTTGTAACAGACATGAGTCTGTCCTCTCTATATAACTTATTGTGTTTGTACACAGATGGACTATTCCAGCTCCTTATGGAGGTGGCCATGGTTGGAGGGATTCAGACATGAGTCTGTCCTCTCTATATAACTTATTGTGTTTGTACACAGATGGACTATTCCAGCTCCTTATGGAGGTTGCCATGGTTGGAGGGACTCCGACATGAGTCTGTCCTCTCTATATAACTTATTGTGTTTGTACACAGATGGACTATTCCAGCTCCTTATGGAGGTGGCCATGGTTGGGGGGTCAGATTTGAGCCTGTCATCTCTGGCCTGCTCCTCCCTCATCTCGCTCACCGTGGCCCTGGGTGATACCGGCAAGCTGCTCACCGCCATCTCCTCAATGTTGATGAGTCCAGCTCCATTGGCCATGCAGAATGTTACGGTAATATCAACTAGCACCGTAACAGTATCACATAGTGACCATTGCTTCATTAAACACCTGCTCACTTCTACAGTGTTTATAACTTGTTTCTCACCTGTTTATAAATCTCCTCCAATTTACAATGTGTTGCCAGACTTCTCTATAACAACAAATATTCTGCTGGACAACTTGTAGAATAAATCACTCAGGATATTGTTGACGTTTGTAATCAGTAGTTCTTTAATTGATAAATTCAATTTCTTACAAAATATGTGATCAACAGCAAAGTAGTTAATTTGTATATTTAAAGAAAAAAAATAAAGTATCTGAAAAAAACTTGCTAAATAACAAAAGTTCTCGGTTGCACTGGAAACTGTATACAATATATTGTACAGTGGACTACATACATTTGGTACTGTGTTGGCCTCTTTTTACAAGTTTGATGTGTTGCTGTTATATGAAACAAGAATGGATACGTTATAACAGGGTTTTTTGGTGTCATTAGGTGCCAGGCATACTAACATCACTACAGAAGAGTGTTCAGGCTGTACTTCTGGGTAAGACCCAGCTACCCGACTGGTTTAATCAGGGCGTCAAGTCTGGGGGACTGATCGACACATTCACACTGGACAAAATTCACACCAATGATACAACAGGTGAGGACATCTAAGTTTGAAAACATACAAGTCAGAATAAGTATGTTGTAATATCTAAATAAAGGTGGCTCAAAACGCCTTACTGTTTCATAAAGGTGTTATGATAATCAAAATTTGTTACCTATAGTATATATGATAGGGGATTTGAATGATGGATCTTGTGTCACAAGCAAGCAGAAAACTTGAAATTGACTTCCTCTGTTATTTCTGTTTCAACAAGATAACTTGATAATGAATATATTTCTTGTAGGCGGAATAGACTGTGCAGTAGCATCTGACGGCAAGTTTTTGTACATATTGGACAACAGAAATGGAATCGCAAAAGTGGGAACAGGTTATGGAGATACAACTAAGGTAATGTGCGCTGGCTGTTACAGGTTCTAGTATTGATGTTGTGTGTCAAAGGGAATAATTGAACATTATATAAATATTTTACATGGAGTAAATGAAATCATATGTATTTATATATAAATTGGCATTGTTTGATTTTTCAGGGACACATTTATCTCCACAAAGAATTTTCAGTGCCCACGTCATGTGTGTGGCTTGCTTGTGCAGGGGTGAGTTTTTACATATTATTGTAAACTTCATACTTTTATGTAAAATATCAATAATTCTCCTCAAATAAAACCAATTTGTAACAGAATAAATCCTTATAATGCATTAAAAACACATAGTACATGAACTTCATAATTATGTTATTGCAAACAATATCAATACTTTCACAAGATGTCATATCCAGGTTATTAATGTTGGTTATTTTTCCTATATAGGATCAGCTGTTCTGTCGGTCAGATGAGAATGCACAACCCTGTCTGTGTACCATCAGTAAGGATGACCTATCCGTAATCAACTCCTGTAAACTGGATGGTAGGTGTAGTAGAAGATTTTAATTAATAAGTCTTTGTAGACCACCATTTATGTAATACATAGTAATGGGGGAAAGGATTTAAGATGCTCGGAACATTTATTCCAAAAAAACACAAATTTTGTTTATTTTTTTCATATTAAGTTCATATTTTCCTTTCCTGTGTATTTTCTTTTATACATTTTTACCATTAATTCTTATAATATTATACTCTCCTCCTTTAAATGATGTCACTAATTGAATAGTCTATTCCTGAATTTATGCTCACCCCTTTCCCCAAGAATCCCTTTTCTAACAGTATGAACAATAAGGAAAGGTAGTGTCCTCAGTTACGTGTGTGGTAGGTGTAGTATTGTATATCTTATTCACTATCAGAAGTGTGTAGAAAATTATAATTAATAAGTTACATTATAGTCTTTGTAGGCCACCGATTATGTAATAATAGTAGCATCCACAGTTATCTAGATAACATATAGGGTCTATTGTATGTTGTTTGAGTAAGACAAAGAAGCAGAAGTGGGTGATCTGTAGTAAGTGTTAGCTCGTCAGTCACAAGTAACTGTGAGCTAATGCTGTACACAGTGGTACATGTCCCACCTGAAAACATTTAAAGTTTGTTGAACAAATCTTTGAAATGCTTCTAACTCCGTAAGTTCCACACACTTCCTCTTTGGCAAATCCATTAATTTGGGATTTAAGTGTGTGATGAAATGACAGTTAAATGTTGAAATTGTTTGTAGTTAATCAAACTTTTACCATATTTTGGACTTTTGTTTTGCAGTAATACTTACTGATACAATTCCTGTGTTTGTATAATTTTGTATTTATTATTTAATTTTTAATACTTTTTTTTCTCTATTTCAATATGTTTCCAACTTTCTTTTAATAAGTGCTCAGCTAACAAAACTTGCAATTGATTCAGACTTCTATCATCTTGATGCTGCTTTATCTTTGACCTGCATTATCTCAGAATTGTTTTTGTCTTGCCACCACGAAGTAGCGGAAGAGAGACTATGGTGTTGCTTTTCCAGTGATGGCGGCAGCGTCAACATTAAGTTTTTGCGTTTAACTTAGGTTCACTGAAAGTATAAGTGCTAGACCAACCAAATTTGGACCATAGATGCATCTTAAGTTGTACATCGCAACCCATGCATCAACTGCTGGATGCGGCCTACCTTTCATGGCCCATTGACTTTGTCAGCATCTCCATCAACATTAAGTTCTTGCGTTTAATTAAAGTTAGTTTTCCTGAAACTAATTAGACCAACCAAACTTGACATGTGCATTGATGGTCAAAGCGGGGCAAGGGTGAAACATATCAATCTAAATGGCTTGGTAATATAACTTTTTGAAACTGCAAATCTAAATACATGTATTTTGCTATGGCTGTCACAGGTGAGCTTTTCTATTACTGATTGCACTTGTTTTTATGTGTTTCTAGGTAAGGGCCCTGGACCCAGTGCTTTGTTTAGTGACGGAGAAAACATTGGTCAGATCGCAGCAGCTAAAGACGTATGTATAACACCTAACTACTCAAAAGAAGAAAATTTTCGTATGAATGTATGGGTATATGCCTATCCATAAGGAATGATACTTATTCTCAAAACCAAGTATTTATTTGGAGAAAGTGAAAAAAGTAGGATATGCCACAGGTTTTACTTCAAAAAAGAAAAAAATATGCAAAATTTTCATAAAAAGTTTGTTCAATAAATGTTTGATTCAGTAAGTCATATCAGTTGTAGACTTTGTTTTCCGCCAATCAAGATGACAATGTAATGATGCAACAGATGTCACATTTAAATGATGTCAGGTTCCAGAATATATTTTTAACATGGTACTGAACATTTTTAAGAATTCCCTAGTCAAGATTTATAAAAAAGGGATAAGAGTGATCTTACTTGTACAGATATTGCACACATGCAGGACACATGTGTCTTGAATAGAATAAAATGCATAAATTTTACAATATCCTTCCATCCACAGCAAGACAGTTTTGTGGTGCGCCTGTACAACCCGAAGGTCAGTCCAATGACCGTGGCAGGAGAGCTGCCCCTAAAACTTACCCGCAAGTGTATGGATGTGTTCGGGACAGCCTCGTACGTCCAGATCACAGAAAGACACTCAATCAGTACGTAGTTAATTACATTGATACAACTTACCATCCAAGCTTGTTTGAGTGATAGCGTTTGAATCTAGAAATGAAAAAAATAATACAACCAAATTGACATTTAGAATTATCCACATACAGCATTTTAAGTATTAGATCTAGAGTAACTGAATAATTTGATATCGAGGTATGATAAAATAAAACAAAACTTAATAGAAGTTTATATTCCAAATAATGCTCTGGCATAATTTTTCAGATACTGCATATGATGAGGATTCTGTAGCAATTACAGGAGCAAAAGACTTTGCACTGATAAGAACTGTTGGTGGGAAGGTAAGGTTGTGAAATAAAGGAACTTGTGATTACCATTTCAGAGTTTTTGTGCCAATGACCTTGTAATTTTGTATACCAATTTTATAAAACAGTTTTCAAAATATGTTAATTTTGAGGAGTTTGTGAGGTAAACATCTAAACGCGAATTGGTTTTAGATATTGATATTTTAATTAATTGAGTTAAACATGTACTTGGTAACCTAGACATACAGTTGCACACTGTTTCAGAGGATACAGAAGAATTTTATAAAATGTGTTACAGGTGTTATACAGTGGGAAGTCTCAGTCCCTGGGCATCAAACAGGGAGCACCTGCCCAGGGTAAGTGGGCGGAGCTACCTATCACCAAGTCACCAAAGATTGTGCAGGTCGCCACGGGACACGAGGGCCAGCATGCCCTAATGGTGTCAGAAGATGGTAGCCTGTTCTTTGTTGGAACGCCACGACGTGGAGAGGATGGAGATACCAGCATGTGTAAGTGACTTGAGATGTAGTATCATTTGGAAGAAAGGGAATTAGAGTCTTCCCCAAAATGTTGTGTAACTCTCCTCTTTGTGCTCTTCGATTGGGCTCTATTTATACTATCATAAATGTGAAAATAGCATTAACTGTATCAATAAGATAAATAATTATTATGGTTTCATATTGTATTGAATTGCTGTAGTACCTATTAACCACAGCATCACAGATACGAAAACTTGCATTGTGGATCAAATCCTCTATCTTGTAATGTTACGCTGCTTTAGAAGACCAGTTTCTCATGTTGAATGATTTTTATGACTTTAAAATATTTAGATACAATAACTCAAAGAAATAGTATAAGGGATCTTAAATTTTCACCTTATAATATAAGGGATCTAAAATGTTTACCTACTTATTTTGGCAGCCAAAGGAAGACGCCAACCAAAGGCTGTAAAACCAAAGAAGTTGGTTCGGTTTGAGTCCAAGACTGTGATGCAGGCTGCTTGTAACAATGGCAGCAGTGCGTTTGTTACCAAGGAGGGTGAAGTGTACATGTTCGGGAAAGATTCGTCCTACTGTGACCATGCTAGTGGTAAGACTTACGAGCAATAATCTTTATAGCACAAGTATAGTCTTGGTGAAATGTTTTCACAAAATAGACTAATGTTAATTGTCTTGTGTGTTGGCATCCATGTCTATTAAATTACTCTAGAGCAATGTGAAAATGTTTTTAATTAAACACATTGTGTTTGCATAATCAGGCTGATCCTATATACTTGATGAATATTTTATAAGTTTTAAGACTGTCATTTTCATGTGGTGTGATTTATCTGACCATAATATGACATATAACTGACAATATTCCATGCAAATAGATCAGATTTTCAGTTCTGTTCCTATTACTTAATCATACAACAAGTGCATTATAGTTAAAGCTGTGTGTGATTTAGTAGTTCAGCTGTGTGTCTTCTACATCAGTGAAAATGTACAAGTGTTATTGTGCTTATTTGAAGGTCACGTGACGGACCTGAAGGACGTGGTTGTGACAAACATTTGCCTGGGGAAGGCCCACGCCATTGTACTTACCAACAAAGGTTTCATCTATAGCTTCGGTATCAACAACAAGGGTCAGTGTGGCCGTGATTTCCAGCCTGGTGGCTCCAAGGAAGGTTGGTCCACCTCATTTTCCAAAAAAACATTCTTCTTTTGTTGTTTTTGTCATCTCAAATGACTGCTCTAAATCTCAACTATTTGCCTCTTATCCTTCAAATATTTATAAGAATTCTATAGTTATTCTGCAAAAACATGATTCAAGCATGTGATATTGTTTGCTATTAACATAAATATTTAAATGTTAGATATTGTTTTTACTTGGTATTTTATAGTTTTTTCAATGTCCATTGTATGATATGCCTCCTGATATGAAATGTGATATATTGCACAGCTAGTAACAACGTGACAATGACTGAGGAGGAGGAGGAGACAGAACAGGAGGAGGCCATTTGTGGTGCAGGTAAATCATACATCTCATCACATATATCAGTTCAATTTTATTAAAATGCTATGGCTAGTCCCCTTTAGTAAATAAGAAAATTACCTAAATGTCTTAACGCAAACAATACTGCCATGGAACATAATCACTGACCTGAAACACACAATACTGCCATGGAACATAATCACTGATCTGAAACACACAATTCTGCCATGGAACATAATCACTGACCTGACACACACAATACTGCCATGGAACATAATCACTGATCTGAAACACACAATACTGCCATGGAACATAATCACTGATCTGAAACAAACAATACTGCCATGGAACATAATCACTGATCTGAAACACAACGACTAGTGCAATCTTTCATAATGATGTATCACTTTATAATTAAGAAGGAAATCAAAAAGAAAATGGAATAAACAGAACTTCATGTATTGGTTGTGGTGGGGAAATAGTCAAGCTATGAGGCATGTTGTTTAAGGAAATGTGTTAAAGAGTGCTTGATAACTTACTATGTAAATTTGATATTTCAGGGAGGCACAAGTGGAAGACAGACCTATGTATGGTGTGTTCTGTGTGTGGGGAATGTACAGGGTATGGTATTGCATGTGTTCACTCAGTACAGGGAGGCAGAAACCCTGGCATGTAAGTATTTTATCATATTTAATGTGTAATATTTTGAGAAGAGGCTATATAGCCTGTGGCAATTAAAAAAAACACCTCAAATAGCCAGATCTATATTTTCATAGGAAATATCTTGAAGATCACTAATCCCGTCAAATCTGTAATCCATATATATGCATGGAGTGACAGAATATTTCTGAATTGTCAAGTGAAATTTAGTGAGAGAAATCATTTTAGTTTCAAAATGTTTGAAATATTGTTTGTTGTGAAGAAAAAGAAATTAATCTTCAGTTTATTAGTTTTACTTTAAATCGGTTGTCAAGTGTTATAACAAAGTTGTGATACTATATTCATGATAGTTTGAGATTGACTGACATATTACTGTTATATTTCAGGCCGTGTGGTTGTGGGTCTGGAGACTCGGGTTGTAGTGAGTGCGGTATCTGTAAGATGTGTGCCGCTGAACAGAGCATGGATGAGGCCCAACAATTAGCTCACGTCCTCACAAAGAACAAGGACTTGGCCCAGTTGGACCTACTAGTTGGACCTAAAGGTAAAACACTTGCATGATATCAGACGTAACTGACAAAGCTCCTCTTGTAGATAGGACCTGATGGTAAACAAAAGTTTGATTTACAATGAATATTTTAATGTTGTCTTCAAATGTGATTATCTTGGATTCTTCACACCGTCCATAAATGCAACCAGTTTTTATTTTGAAACACCTTAAATTCAGAAACAAAACTTGCATGAATTTTGCTTAATATTGATAATACTACATTTGCATATTATGGACACTGTCCACTTAGTCAAGAAAATATAATGATTGTCAGATCGAGTGGAATACTTACGAGGCAGAGGCAGTGGTAGGTGGAATACATTCAGTAAATTTGTTGACTTAGGGAGGAAATGCTGACTGTATCACTCCTTTACATTTCAGGTGGTCGTAACCATGGTACCCCTTTGGAACAGTTCTTCAAGCGTCTCCTGGAACGACCGGCCAAACAACACCATCGGTCTGGTTCTAAATCATCAAACAATAAACAGAAAGGCAAATCACAGCGTAAGCCCTGTTTCTTACCAGTAAATTTCATTTTCATGAATTGTGACAATAATAAAAATTATATAAAAGCCACTTTTCAAAACTGACTTGACATGTTTAACAATGTTTTCATCAACAGCTGAAGTAGGAAGTGACCAGGAGACCGAGTATAATAAGGTGGTCAGTCTACCGCCTCTAGAGGTGACTGTCGGGGACGGAGACATACCAGTCACACAGATATCCTGTGGTCAACACCACACAGGTACATAACATTTCATACCAACAATACATTGTCTATGAGGAACATGATGATATATAGAAACATTTGTTGTTTCAATCAATACGAAAGTAAATCAAACAGAATCATTTCAAAATGTTAGAGTGAAATAATCTTAAAAGTCTTGATATTTACACTTAAATCGTGTTGGCTATCACTACATTTGAAAACTTTGACATTATAAAAATTGCTTCCATTTTCAATTATCTTTCCAAAAATGAGCTTCCTACGATACACTTATGGTCAACAGTACTGCCACCGACAATGTATGCAGTATAGAATAAAGATCACTTACTCAAGTGTGATGATTATTGTACCTTGACCTACAGCTATTGCTGTCTGCCCTTTCAGTTGTGTTGCTTCAGTCTGGAGAGGTTTATGCCTTTGGTAGTAACCAGTATGGTCAACTAGGGCAAGGAGATGTCACAGTCAGGTAAGTATTCCCATTAATTATGTTGTAACAATATTCCTGTAACAAAATTTATGAAGTTTCTATTACTGTTGCAATAAATGTTGCTTTTGGACGATAAATCTAGCTGAAAATCCAGTTCTAGTTCGGAAGGTTTTGTTCGCAAATTGTTCCAGTTTTGTAATGTTGCCTTAACATGTCCCTTCAAGATATTTCCTTTGATGTGTACTGTAAAATGTTTACTCTGCATATATTCCAGTTAAATTATGTTACCCTCAAAAATAAACTCAGGCTACATTCGCGTATCCCGGTTGAAACGGTACGTGTGGCGCAGAAATTTTCCACGATAAACGAACACACTTGGACCGTTCTATAAGCAGAGCTAAAAATCCACAGTTTCGGAGAATAAAAAACAGTGTTTCAAGAATACTATGATCTTCTTTCATCCGTCCATTGAATTACATAATGTATCTTAAAAACTACATGTGACTTGACATTGTTTTAGAAAGAAATAACGCAAACTGGCAATAGTCAGCATTTTAGTTTCGGTCAGGCACGTCTGGACCCCTCAATCTACACGTGCCAAATTTTCTTGAGGTCAGCCTTGGTCCAGATCTATACCTGTCGTTTTCTTTACAGGTTCAACCGGTTCAACCAGATACGCGAATGTACCCTAATGTTCCTGTGTCTCAGAAATCATGCCTTCTAACTATATAAGTTCTTAACTCTCTTCGAGATATTTTCTATGATTTTTACTTTGTCTTAATGACATGTTTACCCTATACTTTCCCACAGAGGTGTGCCAACGAAGGTCCACCTTCCACTGACCGCCACCCAGGTGGCTACAGGAGCCCATCACTCTGTTGTCTTACTCTCCAATGGTCAAGTTTACACATTCGGAAATTTCCAGGTATATTTTTTAAACTGTATTAGTATGAATTTATAATAAATTATGGTAATTTAAAAATAGCATTTTAAAGAAAAACTAAGTAACCTACTGACATTTATTGTATGTCCAATAAATGTTTAGAAGAAAAATGTCTTTGTGTTTTTAGAAAGGTGCCCTTGGTAGAGCAGGCCCTGACGAGGCAGGGGCCAAGACAAAGAAGGGGCTTTGGTATGCCCTTCCTGGACCAGTACCTGGCATCGGTGTGTAAACCATATTAATAGTGTTATGTTTAAGTGTACTATTATATGTTTTTGTAGAATATTTGTGACAACGTATATTTGAGTTAAGAAAATATCTTATTCATGGATCACCAATTTAAAACAAAATGGCAACAAAGGAAATGGGAAATTATGCTGTTTAAAATCTAGAAACAACAAGAAGGAAATTGGACAGTAGATAAGTGTCTTTAAGGGAGGAAAAACCTGTTCCGTCTAAAGAGGAAACAGCTGTTTCTTTTACATATAGGAAACACCACAGGCATCTTCTTACGAGACAACACTTGAGGGTTTTTTCATGTATTCTGAAAAAAATCACACATAATTTGATAAGAATAAATTTGTTTCGCTTTTAGGTGCCAGATATGGTCGGCGTGCGACCTGGATAAATGCCAGCGGAGACCAGACCTACATGAGGATTGATGAGTCACTCATCAACGCCCATATCTTAGCTTCCTCTAAAGTCTTCGCCAATACATCTTGTATCGGTAAGACATTGTAAAACTTCCTCTTAAAGTTTTGCCAAATATGGAATGGTAAACTGTTTAAATTGATAATTAATTTTTCAAAGGTTAAAATTATCTTGAAATGTGTTTTCAGCCACAAAAATTATTCTTGAATGTATTGTGTGGTTTATTAATTGTAATATCTGTAATTGTTTATTCCACAATATTTCAAGGACAGGAAATGCGTGTTGTGTTACCCAGTAGTAGAGAGATGTATAGAGTATCATTGCTTTGACAGGTTTGATTCCAATGGGAGAAGAGCATGCTGGAATTATGAAATGTCTGATGATCAGTAAAACTGATGGCAGCTGTCGCAGGTGAGTTGGATATGATTGAAACTTGATGATACTCTCATTTCAAGTGAGGTGAACATGATTTTTTGTTCAGTCTTTCAAACTAAAACTTTTATGTAGATAAACTCTCATTTCAGTTGAGATAGATTTGATTTAATTGGACACATATATGCAGTTATGCACCTCAGTCATGATGGTCACATTGATACAAACTGTCTCTGCCAGTGTAAGATGATGCAGCTCAGTGTTAATTGTTCTTGTGTTTGTCCATACAGCCTTGGAGGTCAAGACCAGGTGGATCTGTCCCAGGACTCTGTGTGTCTAGATCCTGTGTATGATGTGCTGTGGAGGTAAGTATATATATATATAGTAGATAATAAATTAACAAGTCCTTGCGAATCAATTTTGACCATATTTTGTACACACAACCGACTATAACCAAACGACTCCTTATTCAGACAACTGTAAACAGACCACGCCCAAAGTGCACGTACAGGTAGTTTAAAACAACATCGTTCAACAGATCAGGTGAATAACTAAACAATAGTCGAGTTATAATTATGACAATAAACAAACAACTAAGAGTGTTTGAAAATAATTGTCATTACACTCAGAACAAAAGATCGATGGAGACTTGTTGAAGTTCCCAACTTACGCGATTGTGTTTTCAGTAATTACCATGATTAAAGCTAACTTGTTTCGAAATATATTGTTGTTGAAATAATAGCTGTTCCCGTGTTGGTCCAACAGATGGGTTCACGTGTATTATTCCTTTATTTTACGATGGAATCTGGAAAGAGAAAACCTGACAGCATGTTAACGTAAAACAGACCGGTATTGTTGTCGTTAGTACTTTGGCGTTGAGAAGTTCAGGGATGTTATTAAAGGCATTTAATATTGATGAGGAATTAGAAATGATATGTATGCTAACATAAACATATTAAGTGTGCAGTTGCAGTGATATTTAATGATTATTTTGTACGAGAGTGCTGTCGTGAACATCTCTCAACAGACCCGATTTCAAGAATGAAAATCTGCCAGTGTACTTTATCCAATCAGATTGAGGATATCGTAGGGTTAAAGGTTTCATTGCCTAGCAGGACACTCCTGCAATCAAAATGGTTTTGCTCAGCTGCGATAAATATTGGTCGGTATTTTCACTGCTAAATCAATATCAGCAGTTAGAAAAAATTACTTTTTACTTGTTTTGCACATCAATGAATTTATTTAAGTTTGGAAAATTTTTTTGTTTTCAAATTTGTTCATTGAACTTGGTAAAAAGATCTTGAATTAGCCCTTCGTCAAATGTGGTGATGGTCGCAAATTTGAAGGTTACACAACTATTTCAACGATCGTCTGGTATATTTTTGGCAAACATGGTCGCTAAAATGTATCACATGTGGTCGTTGAACGTAATTTTGGGGTCATTTTGGGTGATCGCTGGTCGCGTTAGACAGATGGTCGCTTAATACAGTTAAATTACATAGTAAAAACGGTCGGGAGGAATGAAAAGTGGTCGCATAAAACAGATGGTCGTTTAATACAGATGGTCGCTTAAGCAGATTTGACTGTATATACTTATAGCATTGATTTGTGATTAAGTCAGTGGCTTCATGTTTAAGCTTGTTTATCAAACTTATGTATTGTTTTATTGATTTTGAATTAGGAATTATAGAAGATTTTGATTATGCAACCGTGATATTCTAGTAAATTGTGCATTATTCGTTAAAATTTGCAGTTACTCGCCAACAAAACAGGAGGTGGCCTGCTACAATGTGATGGCCTCAGAGGCACGGCCGCTCAAGTCTCAAGTTCAGATGGCCAGCATCCACGATTTATTCAAGCCAGAGATTTCTGTACCTGTTAGGATGGGTTATCAGGCAACACGTTCTCACTGTGCCCTCCACTTACTAGGTAAACCTCAACTGGAATGAGGTCCCTGATATTGATTTGAATGACATTTTAGATAAACAATAATACAATCTAAATTTTATCACTAGTTCAAATCAGGATAAGTTTATGAAAATAAACACATTTGATCCTTCGTTTTTCTTTTTAATGAAAATTATTTCTCATAATTAGCAAAACTGTTTTGACAATTATAATGTTGAAGGGCAGAAGTGAAGTAATCAAACACACTATTAGATATAAAAAAACCACATTCCAATGGAAGGATTAATTTCTCGTGTTTGTGTGTCAGGCTGTCTGGACACACTGACCTCGGCCCAGCTGTCCAATCTTACTGTAATGGAGGAGACCAAAGAGAAGATGACCGCCTCCAAAGTCTACTGCAAGGAGGACTTCTCAGTGGTCAACAGGTTTGAAAGTAAGTACAGCCATTACCCTTATTCAACTATCTTACTTAAAAAAATTAATGACAGTAACATTGTGCATGCAATTAGATTCAGAAACAAGCAAAAGTTGAAATTATCAGCTGAAATAAGAACATGATATCTTTTAAAGGTTGGACATTTTGTATGGTGAATATATTTGTTTCAGGCCATGGAGGAGGATGGGGCTATTCTGGTCACTCTGTAGAGGCTATCCGCTTCATGGTGGACACAGACATCATCCTTGGAGGCTATGGACTCTTCGGTGGCCGTGGGGAGTACTATGGTCGCATCAAGGTCAGTGGAAGGTCACTGGTCAATTACAGGCTTCTCTCACTATTTCCATGATTGTTTACTTTTGAGATCAGCCCTAGTTGTTTGTTTACGAGACCAATTGTGAGAATTACATATTTCATGATAACATGCTGATTATAACACTGATTTTCAGTTCACCACCAAAATAGTCGCACAATCCTTGATGTTGTAGTTGTTTGAGTTGGGTCCAGATGGAGGCGAGAATGAGTCTCAGGATGGAGAACTGCTGGCCGAGACAGAGGAAATGGCATTTGAGTGTGGAGCTAGGTATGTTGTTAAAAAGTTATGTTAAAAGTTATTAAAATTTGAGATAGAGATGATTTTGCAAGAAAGTGCAAAATACATTATGACACTTAAAATGCAAGCATATTTAACCTGTTGAGGATAGATGTATGGTGTGCATATAGGCATCTTGTTGATATTTATGGAAAAGTTTTCCAGTAATTGAATATATAGAGATTATCTGAGAGAGGTCTGAATATGTATAACTTGTTTGAATATTAATATTTGTTTATGTGAAAAAAGGGAAAAAATTATAGTAAAGAGGTGAGACAGTCACAAAGAAATACAGCTTCAGATGACTTTAAAAAATACCAAAGGAGATCAGAGTTACTTGTACCATGCAAGTTATAACACATCTGAGTAGACCATTTAATGCCAACTTCTGTACGCTGGCTTTATAATCGTCTGGTCCCGTGTTTTAAGCAGTGATTATGTTCCAGGGAGAAGTTTGCCATGGTGTTTGAGGAGCCTGTGACTCTCCAGGCCAACAGTTGGTATGTGGCATGGGCGAGGATCTCCGGTCCTAGCAGTGACTGTGGCTCCACAGGCCAGTCTGTCGTGACCACCGACGACCAGTTAGTAGTCTCAATTGGGTTGGGCAGGCTTCAAGTTCAAATAAATAATGAAGCTATTGAAATCACATTTGAATGTTTGACTTAGTGATATGTAGGGTTGAGGTAGACTTTGGATGGTGCTCATCTTAAGGGATGAAAGTGGACTGATCTATAGAGATAAAGGTGTATATGGTGAAAGCTTATAATACAAGACCTGTGATAATTTCTTGCTAATGAATTATGAAATTTTCAATTATTATTTTGTTGTATTTGTAAACATTATGTAAATATTCTACTTTCCTGTTGTAGAGTTGTATTTAAGTTCAGAAGTTCTCGTAAGTCTAATAACGGAACAGATGTCAATGCTGGTCAAATTCCACAGTTGCTGTACAGGTAAATAGTGTGCATTTTGGGGAGTAACATACTTCAAATGAAAACGAAAATAAATAGCTCTGCCAGCTGTTGACTGTTGTATAACATTTGAAATTAGCTGTCTTGCATGGACTTGTTTAATAGAACATCAGATTGTTTTCTAGAGCGGTGGTGTTGCGTTTTCTGACTTAAATATTTTTTTCATGGATCAATTCTACATTTATACATTTTTTGAGGTATTGAAATGAATTTAGTATTGGTTTTACTTTTCAATGAGCTTCCTAATTGAAAATAAACAAATCTAAATATTTAAATCCTGTTTATAATTTCACCAGACTGCCCTCGAGAGACAGCCCTGGAGCCGTGAGGAAGGTTGACCACACAGAGCCAGCCCATGTCCTTAGTCCCGACTTTGCCTGCTCTGTTACACCAGTAAGTTTACTCCGTCACTAAAATATCAATTCTCCAGTTATCCCACTTTGTCAGAACTCAAATAGCTGAGGTGTGATAAGTATACAAGGGGCAGGATCAGACATGTTCCTATAAATTATATTACCACCCTATAAAGTTTGACATCCAAGATACAATGATTAATATATTAAACTAAATAGATAAATACATCCACATATCAAATTATTCTAATCAGCAGATGTTAGAATGTTAAATCATCACTTTTAGAAATGTTCAATGATATTCAGAATTTCTGTATGACAAAGCACTGTTTTTGTGTTTACAGGAGAACTTTGAGGCACTGCTGAAGCTGTTACAGTGGAGCTGGAACACCTTCCACTCCTCTCTTGGAGAAATGGATGGCCTAAAGGGAGACAACTACATGGCTGCCCTTTCAGACTTACGACGGGTGGAATACATCTGTAAGGCTAGCCTTTGTCTCCTACGGATCTATGTCACACAGATTTACCCGGATGGAAGTAAGTAATCATCTCACAGTCTGTCTCACTAGACAACCACCCTTTAGAAAACTATTTTAAAAAAATAGATAAGTTGTCTTAAGTATTTGTAGCATGCAGTTTTTAACTTTTGGAAAAACTGTCATGCCTATATCATATGTAAATTTGAAACAGATCCTTTCAGAGAGCCATTTGTGAGAAATCACCATTTTTAGCTGCTTTGACTTTATCACATGGAAAAATATATTCAAGAATTGCTCTTTATTAAACACTAAAACATCTTTGAACTATGAAAAACACCATATTTTATGATGAATTTGATCATCTCTTCAATAAGTTGTATTTAAGTTTAGGAAGGTATAAGGTCAGGTCAGTGAAGTAAAGGCCATACAGCTCTTGTTCCTGCCATATTTATCCTGTACTCTCTCTCCCCACCAGACAAGCTTCAGAAGGGGATGCCAGAATCCACAAAGCTAGCCCACTGTGTAGGCGACACACAGGACCTACTGCGGCGTATCCTGGCTGAGGAAGTCCGTCCCACAAAAGTACATATGTACCTATCGGAGCCTCCAGGCAAGGCGTTTGAGGAGCTAGAGGAAGAGATCCTATTGGAGTGTCACAGGACATTCCGTGCCTGTTTTCATGCCTTCTACCCCACTGGTAACCTCAAGTGGCTGTGTCTATGTGACCTCCTCAACCAGCTAGAACCGGTCAGTACCACAAACGAGGAAGCACCTAATGAACAAGCTAGGGAAGACTTGGTCATGTTCAGACAACAATCTGAAGACATATCGTTTGCTTGTTGACTATATGTATTTTTCTATCAATTAAATGTAAAAAAAAAATCCCTTTCCAAAATCAAAGCTACATACAAAATACAAGTGTGTCAGATTTTCTGTTTGTGCTTTGGTCTTAGTTTGGATCAAACATTAGTTTTATGATTGCGCCCATAATGATTTCTGTTTTTATGTTAATGAACTAACCATTGACATTTTTCACTTTGTTTCCTTTTCTGCTCTTAAACAGACGTCTTCAAATTTCCCTGGCATGAATATAAAACAACAGGAACATTTGCACTAGTTAGTCAGCTTCAATAACTAGTTCTTATAATTATAACTTTGCTGCAATGGTAACAGAAAATGGTATATGTTCATGCTGATTGCCCATTTACATATTTTTCAACTTCATGGTTAGGACATGATGAATGTGAATGGTTACGGCCGACTGCTGGCAGCTGTAATGGAGGCCATGTGCCACCCAACAATCCGCCTCACCAATATAATGCCCATCAACTGTGAGCCACAAACAGAGGAGATTCTGCGTCGACAATCTGTCATAATGGACGACAATACCAACAGTATGGCTCGCCTGGGCGAGGTCCACAAATTCCCTATCCTTGTTGGCCACATGACCTACCGCATTGAGGTCAGTTGTTTTCCATTTACTTGGTAATATCCTTCAGTATTGAAAATAGATTGAAGAGTCAAAGATCTATTCATTAAAAGTATGTCATTAGCAAGATATGAAGAAAAAACCCAATTAGATTCCACACTTTGAAAGTTTCTTCACCAAAATTTGATATCAATGTGGCTGTTTGACTAAGAAAACATGAAAATGCTTAAAAGAAAAAGAAAATTATTTATAGAGCGGGCAACAAATCTATTTCAACAAAATACCAAAGCACCATGAGCTATAATGACCAACACGGGAACTTGTCTGTTGTAGATGTCTGGTATTGGTGGTACTCACGTGACATTCAAGGAAATACTGGACAAGCTGCTGCTGATTGTGATGTTACCGGTGAGACAGGCGCTGAGTAGTGACATGTCTCTCTACCCCACAGTACTGGTGGGCAATACATGTTCTCTACTCTCTACCATCGTCAGCGAACTGTCTGCCACAGCCACTGGGCTTGAGGTAGGTCAAGTCACACAGCACTTCACTGAGATTGTGTGTATGCTCACTCCAGGTACTGAGCAATTTAAAGTAGGCATTTCTAAAGTTAAGCAGCTTCGATGTATTGAAAATTCAAAAAGGTTTCACAGTTAGTGACAATTTTCGTTTTGTCTGCTGGCAGAGATGTACTGGTTTGCAAGTCAAGTGATGTATCGAGTACTGAATCTATCATAGTAATTGTTTTTAGTTTAAATAATGAACTTGTATTTCTTTGAATTATTGAAATTATTGTTTCAAAGTTTTTAAAGGTTCTAGTAACGCAGTTTGGAAGAAATAGTTTTCATTGTAATAATATGTGCGCACATTTTACACATTAAGACATTTAAACTTCGTTATCCCAGATGGATCTCGGCACAACAACGCGCCCCCTGTTGGTGACCCCAAACAGGTTCACTCGCACGAGTCAGAGTGCGTACTGGAACACTGGGAATGGCAGTCCGGATGCTATTTCCTTCAGTGTGGACAAGCCTGGCATTGTGATAGCTGGAGTGTGTGTCTACGGAGGGGAGGGGCGCTATGAGTATGAACTGGAATTACTTGATGATGTGAGTACATACACTGTATTGTTGTATTAGGCATCTCAAGCACTGTGATTATGTGTGATGTTATTAACAGGGTGGGATTAATGTGCATGCCATATGCTGGAATTATTGTCTTAATAGCGCTTTTAAAGACTTTGTAACCGTTTGATTATGGTGTTAATACAGCTGAACACATTTATTATGATGGCTATTTGAAACGGCCCCATCGTCTGCAAACACTGTCATTATATGACCTTAGCTGCCCACCGTCGATTTACACCATCAACACATGAACGCCACTGTTACAAAGACATTAAACCCAAACTAAACAAACAGAGAGAAGTTAGGAGGCTGTTTTCACAAAAATATTGCTAGTTTTATGATAAATCTGTTGATTTTTCTTTGTATTTTTACAGAGTGATGGTCCCACAGATACCAACCATGCTCAGCGGTGGCGAAGCATAGAGTTTGTCAAGGGTACCTACAGTCCTGAGGACTGTGTCAATGACATTGCTGAAATCAAGTTTGACCGCCCTGTCTCAATCAAGGTATGTGCAAGTAACCAGTATGATCCACTACAGTGCTAAGTATGTACTATCGATACACATACAATTTGTATGTACAGTCAATACACATACATACGGGTTGCTAAGGAAATCCGCCATCTTGGATATGTTGCTATGCAGTGGATCCAAGATGGCGGCCTTAGCAACGCCCCCCTCCCTCGTCTATTCATCATGACACCATCGGTCATAGTGTATGGCTTGCTTACTTTTAGGAAGGAGTGAAGTATACAATCAGACTGCGTAACCATGGAGCCCGGACACTGAATGGGGACAATGGTATTAACAAGGTCAAGTGTCCTGATGGAACGACCTTCAACTTTGCTGCCTGTTCACTCAGTAGTAATGGAACTAACCACATGCGAGGACAGATACCACAGATCCTGTACTACAGGTACGCCTCATGATCCGGCTCATAAAAAAAACTCATAAGATAACTTGGTTATCTGTTTTAACCAAACCTTCAACTGCCTGTTCAGTTTAAAAACCTTTCTATTATAAATCATGTTCCATAGTGTCGGGGGTTTCAACAACTTTTGCTACATGTAGTTGAGACCCGCTGACAGTGATTTGTATATGTTTTGTACATTAAGAGCTACCCTTGACTCCAGGTGTAAATGTGTTTTGCATATGTGTTCAGTGCCCCACAGGATGGAGAGTCCTATCAACAGAACAGTAAGAGTCTGGCCGAGCTCCAGGCTCGTAAGAATGCTATTGATATAGTGGCCGCCATCTGTAGGGCTACAACAGATATCCTACATCGTGCCAACAGTCTGCCTGGTATGTATATGATACAAATATTTTTATCTCTGCGTAGCCTTTCCTTCCGCCCCACTTCAGGTCAATGTAAACCTGAGATAACTTGGGGTAAATCAGTAAAAATGAGTAAATAATACCATAAGAGTAAAACTCAAATAACAACAATTCCTTAAAGTGTTATTGTACACTACTCATTAGCAATAGAATCAACTTATTGACACGTATTATCTTAAAAGCCAATGAAAAATTAAAGATTTACATACAAAAAATGCCATAAATCATTTATATGAAGCTATTATGACAGCACTGCTCCAGTCTGAGATTGACTTTTATAGTGTTTTTGAAATAATCCCCGGTGTTTGAAAATTGATGACATTTAATTTGATGATGGTAGAACCCTGTGTTTGTGTTTTACAGTGGAGGAGTCTGGATCAATCCTCGGTAACTCCCACCTGTTCTGTTCTCTGCTGCCACTTATCTTGGCCTACATTGGACCAGTAGCCTCTCAGGACCCAGTGGTGAGTGTGTGAACAGTATAAATAATCGGTCTAAAGGTACTACATGAGGTACGCTGTGTGAGTGTTCTTTGCTAAAATGTAGTTTTGATTTGCTGTTTATGATGTTTTCACATTATAAACACTCATAAACAGCATATCAAAACCAGTAGAGGTTATATACAGGGATATATATTCATTTGGTCCTCTGTTTTCTGTAGAAGTCGTATTGGGAGACATTTATGCTGTCTGTAGTGATAGGCTGTGATTTCACCAAGTAGTGTTTAATTGAAATACCATCATTTCACCTAGTTCACAAAATCACGCTGACAGATTATCATTACAACATGACAAATGTATCAATATTGCCTCGGGTGTTTAGTAGAGTTATAAATAACTTGACATCGTACAGGCTGGGAATCTACCATCACTAAAATTATGCACAACTTTTACATATTTAACCAATTCACCAGTCCACATTGAAACACTATGAGAAACACACATGTATGCTTCCTCATTTGATGTATAATTTGTAGGGAGCCGTACAAGTGCTAGGTATGATACAGGAGATTCTGCCCGCCCTCACCAGCATCAACAGTAAAGTATCCCCACCCCTACCCTCCATCGATGGGGGCTTGGAGACCAATGGGAGCACAACCTCACATCACTATGCTGTGGTGGAAAGTGACCATCCCTATAAACCAGCTACTGTAGCTAACTACAAGGTAGGTAGCACTAAGCAGATGTTAACAAGTCTACCAAAAAATGGTAATCGTAATGGAAGAAAAAATTCTTAATTATTTTCTGTGAATTTAGATTTGGAAATCTGTGCTACATCAGCTATCATGTAGACTTAATGTTAATCTGATATACATGATTTTAATCAACAAAGCATTTAATGCACAAAATTCTACAAATTTATTTCTGAAAGGATCATGGCAGTGTGCTTTATCTAGTATATGTTACTAAGCAGCATAATTACTTGAATTTAAAACAGTGAGCAAATTGTTTTCGACAATAGCATGCTTTTAAAAGAAAATGATCATCATGCCTGGTAAGATAAAACAGCCTTGCAGAACACTGATTATTTGAACACGTAACTTAAGGTCATATTCCCCGAGTCTGTCAACTGGATGGTGTTGGAGTTTGACCCCCTGTGTGGCACGGCCCAGGCTGAGGATACACTTCAGCTGTTTATTCCCAGCAGCCTCAACTCCAATGAGGTCACCACCAGTATTACCAAAGAAATGGATGAACTACCCTTAAAACAAAACTACAGTCCCCTCAGAAAAAAATTCTCAGGGGGAGACAACTGGCCTAAGAATGCAATCATTCTTCCAGGTAAATGAACTGTGTGATATTAAATTAAAGTATATATTGCTGTGTTTATTCCTGTACATGACTTGTAGATTATATAATACCTAATGAACTGTATGTTCCGTGGACAAGAGAAACAGAAGAAATGCATGTGTAACACAAACATGCTGGATGAAATAAAATATTAAATGTCCTTAAGGATAGGAAATTGGAAGTGCAGTTTACAAAATTAAGTATCAGTAATATATATGCAAGACCACACACTTGTGTTTTTTACCGAATCAGAAAGCACGAGTTTATTGCAAGGACGAATATATACGTCCGCGCAATAAATGAGTGCTTTCTGATTCGTTTGAAAACCCCAAGTGTGTGGTCTTGCTTTTATCACATACCTTCTGTATTTGGTAGAGATCGATACAAAGATTTTATAAACTTTGATATTTTTTGCAAATACTGGGAACTTTTCAGTTTGCCATGACAACGGGATTCCCATAAAAAGTAGTTCCGGCTAGTAGGTAAATACAACATTCCGTCTTGCACATGTGCAATACAGAACGTTGTATTTTATGGTCTGAAAATTGCTTGTATTACTACAACAAGATTCAACAGGTATGTGATAAAAAGTGATTATTTCGAATTGTTTCCAAATGCAGAAGCAAAAGCGTTATTTCTGATGGCGTTATGGCGTTATTTCTAATGGCGTTATTTAAACTTGAGGAGTTTAAAACAAACATGTAATTAATGTATTTGATGTGTTTTTGCTTCACAGGTTGTGAAGTAGTGTTTTCTTTAGAGACAGCATCAGATTACATCAAGGACGAGAAGTCTTGTTTCTATGGCTTTAAGTGCTGTATTGTCGGATATGAATGGAATTCCAAACCTTCAGAGGTAATTGTCATTTTGAGTTTAATAAAATACATTTTTGCTAAACTTTCTGTATTTTGAACAAAAGAAACTTTGGTCTATGTAATGGTCAGAGAAGTGTTTTCACTGAACCTATAATAGATCCTCATTCATGTAGTAAAGTTGAAAAGGAGAATTTATGTTGTTTTGCTATCAATTGGAAATAAAGAAACTGAAAGAACTATGTATACTGAATACAAAACTTAATATCTAAATGTCCTTTATATGATTCAGTATTTCTTAACAGTAATGTAATTGCACTTAATTAGGATCAATGCCGTGCTGCTGTGTTCAAACTGTGTGTGTATACAGACAATACTGTGCTGATATCTAGCGTGTAACATAGCTATATAGAGTATGTGTTGTGTTGTATTGTAGAGTCCAGTAATGATATGTGGATAGTCTGTGTTTGTGTTGTGTTATATGTTACAGACAATACTGTGCTGATATCTAGAGTGTAACATAGCTATATAGAGTATGTGTTGTGTTGTATTGTAGAGTCCAGTAGTGATATGTGGATAGTCTGTGTTTGTGTTGTGTTATTGAGTACAGGACAATTTGATAGTGTGTGTGTTGTCCTAATACTGATATTATGGACAGTCTGATATAGTGTGTGTGTTGTCCTAATACTGATAATATTATGGACAGTCTGATATAGTGTGTGTGTTGTCCTAATACTGATATATGGACAGTCTGATATAGTGTGTGTGTTGTCCTAATACTGATATATGGACAGTCTGATATAGTGTGTGTGTTGTCCTAATACTGATATATGGACAGTCTGATATAGTGTGTGTGTTGTCCTAATACTGATATATGGACAGTCTGATATAGTGTGTGTGTTGTCCTAATACTGATATATGGACAGTCTGATATAGTGTGTGTGTTGTCCTAATACTGATATATGGACAGTCTGATATAGTGTGTGTGTTGTCCTAATACTGATATATGGACAGTCTGATATAGTGTGTGTGTTGTCCTAATACTGATATATGGACAGTCTGATATAGTGTGTGTGTTGTCCTAATACTGATATATGGACAGTCTGATATAGTGTGTGTGTTGTCCTAATACTGATATATGGACAGTCTGATATAGTGTGTGTGTTGTCCTAATACTGATATATGGACAGTCTGATATAGTGTGTGTGTTGTCCTAATACTGATATATGGACAGTCTGATATAGTGTGTGTGTTGTCCTAATACTGATATATGGACAGTCTGATATAGTGTGTGTGTTGTCCTAATACTGATATATGGACAGTCTGATATAGTGTGTGTGTTGTCCTAATACTGATATATGGACAGTCTGATATAGTGTGTGTGTTGTCCTAATACTGATATATGGACAGTCTGATATAGTGTGTGTGTTGTCCTAATACTGATATATGGACAGTCTGATATAGTGTGTGTGTTGTCCTAATACTGATATATGGACAGTCTGATATAGTGTGTGTGTTGTCCTAATACTGATATATGGACAGTCTGATATAGTGTGTGTGTTGTCCTAATACTGATATATGGACAGTCTGATATAGTGTGTGTGTTGTCCTAATACTGATATATGGACAGTCTGATATAGTGTGTGTGTTGTCCTAATACTGATATATGGACAGTCTGATATAGTGTGTGTGTTGTCCTAATACTGATATATGGACAGTCTGATATAGTGTGTGTGTTGTCCTAATACTGATATATGGACAGTCTGATATAGTGTGTGTGTTGTCCTAATACTGATATATGGACAGTCTGATATAGTGTGTGTGTTGTCCTAATACTGATATATGGACAGTCTGATATAGTGTGTGTGTTGTCCTAATACTGATATATGGACAGTCTGATATAGTGTGTGTGTTGTCCTAATACTGATATATGGACAGTCTGATATAGTGTGTGTGTTGTCCTAATACTGATATATGGACAGTCTGATATAGTGTGTGTGTTGTCCTAATACTGATATATGGACAGTCTGATATAGTGTGTGTGTTGTCCTAATACTGATATATGCACAATCTGATATAGTATGTGTGTTGTCTTAATACTGATATATGGACAGTCTGATATAGTGTATGTGTTGTCCTAATACTGATATATGGACAGTCTGATCTAGTGTGTCTTGTGTAACTCGGTACAGGATTGTCTGATATAGTGTGTGTGTTGTCCTAATACTGATATATGGACAGTCTGATTTAGTGTGTCTTGTGTAACTCGGTACAGGATTGTCTGATATAGTGTGTGTGTTGTCCTAATACTGATATAAGGACAGTCTGATATAGTGTATGTGTTGTCCTAATACTGATATATGGACAGTCTGATATAGTGTGCGTGTTGTCCTAATACTGATATATGGACAGTCTGATATAGTGTGTGTATTGTCCTAATACTGATATTATGGACAGTCTGATATAGTGGGTGTGTTGTCCTAATACTGATATATGGACAATCTGATATAGTGTGTGTGTTGTCTTAATACTGATAAATGGACAGTCTGATATAGTGTGTCTTGTGTAACTCGGGACAGGACAGTCTGATACAGTGTGTCTTGTGTAACTCGGGACAGGACAGTCTGGTATAGTGTGTCTGTGTAACTCGGGACAGGACAGTCTGATACAGTGTGTCTGTGTAACTCGGGACAGGACAGTCTGATATAGTGTGTCTTGTGTAACTCGGGACAGGACAGTCTGATACAGTGTGTGTTGTGTACCTTGTCTTGATACTGATAAATGGACAGTCTGATATAGTGATATAGTGTATGTGTTGTCCTAATACTGATATATGGACAGTCTTCCTAATACTGATATATGGACAGTCTGATATAGTGTCCGTGTTGTCCTAATACTGATATATGGACAGTCTGACATAGTGTGTGTGTTGTCCTAATACTGATATTATGGACAGTATGATATAGTGTGTGTGTTGTCCTAATACTGATAATATTATGGACAGTCTGATATAGTGTGTGTGTTGTCCTAATAATGATATATGGACAGTCTGATAGTGTGTGTGTTTTCCTAATACTGATATATGGACAGTCTGATATAGGGTGTGTGTTGTCCTAATAATGATATATGGACAGTCTGATATAGTGTGTGTTGTCCTAATACTGATAAATGGACAGTCTGATCTAGTGTGTGTGTTGTCCTAATACTGATAAATGGACAGTCTGATATAGTGTGGGTGTTGTCCTAATACTGATAAATGGACAGTCTGATCTAGTGTGTGTGTTGTCCTAATACTGATAAATGGACAGTCTGATATAGTGTGGGTGTTGTCCTAATACTGATAAATGGACAGTCTGATATAGTGTGTCTTGTGTAACTCGGGACAGGACAGTCTGGTATAGTGTGTCTGTGTAACTCGGGACAGGACAGTCTGATATAGTGTGTCTTGTGTTGTGTTGTCCTAATACTGATATTATGGACAGTCTGTTATAGTGTGTGTGTTGTCCTAATACTGATATATGGACAATCTGATATAGTGTGTGAGTTGTCTTAATACTGATATATGGACAGTCTAATATAGTTTGTGTGTTGTGTAACTCGGTACAGGACAGTCTGATATAGTGTGTGTGTTGTCTTAATGCTGATATATAGACAGTCTGATATAGTGTGTGTGTTGTCTTAATGCTGATATATAGACAGTCTGATATAGTGTGTGTGTTGTCCTAATAATGATATATGGACAGTCTGATAGTGTGTGTGTTTTCCTAATACTGATATATGGACAGTCTGATATAGGGTGTGTGTTGTCCTAATACTGATATATGGACAATCTGATATAGTGTGTGTGTTGTCTTAATACTGATATATGGACAGTCTAATATAGTGTGTGTGTTGTGTAACTCGGTACAGGACAGTCTGATATAGTGTGTGTGTTGTCTTAATACTGATAAATGGACAGTCTGATATAGCGTGTGTGTTGTCCTAATACTGATATATGGACAATCTTATATAGTGTGTGTGTTGTCTTAATACTGATATATAGACAGTCTGATATAGTGTGTGTGTTGTCTTAATACTGATAATATTATGGACAGTCTGATATAGTGTGTGTGTTGTCTTGATACTGATAAATGGACAGTCTGATATAGTGTGTCTTGTGTAACTCGGGACAGGACAGTCTGGTATAGTGTGTCTGTGTAACTCGGTACAGGACAGTCTGATACAGTGTGTCTTGTGTAACTCGGGACAGGACAGTCTGATATAGTGTGTCTGTGTAACTCGGTACAGGACAGTCTGATACAGTGTGTCTTGTGTAACTCGGGACGGGACAGTCTGATACAGCGTGTCTTGTGTAACTCGGGACAGGACAGTCTAATACAGCGTGTGTCTTGTGTAACTCGGGACAGGACAGTCTGATACAGCGTGTCTTGTGTAACTCGGGACTGGACAGTCTGATACAGCATGTCTTGTGTAACTCGGGACAGGACAGTCTGATACAGTGTGTCTGTGTAACTCGGGACAGGACAGTCTAATACAGCGTGTGTCTTTTGTAACTCGGGACAGGACAGTCTAATACAGCGTGTGTCTTTTGTAACTCGGGACAGGACAGTCTGATACAGCGTGTCTTGTGTAACTCGGGACAGGACAGTCTAATACAGCGTGTGTCTTGTGTAACTCGGGACAGGACAGTCTGATACAGCGTGTTTTGTGTAACTCGGGACAGGACATTCTGATACAGTGTGTGTTGTGTACCTCGGGACAGGACAGTCTGATATAGCGTGTCTTGTGTAACCCGGGACAGGACAGTGTGATACAGCGTGTCTTGTGTAACTCGGGGCAGGACAGTCTAATACAGCGTGTGTCTTTTGTAACTCGGGACAGGACAGTGTGATACAGCGTGTCTTGTGTAGCTCGGGACAGGACAGTCTGATAGCGTGTGTCTTGTGTAACTCGGGCCAGGACAGTCTGATACAGTGTCTCTGTGTAACTCGGGACAGGACATTCTGATACAGTGTGTGTTGTGAAACTCGGGACAGGACAGTCTGATATAGTTTGTGTGTTGTCCTAATACTGATAAATGGACAGTCTGATATAGTGTGGCTTGTGTAACTCGGGACAGGATAGTCTGATACAGCGTGTCTTGTGGAACTCGGGACAGGACAGTCGGATACAGTGTGTCTTGTGTAACTCGGGACAGGACAGTCTGATATAGCGTGTCTTGTGTAACTCGGGACAGGACAGTCTGATACAGTGTGTGTTGTGTAACTCGGGACAGGACAGTCTGATACAGTGTGTCTTGTGTAACGCGGGACAGGACAGGCTGATATAGCGTGTCTTGTGTAACTCGGGGCAGGACAGTCTGATACAGTGTGTGTTGTGTAACTCGGGGCAGGACAGTCTGATACAGTGTGTCTTGGGTAACTCGGGACAGGACAGTCTGATACAGCGTGTGTTGTGTAACTCGGGACAGGACAGTCTGATCCAGTGTGTCTGTGTAACTCGGGACAGGACAGTGTGATACAGCGTCTCTTGTGTAACTCGGGCCAGGACAGTCTGATACAGTGTCTCTGTGTAAATCGGGACAGGACAGTCTGATACAGGGTGTGTTGTGTAACTCGGGACAGGACAGTCTGATACAGTGTGTCTGTGTAACTCGGGACAGGACAGTCTGATATAGTGTGTGTGTTATTTGCAGAACCTGATGCAGCTAGAACAAGAGTTGGCCTACCTAGGTGGCATGTGTGCTGGCTCTCTTATCAAGAAGGATATCGGTCTACCTCCAGGTCAGTCTCCAGTAGAAAATTTGAAACTCTTGCTGAATTATTGTTGGTAAATTTAGTGGATAGTTCGGGAAATATTTCATAATTTGTGTGGTAACGTTCAAAAAGAATACCTGGTTGGGTGTAGATAAAATTTGAAGTATAAACTTCAAGATTTTAAGAACCAAATTGCTAAATATTACAACTGCAAAATATTTCCGCTTTACAGTATTATTATGACATACTAGTTTTACAAAATATGATGTCAGGAAAGATATAAAATGTTCAAGATGTCCATATGTTGTATAAAAATGGTTAAAAGTCATGATACCTTACCTAACCTAACAAAGCTGTCAACTTAAGGTGTGTGTTTTATTACAGTGACGATGGAGGAACTTGACGAGGACATGGATTTTATAGATGAGAGCACGCAGTTGGTAAGTACAGCAGATATTAGTGTCTGTGTGAAATGGCCTAGCTATATATAGCAGTAAATATGTGGGGGAATTACCTAGCTTTATGTAGTAAATTTTTGTGAGGAATTTCCTAGCTAGTTATTCCTATAACTTTCCGTCCGTCGTCGTCCGTCGTGCGTAAACTTTTTACAAGTGGATGGAATTTTTTCAAACTTGGTAAGAATCATCCTTGGTAGATGAGGCTACACAATTGTAAAATTGGGATTCCTACCCAAACCCCTTGGGCCAGGGTGGGGCCCCAAAGGGAAAATTAACCAATATTTCAAAAATCTTCTTCTCCAGTAACTAGACTTAGAAGTACTACAGTCATTTTCTCTGCATGGAAAGAAAGATCATCAGGGGCTTTACTTAAATTGTAAATTTCAGAACCCCTGAGCTATCCGTTCTCCCTTGGGGAGGGGGTAAAGTTTACCATAGTTTATATAGGGAAACAACACTTTTGGGTATATTTTATCCATGGAATTCCTGCCCCATCCCCAGGGGCTAGGGCAGGGCCCCAAAGGGCACATTTACCAATATTTTAAAATTCTTATCCTTTGATGACATGACAAGTATTGTATTTCACTTAGTTTACATGCTGATTTCCACATCACATCTAAACAATAAAATAAAGCTACCAGTACCTATGATATAACTCATGTGACCGCTAAGGCCCTTGGGCCTCTTATTAATATTAAATGTGTGTGAGGAATTAGGGTCCTAGCTATTTATGATATTAAATGTGTGTGAGGAATTACCTAGCTATTTATGATATTAAATGTGTGTGAGTAATTAGCTAGCTATTTATGATATAAAATGGGAGTGAGGATTTACCTAGCTACAAAAAGTGGTAAATGTGTTGGGGAATTACTGAGCTCTATATTGTAGTAAATGTGTGTGGGGAATGAGCTGTGTCACTGTTTATGTTGGGAATGACTCACCTAGTTGTATGTAGCAATAAATATTTTCGAAATACCTATCTAGCTATACATAATACTAATGAAGTGTTGTTTTGTCAGGTATTTAGTGCCCACTCATCACTGCTGGAGAAAGGTTTTGCTCTGTCTCACCCTCCCACCATCATGCAGGCCCTGGAAGGTAATCTACCATTCTGCTGGCAGTCCAACGAGCGTTCCTTCCTCAAGGACTTTGTGTCCTGCAGCCCTGGCACTAGTGGTGGGCGATTAGCAAGGTACATGCACCTTTTATTAGAAAAGATAACTTTCTTTAAAAAGAAAAAAACATAGTCTTGAAGTAAAAACCCTGTACAGACTTTTTTATACACAAATATAAATGTGATGTCAGAGAATATGGATACTTTTCCACAAATTATTTTTAGGAACCAGTCTTCTTTGAATAAATAATAACAAGATCACAATCTAAAACCAGACAAGTAACATTAAGAAAGGTGTAAGCAACATCTCTGAGGATTTTTGATGTGTACCTTATAGAGTCATGATACTGCTATATGAGAGGCTGTACACTGTTTTGTAGGTGGCTCCAGCCTGACTCCTACCTCGACCCTTCACAGTGTGAGATTGTCTATACCAAGGAGGAGCTTAAGTGTAGCTGGCCAGCAGTCATCACCGTATTGACCAAAGATCAATACAGCCATCTGGTCAATGTCCCAGAACTCAGGGTAAGGACAAACCAAATAAAGCCTACCTCAGTTGGCATGAGGCAATGAACTTGGAGTTAGTACAAACCAAATAAAGTCTACTTCTGTAGATTTGAGTCCTTGAACTCTGGGTACGGACAAATCAAATATATTCTTATTTTATCAGGTTTCAATACTGGAGCTTTGAGTAAACATAGACCAAATTCAGATTGTGTAGTTTTAAGTCATTGAGCTCTAAACCACAGCTCAGGTTAAGAACTGACCAAATTAAAGTTGCAAATTTAAGTGCATGCATGATATAGTACATAATCTGCCTTGTTTTAGTTATATGATGTTGGTCTTTCAGCAGTCTTATATGAAACACCTTCTACAGGTTTCATTGAAGGTCTACATTGACTGTTAGCACCATTAATCGGTTTAATTGCAGGCTTATATTAACAGATTATAGCACCATTTACTTGTTAAAATGCTTGCTTATGTTGACTAATATATAAACATCATCTGCAGGTTTCATTGAAGGCCTACATTGACTTATATAAACTTTAAACACACCATTTACTAGTTAAAATGCTTGCTTAAGTTGACTAATGTGTAAACACCATCTGCAGGTTGAGGTGAAGGCTGTCCCTGTAGATATGGGTGCACTGGGTGAGGATGAGAAACGTGTCCGCAGACTGAGCCGACCAGACGAGGGCAACATGACCTTTGGAGGTCACCCTCCTCCCTGTCTGGACACAGCTTATGAACCAACAGTGAAGGACAGGAAGGATGTCTTCCACGCCATCTGTATGATGAAGGTATATTGTAAAGTCTTCAGGGGTTTTGTGGATTGGAGTTTTGAACTTGAAATAGTGTTCAGAGTTAAGGATACAGTAATTTATATCAATGAGCCAATTATTCGAAATAAAGTGTATAATAAAGTCATGACAAAATACATTCACAATAATTTTCACTGGGTATTATGGTTTGTGAACTAAATGAAAAAGATGAATACAACCCCAGCACTCCCACCCGAAGTAGAAACTTGTATAGATTAGGTTATTGACCACATCCTACAACACAGTGTTTGTATCTAAAAAGTATGTATTCCACTGTAGGCATATGAGAACTACTCATTCGAGGAGCTGAGGTTCGCAGCCCCAGCTGTTTTGCGACCAAGTGAGAACATGCTGGTCAGAGCAAACAATGATGGAACATTCAGTGCCAACTGGACACCGGGCAGTGTCGGCTTCTACAACATCCATGTCACTATTGATGGCTTTGAAGCAGGTACAGATACAAAGCAATGCAAACATTTATACTTCAATTGTTACTTTGTCTGTTCGTATTTCATTTAATAAACACTTATGATACTGGTGAAAACCATTTGGAATGTGACAAATGAAAGGGACCCTGAATTTGCTTATCATTGTTAGTCATTATAAGCTCACCGGGTCCTCAGGACTAAGATGAGCTTATGCCATACCGTGGCATCGTCCGTCTGTATGTCAACAATTTCTTTAAAAGACTTCTTCTTCTTAACCACTGATTAGAATTCAACTAAATTTGAATGGAAGCATCCTAGGTGGTGAAGATTCAAAATTGTACAAATGGTTGGGCTGACCCCCAAGGGGGCTGTGGGGCGGGGCCAAAAGGGGTCAATTTGGCTATATTGCTTTAAGCGACTTCTTCTCTGGAACTGAGAGATGGATATCAACCATATTTGACTGGAAGCATCTCTAGGTAGTAGAGATTCAAAATTATACAAATGGTGTGGCTGACCCCCCAGGGGGCTGAGGGGCAGGGCCAAAAGGGGACAATTTGGCTATATTGTTACAAATGACTTCTTCTGTGGAACTGTGCACTGGATATCAATCGTATTTGATCAAAAGCATTCATTCATAGGCGGCAGGGATTCAAAATTGTTCAAATGGTGTGGCTGACCTCACCCCAAAACTATATATTATACAATTATTAGATAAAATGGTTGAGATCCCTATCCCAAAACTAGATATACAAATGCTGGGCATAATGAGACGAATATAGTCATGAAATTAGAATAGACCCTTGTGTCTGACCAAACCCCTAGGGACCTAGTTTCTTAGTCACAGCTTGGAAACAGTTGAGATCCCCACCCTATAACCATACATAAAATTGCTGAGTATAAACAGAAGAATGCACATATGCTTCCAGGATGGCCTTGGAGTCTTTACCCCTGGGTCATAACTTTGAAATGGTTAAGATCCTCACCCCAAAACTATATATTATACAATTGTTGGGCATGAAGAGACAAATGCAGTCATGATTTTAGAATTGACCCCAGGGTCTGCCCCACCCTTGCAGACTTAACCCTTGGGTCATAACTTTGAAGCGGTTGAGATCCCCACCCCAAAACTATAAATACAAATGCTGGCCAAAAAGTTAAGAATTCAGTCATGATATTAGAATTGATCCTGGGGTCTGGCCACAATCATAGGGACCCAGTTTCTGAGTCATAGCTTGGAAACAGTTGAGATCCCCACCCCATAACCATACATTAAATTGCTGAGCATGAAAAATCTAATACAGATATGCTACAAGGATTGGCCTTGGGGTCTGGCATATTCCCTTGGATCTCATTTGGAGAATAATTTGGCATGATTGCTTAGATATCAAGGTGAGCAATACAGGCCCTCTGGGACTCTTGTATTATGTAAAGCTCTTATAAGTGTGCATTGGGGAGGGGGAGGGTGGGGGTAGAAATATTTGAGTACAGTAAAACTTTATAGAAGCCAAAATTATAATGTTAATTTCTAGCTAAAGTATAATAAGACATTTCATAACACTGTATGACTAAAGGCTGATTGGTTGGACATGCCAACATCGTTGTTGTGTGTTATGTTGTATGGTTAAGATTTAGCATTGGAGAATAAAACAATTAAAGACTTTAGTTTTACTAACTGTACATGGTGTTATATTACAGGAGAGATGGTCAAGGTGGAAGTGAAGGAGGCTCCCCAGGGGCTGACCCCACCCACAAAGAACGAGAAAAAGCCACACCAGCAAATCAGGGTAATGTTTCACTATTTACATTTATCAGGTCCTCACTTCAATAACTGTTTATCAGACCAATATCTGGAATATACATAGTTTCGCATTTACTTGGTAGATATTTCTTTGTTGGATTTTACACTTTAAAGAATGATAGGATTTAAATAAAACTTTTTTAGAATACATGAAATTAACTCCAAAAGCTAGCTCAGGTTAGATGTATTGTAAAACCTTTACATATGTGTAGGATTCATGTGTACACTGTGGTAAGGCATCATGTGTACACTGGTAAGGCATCATGTGTACACTGTGGTAAGGCATCATGTGTACACTGTGGTAAGGCATCATGTGTACACTGTGGTAAGGCATCATGTGTACACTGTGGTAAGGCATCATGTGTACACTGTGGTAAGGCATCATGTGTACACTGTGGTAAGGCATCATGTGTACACTGTGGTAAGGCATCATGTGTACACTGTGGTAAGGCATCATGTGTACACTGTGGTAAGGCATCATGTGTACACTGTGGTAAGGCATCATGTGTACACTGTGGTAAGGCATCATGTGTACACTGTGGTAAGGCATCATGTGTACACTGTGGTAAGGCATCATGTGTACACTGTGGTAAGGCATCATGTGTACACTGTGGTAAGGCATCATGTGTACACTGTGGTAAGGCATCATGTGTACACTGTGGTAAGGCATCATGTGTACACTGTGGTAAGGCATCATGTGTACACTGTGGTAAGGCATCATGTGTACACTGTGGTAAGGCATCATGTGTACACTGTGGTAAGGCATCATGTGTACACTGTGGTAAGGCATCATGTGTACACTGTGGTAAGGCATCATGTGTACACTGTGGTAAGGCATCATGTGTACACTGTGGTAAGGCATCATGTGTACACTGTGGTAAGGCATCATGTGTACACTGTGGTAAGGCATCATGTGTACACTGTGGTAAGGCATCATGTGTACACTGTGGTAAGGCATCATGTGTACACTGTGGTAAGGCATCATGTGTACACTGTGGTAAGGCATCATGTGTACACTGTGGTAAGGCATCATGTGTACACTGTGGTAAGGCATCATGTGTACACTGTGGTAAGGCATCGTGTGTACACTGTGGTAAGGCATCATGTGTTCACTGTGGTAAGGCATCGTGTGTACACTGTGGTAAGGCATCGCGTGTACACTGTGGTAAGGCATCATGTGTACTCTGTGGTAAGGCATCATGTGTACACTGTGGTAAGGCATCATGTGTACACTGGTAAGGCATCATGTGTACACTGTGGTAAGGCATCATGTGTACACTGTGGTAATGCATCATGTGTACACTGGTAAGGCATCATGTGTACACTGTGGTAAGGCATCAGGTGTACACTGTGGTAAGGCATCAGGTGTACACTGTGGTAAGGCATCAGGTGTACACTGTGGTAAGGCATCAGGTGTACACTGTGGTAAGGCATCAGGTGTACACTGTGGTAAGGCATCAGGTGTACACTGTGGTAAGGCATCAGGTGTACACTGTGGTAAGGCATCAGGTGTACACTGTGGTAAGGCATCAGGTGTACACTGTGGTAAGGCATCAGGTGTACACTGTGGTAAGGCATTGAGTGTAATCTACATTTATTAACTGGCTTGTAAGTACTGCCTCAGTAATTGATGTTTTTGATGTTTAAGAAGCACATGCTTTTTCTGTTATGATTGCTTTATGTTATCCAAAGAATAGTATTCTAGAAAGAAATGTATTTTTACCAATATCATTGAGTAAATAAGGAAACAAAGTAAACTCTCTGAAGTATTGTATGACCTGTGATAACATAATTTCACTTCTTGGAAATTCAGATGCGTAGGTTTGTAGCAAAGAGCAGTGCAGGTCTGAGGATACGAGTGAACCCTTCTCTCCAGAGTGAACAACTCGGGGTCATACAACCTGAGGGCATCATTTCCTTTGTTGATGAGGTATATATCAAACCTATTGGTTTCTGTAGAATCATATTGTTTATGAAGCTAAATTTCCCAAAGTAAAACAGTGACGATGATAATCCAAAGATTTTTTTCGGCACAAGTTGAACTTTCAAATAAATGAAATCCTAACTTAAATTTGCAGCCACTGTACATGTGTTGAGGAAAGACAATTTTATGGAACTCAAATCAGGCCTCAATAACGATACAATCTTAATGTAATTGGACTGATATTAGATAAAACATTCCCCAACAGGCGCAACTTTCTTTATTTTTCACCCCAGAAAGCCTTAAATTTGCTATTGCCTTCCTATTGTCCCTGTATCTCCCAGTGACTTAAAGTGTGTGTAACGTAGGGTAAAACTCACACTGTCTCCACCGGCCCACCAGATAGATTAAAGACGTATGCTTTCTAGGTATATAAATCCACATTATCTCCTATGGTCAACAAGACTAACCCTAGATGTAATTCATCGTTATATATTAACTCCATCAATGCCCACAGGTCCACAATGATGACGGTGTGTGGCTACGACTGAGCCAGGAGTCCCTTAATGAGTGGTGTATCAGCGGCCACATCGAGGGCTGGTGCCTCCAGTATAACCAGCACCTGGGTAAGACCCTGCTCGTACCACTAGATGAGCCGAAATCTCTCATGGACGAGATCATCAAGGAGACCATCCTAAAGAAGCTGCCTGAGCTTGTCCGGGCGGAGTCTCACAAACCTAAGAGAGGTAAGTTCAGATCAGGGTCAGAAGATCATGTCAAGGTCCCACGCTTTGCAGGGTCAGAAGGTCATGTCAAGGTCCCATGCTTTGCAGGGTCAGAAGGTCATGTCAAGGTCCCAAGCATTGCAGGGTCAGAAGGTCATGTCAGTTTCATATATAAGATAAGCAAGATTAGGGAGTTTACTTATTGAAGAGATCGAATGTATTACGTAAATTATTTTTTGAAAAATCTAACATGAAAAATGGTTTAAATTAAAGTTCATATTTGAAAGACAGTAATTTCTTTTCTGTTGTGTATTTTTAACAATTATTTTAAAAGACAAATAAATATGTTGGTGTATATACCAGGTAAGAAATGTAAAGGGAACTATGCAGTGTTTTGAAGAAAATTTATTAAAATTAGAATGATTAATAACATATTAAAGTAACTATTCTTGCCTGTGTTTAGGACCAGGTGTTTACCAGGTGTTGAAGTGTGGGTCATTTGGCCACAACATCCGATGTCGCCCTAGTCTCAAGGCCACACCTGTCGGCATGCTGACGCTTGGGGACAGAATCACTGCCCTTGAGGATGTAAGTGTCATCACTGAAAGTTCAAGCTGTGTATAGTCACTTCATCTACAATTAGCGTACACATATTCTTCATCTAAGAAAATCTTACTTCCTCCCATCTATAAAGATGTCTTGATTACATTTTTCAGTTTGATGCATCCCAACTACAAATATTATGACTAAGATTGCAGCCCCTATATGCAGAAAAGTAACTTCAATATGTAGACACACAATTATGGCAAGTGTCATGTATATACTAATGGAATGATACAAATATTTTTGTAACAAAACATATTATTTCTACCCTAATAAATACTAAATTCATGTCATCTCCAGTGATACCAAACACACATTCACACATAAACACAGCTTTGTTACTTATTTCTGCCTTTACAAACAATCTACAGCATGAACAACAATAAATGAATACTTTTACAATCTGAACTGTATGAACTAAAAATTGACGTGGATCATTTGTTGACAAATAGGCTATATACAACACGGAACATTATGACAGTTTTTAGTAACATACAATTGACTAGATACAGAGATACAGAGATAAAGAGATACAGAGATTACAGAGATACAGAGATACAGAGATAAAGAGATACAGAGATAAACAGATACAGAGATACAGAGATAAACAGATACAGAGGTACAGAGATACAGAGATAAAGAGATACAGAGATACAGAGATAAAGAGATACAGAGATAAAGAGATACAGAGATAAACAGATACAGAGATAAAGAGATACAGAGGTACAGAGATAAAGAGATACAGAGATAAACAGATACAGAGATAAAGAGATACAGAGGTACAGAGATAAAGAGATACAGAGATAAAGAGATACAGAGATACAGAGATACAGAGATACAGAGATTAAAGCAGTACCTGTTACACAGCCTAATGAACCTGTACTTATCATGTACTATGTAACATCTAGGTTTCTAGGTAAAAATGTTGTAACAGGAGAAAATACAGAGTAACCAATGGAATGACCTGTAACTTTTCCAGGTGACCAATCAGGATGGACTTTGGGTGAAGATAGACCCTGAGAGTGCAGAGCAGTTCTGTCAACAGGAGGGTGAGACATGGTCGTTGGTAGCAGGGAAGGAAGGAATTGTGTACCTCCAACACGAAGATGACATCCCTGAACTGCCCCTTACTGGAGACAAGGACCCTTTCTCCTTCAACACCCTCAATGCTGCTGTCGCCAAAGGCTTTGACTTCGGAGCTTCAACTCAGACCCCTTCTCAATATTCTGTGTTTGGTGCCCCTGGATCTGTGTTTGGAGGGACTCACCCATCTCCAGGTAAGTATCAAAGACACTATCTTCAATAATATACTCGGTATGTTGTGAACCTATTGTTCGTTACCTCCAGGGTTGTTGTTGGTACCCTTGATCTGTTCTTCGTACCCATGGATCTCTGCATCCCCAGGACTGCGTTTGATACCCTGTGTTTGTGTTTGGTACCTTTTGGTCCGTGTTTTGTCTGCCGATATCTATGCTTGGTACCATTGGTCTGTGTTTGGTTACCCCTACCTATGTCTGTATTTTGGTACTTAAGGTCTGTTTTTGATACCAAGTTTGTGTTTGGTACCCTAGGTCTGTGTTTGGTGACAGATGAAGTTTTGGTGATATTTTACTTATTCTTCCATTGTTTGTTAAAGGTAACTTTGCCCGGAGTGCTAGTCTTCCAGCAAGTGCATTTGCCTTTGGTAACCAGGGTAAGTACGCTGTTTTATTATGAAATATTTGACTCCTGACTTTCATTTAAACCTGAATGAACACACTGTTCATGGAAACTGTCATAAAATTTACAAGTTGAAAGACATATACATGTATAACAATAATGCTCACTTCAATTTTGTAATATTTTACAGTCTTGCTGTTTGTTTTTAACAAATTGTTTCCTGGATTTCAAAAACAAATATGGAAAAGTTTTATCTTTATTTTCTGTTAAAGAGTTCGGAAACAAAACATACCTGTGTAAGATTAGATCTTTCTTCGTCAAGGTGTTGGGCCCGTTTGTTTGGCCAGTCAAGTCACTAAGATTAGATTTTCCTTTGCTTAGGTGTGGGGCCCAATGCACCAGCGTTTGGCCAGTCACTAAGATTGGGTTTTCCTTTGCTTAGGTGTTGGGCTCAATGCACCATCGTTTGTCCAGTCACTAAGATTAGGTATTCCTCTGCTTAGGTGTGGGGCGCAATGCACCATCGTTTGGCAAGTCACTAAGATTAGGTTTTCCTTTGCCTAGGTGAGGGGCCCAATACACCATCGTTTGGCCAGTCCCTAAGATTAGATTTTCCTTTGCTTAGGTGTTGGGCTCAATGCACCATCGTTTGGCCACTCACTAAGATTAGGTTTTCCTCTGCTTAGGTGTGGGGCCCAATGCACCATCGTTTGGCCAGTCACTAAGATAAGGTTTTCCTTTGCCTAGGTGTGGGGCCCAATACACCATCGTTTGGCCAGTCACTAAGATTAGGTATTCCTCTGCTTAGGTGTGGGGCCCAATGAACCATCGTTTGGCCAGTCACTAAGATTAGGTTTTCCTTTGCTTAGGTGTTGGGCCCAATGCACCATCGTTTGGCCAGTCACTAAGATTAGGTTTTCCTTTGCTTAGGTGTTGGGCTCAATGCACCATTGTTTGGCCAGTCACTAAGATTAGGTTTTCCTTTGCTTAGGTGTGGGGCCCAATGCACCATTGTTTGGCCAGTCCCTAAGATTAGATTTTCCTTTGCTTAGGTGTGGGGCCCAATGTACCATCGTTTGGCCAGTCACTAAGATTAGGTTTTCCTTTGCTAAGGTGTGGGGCCAAATGCACCATTGTTTGGCCAGTCCCTAAGATTAGATTTTCCTTTGCTTAGGTGTGGGGCCCAATGTACCATCGTTTGTCCAGTCACTAAGATTAGGTTTTCCTTTGCCTAGGTGTGGGGCCCAATGCACCATCGTTTGGCCAGTCACCTGCACCATCATTTGGAATGAGCAACGGCTACCACTCCGAAGGCGGGACATCACATACCAAAGAGCTGACCCGCGTCAACTCTCTTCCCTCATCCAGCTTTGCAAGGAAGCGATCATCTCCAGTGTCCTATTCACCCCAGACTATGTCACCAGCTCGATTCGACTCCCCATCTCTTGCAGTCATCACCAGCAATAGGTCCCCTGCCCCAGGTTCGCCTAAATCATCCCGACGTGACGGCAATTCTGTTCCCCCTGAACTGCAGGGTGTTTCTGTCAAGGAACTTGTCAAAGCTTTAGGTGAGTGGTGTATTTTCTGTGGTTATAACCATTTAGAGTCTGAAGCACAGCTCATTGTTTTTGCTGGTTGGTCCTTTTTTGTAAAGATTTTGTTAAAGTATAATTGCACCTATGATTAGTTGATCACAGCTTTTGGTATTTCATGTTGTTCTGTCTGGTAGGACCAGACTATATGTGCTAGACCCTCAACTATTCCCCACACAGAAACACCTACCCCCTCGGTAACTATAGCTATATCTAGAGGGATTCAGGATAACCTTCTGAAAACACAAAAAAAAAAAAAAAAAAAAAAAAATAAAAAAAAAAAAAAAAAAAAAAAAAAAAAAAAAAATTCCCCATTTTACATTTTGAAAATTTGCATTAATACCACTGTTAAGCTAATATCTAGCTGAAACAAGAAGGCCTTACCCCACCTAATCTCTTTAATCTTTCCTGCTTCATTCCCCCCTAGACTATGAAATGTGGATATCTTGACAACAATTAATTCAACAGGTCATGAACTGGACATCAACCATTAAAAAGTTGGTTTGAGTATAAAAAGTAATAAACAATACCCACCAGGGACAAATAAGTGGGGAAGGGTGAAGAGATGTGGATACATTAGAGGACAAATAAGTAGAAGGGAGTGAAGAGAACTAGATACCCAAGGGGACAAATAACCAGCTAGGAAAATATTGTTTAGTAGCAGATTTACACGACAGACCTTGTAGTTAATCCCTGTTCGTCCCGAGTGATTGACTTCAGAAATCAAGTCTGGACTTCTGATAGGAGTTTCTATTTTTCTTATGAACAAAACTAGGGCTACATTCGCGTATCCTGGTTGAAACAGTACGTGTGGCGCAGAATTTTCCACGATAAACGAACACACTTGGACCGTTCTATAAGCAGAGCTAAAGATGCACAGTTTCGGAGAATAAAAAACAATGTATCAAGAATATTATGCCCTTCTCTTGCGCGTCAACTGAATTACATAATATATCTTAAAAACTACATGATGCTTGACATTGTTTTAGAAAGAAATAACGCAAACTGGCAATAGTCAGCATTTTAGTTTCGGCCAGGTACGTCTTGACCCCTCAATCTACACGTGCCGAATTTTCCTGAGGTCAGCTTCTGTTCAGATCTGTACCTGTCATTTTCTTTACAGGTCCTACCGGTTCAACCGTTTCAAGCGTATTCGCGAATGTACCCTAGAACATTATTTCTGGGAGAAATTTGTTCCTGAATATAAAAGTATTTTGGAAGTAGAATTTTCAGGATTATTGGATTGCACATGGAAGGATGAGGTTCATGCATGGTTATACATGATGGCCAGTCTGTTGTACCTCGCCGTTACTTGTACAACACATGTCAATACAGTCTGCTGTACCTAACATGTCAATACAGTCTGTTGCACCTCGCCGGTACTTGTACAACACATATCAATACAGTCTGCTGTACCTCACATGCCAATGCAGTCTGTTGTTCCTCGCCGGTACTTGTGCAACACATGTCAATACAGTCTGTTGTCCCTCACATGTCAATACAGTCTGTTGTTCCTCGCCGGTACTTGTACAACACATATCAATACAGTCTGCTGTACCTCACCGGTACTTGTACATCACATGTCAATACAGTCTGTTGTCCCTCACATGTCAATACAGTCTGTTGTTCCTCGCCGGTACTTGTGCAACACATGTCAATACAGTCTGTTCTACAACACGTGTCAATACAGTCTGTTGTACCTCGCCGGTACTTGTACAACGCATGTCAATACAGTCTGCTGTACTTCACAGGTACTTGTAAAACACATGTCAATACAGTCTGTTGCACCTCAACGGTACTTGTACAACACATGTCATTACAGTCTGTTGTACCTCACCGGTACTTGTACAACACATGTCACTACAGTCTGCTGTACCTCACATGTCAATACAGTCTGTTGTTCCTCGCCGGTACTTGTACAACACATGTTAATACAGTCTGCTGTACCTCACCGGTACTTGTTCAACACATGTCAATACAGTCTGTTGTACCTGGCCGGTACTTGTACAACACATGTTAATACAGTCTGCTGTACCTCACCGGTACTTGTACAACACATGTCAATAAAGTCTGCTGTACCTCACATGTCAATACAGTCTGTTGTACCTGGCCGGTACTTGTACAACACATGTCACTACAGTCTGCTGTACCTCACATGTCAATACAGTCTGTTGTACCTCATTTGTACAACACAATACACTAAAGCTACACATTTTGATCTGATTGAAGCATGTTAACAGTGTAGTAAAATTTTTGTTACATTTTAGTGTAATATTTTGTTATTTGATTTTCATCAATTTTGTGTAAGGTCACCTTTGTTGCGAGCTCTGATGTAACTTGTTTAAGCAGTAAGTAGCAGTATCACATTATCATTGAAGGTTAAAGTATATTTTGATTTGTTCATTGTGCAGCCATTTTCTTAATCATTTGGTTTTATTTGTACGATTTAAGAGATGCCATCCTAAATGAGTGAATATTTTATGTCTTGTTCCTTTGTTATGGCATGCATGCATTATCCTAGTTTCAGGGACACTTTGAGAAAGAATAGCTAGATTACAAGACATCAGAATTGCTATATTTATTATTATCATATGTTGCTTATGCCGTGGCGCAGCATCCGTCGTCTATCGTCATCAATTGTCAACTTTTTCTTTAAAACCTATCTTCTCTTAAACGCCAAAGAGGATTTCAACCAAATTTGGACTGAAGCATCAGTAGGTACGGGCAATCATTTCTTCAATAAATGAGGTTGGTTCGACCCCTGAGGCCATTGGAGCGGGGCTCTAAAGGGGAACTTAGCTTGGTTTCTAGGTTTATAAAAGCTTATAGTTGAATGAAATTAAAGTATTGTCTAATTACACCTTGTAATATGACATATTACTTATTTCAAAATCTGTTAACATGGCAACTCAATGGAAGCCTGATTAGTTGAAAGTCAGATATTGTGGTCCCAGTTGGGTTAGAACATCGATCTTGTCTGGTTTTGAGGAAATTTCATATAAAGATGTACTAATCATAATGCATTCAGTTGTAATGACTTATATATAAAACCAGATGAGAGATACAGGTCAAATGGACCTCTTGTTTTAGTTGCATACACCTCCATTTTGGTTGCATTTAAGTGGTTCTTTTTCTGTTGTTTTGCCATGACTGTTATAATTGTTACTGTACAATTTAATTACTTTAAGCGGTCTGTTGACAAATGAACCCCTGACAGGGAATCATCATCATCAATGTGGGGAACCCCTCACCTATACACATCATATAACCTAGAGCATGTCACCTGTCGCTCATAATACAAACTGTACTGCTGGCGTCTGTGGCCGAGCTCTTTGTGATGTATAAACATGGTATATAGTATATGTTGCTTTTGAAGAACAAGCATGGGTTCTAGCGTATTTGAAATGGCACCGGGACTTATGTCATATATATTTATACTTGTGAACATATTTAGGCCTTCTTCATCTCAAGTTTTTTCACCTTTAAAAAAGGTAAGAATCTTTGTGATTTGTGTTTCCACAAATCAGTGCCAATATCACCTGGTGACCTCGGCCTGAATAAGTCTAGAGAACTAACAGCATAAAACTGTTATAAGTGAATGATAATCGAATCTGACACTTTACGAAATTCCATCTGATTTTATATTCTAGCCAAAGCATGCTATCTGTCTTTGTATCTTACATCAGCCTTCTAATGTCATTGCTATGTTTTTTAAGTCTTTGGCTGCAAGGATTTTATGTCAAAGGGTTACGGTGAGTGTGAAGGACTCTATGGAGCAGGAGGTACGAAACATTTACTATCTCTGTGTACATTGGCTGCCTTCTTTGTGGTTTCTGTACAAAGCACTCTCAGCCACACATAATTTCAGTCTTTTTTGTGTCATGTTTTCAGTTTTGACCTATATTTTTAAGTCATTGCCTCAATGTGAGGAGCTTATATTAATGTTGATATCATTGACTTTTAAAAATATTGACTGCTGTCTATATACCTATATATCCTGTGGAAATAAAACGGAACTCGTGTTTTGAAAAAAAGGAAAATCTAATAGAAATTGACATTGATTATGATATGACAGGTGTTTTTTTTGTGACCGTGTTTGTTGAATTAGTTTTCTTATTTAGATGGGAAATTTTGTTGTATTTTGATTTGTTGGCCTAAATTTTATTATTAAAATATGTCATAAGCTAGAATTTTCGTTTCCAATGCTGTCCTACACAGGCCTGAATTTTGAGCATTGGTTTCAGATATATTTTTAATTAATTTTTATTTCCATTATTACTGTACGCTGATTTTAATTTCCAGTTCTGTGATGCTAGCCTGTTTGACCTATAGTGTGTAGGATGAAGGTCTGATTCATGTTGTTGGCCTGGTGTTATTCCATTGTTTTCATACTAGCCTGTTTGTTAAGTTCGCTTACTGATATGCTTTGGTGTACTTTCTGTTTTATTGCGCCTTCCGTCACCTTACCGAATGGGTAGGGATCAATCACAATGAGTCCGAGGGCGACTGGTTACGACAGAGCCCAGAGTTAAAACACAAAACCTCGTCCTCACCCATTTATCAGGACCTTAGGGGGTTTCCTTTTCAAATCCGAGCTGTGAGCCCCCGACGCCTAGCGGCCATTATTGGTAACGTATGATGTCGTGGAACCTGTTAGTCATGTGGCCCTCTTACATTGATATTGTGCTGTAGATATTGTGAGTAGACAGGCTAACAGGCACTGTGTTGTTTTTTGACAGCACTAAGCCTACAGATCCATTAGTACCTAATATCCTTCATTAGTATATTTTACTGACTGTTAAATACATCTTTTATAGGTGTACACTACTGACTATTAGATACTAGTCTAGGTATTGTGTCAACTACATTTTCGACAGGCAATTTATTTTTTGTCAACAAAACAAATTTCTGTATAAACAATGTCTTATATTAAAAAAAAAGAACATATTCATATTCACATTTTTTTAAGGTTCCAAAAAATATTTTATTTCCTCGGCACATCAGTAAGGGGGGCCAGGGTTGAGGTGTGCTGGGTTCCCCCTTAAACAACTATAATAGAAATTTAATTGATATACTAAACGTGAAGTATTCTGAAATGCTCTCTTTTCACAGATTACTGGAGTCTTGTGTCCAATGGTAATAATTATTATATGGAATTTTCAATGTCATAAATACCACACAACAAAAATAAGGAAATTTTGATCTGTGATTTGTTTGTTTTTGTGTTTTCTGAAAAAGAATTACTAGTAGTGCTGAATTTTGTTTGAACTCAATTTCTTCGATATACTTCGTGCAAATGCAAATAGAGTTTGAAACAACGGGTGAAATGGGAGTAATTTATAAAACCAATATACCAGGTATTCCCTTTTTCTCTCGCATATGAACAAATATATGTTGGATGTTTATATAAACCTGGTGCCATGATGTTTTTGGTAACTTGTGTTCTGGTATATGCTAGTTACATTAAAAGCTTTTGGAATCTGATTATTTAGAAAAAAATCAAACCTTAAATACTATCATTTATTGACTTATGACCATGCATGTTTCTTTGTGAATGTTTGATCTTCCTATATGTTCTATCTAATGACGTGATTGGTCTAATTCTTTACTGTGAACCAATCATGTTATGTTAACTGTTAATTAATTGTCCTGCTATCAAACTGCTATGTTATATGTTTATGCATTGTTCTTCTGCCTAATGTCTTGTATTTAAATTGTTAAGTATTTCGTTAAATACAGGTATCTAATTAATGAGTTCTCTGATGTTGTAATAAATGATTTGACTAACTTATGAAGTACCTGGTATCTAAATTTCATATATTTATAGTAAGATACAATGTAGATCATGTACAAATAACGTTTTAGTGTACTAAATCAGTGAACTGAATTAACTAACATACCATTTAAGTTAGATTAACTGAAGCAGCTGTACAATATTATATCTAACCTCAGACAAATCTTATTATTGTTTTGATGTACATTCCTTTTTAACATTTAATTCCCTTTACTTGTAGCTAAAAATTGCATGACCTCTTTCCTTTTCCTTCTTTTTTATTTTTATTTTTTGAACACTCAAAGCCAAACTAAGGTCTAAAGTCAACAGAAAACATTGCTGTTCTGTTTACAGTATTTCATCAGTATTATGTTTGAATGTCATGGCTTACAGAAGTTGATGCTATTCAGTGAACTTAACAATATACAGGTATATCTCTTGCCAACAACACTCAAAGATAACGTTGTGTAGAGAAGGTTGATTGACCCTCACCATCAAAGGTCTCATATCAGATTGATTTTCCTTTGCAGGACGAAAGGAAAATGACGTTTTTTTTCTTCACTGCAGTGAAAATGTCACTTTTTTTTTTTAATGCATTGAAGATATAAAATTGGAAATATCCTATTTCACTAGTAAAAATGTGCTAATTATGTTGAGTTGACAGTACAGTTATGTTCAGTAAGGTCAGTACTCTATGTTACAGGTGAGAGTAGAGCCAATGGAAATGGCCCCACTCCAGTACCATCACCTCCAGGCACACCTAAGAAATGTGGGTCACGTAGCTCCAGTCCGCACTTGGCCCCAGACAGATCAGGTATATACATAAGCATCAAAATCTAATAAGCAATATATTGTTTAAAAGTAAAGGAAATTTCCATATTGAATAATAATACTCTAACCTTCAGCATCCCTACCTTCATCTCTGACCTCATCAACCTGACTCTGACCTCTCATCTTCAAAGTTGTTTGCTTGATATTGTTTTCTGGAAACACTATTTTCTGTTTTGAAGTACAGTACCTGTATGATAATGTTTTAACTACCATTTTGAACAGTTTTATTGTTTTTACACAGCTTCCCCCAAAACTGGCTCCCCTATTCGTAGTCTGAGTCCAAGATTGGCCAAGGTGGACAGTAAACCATCCAGGGGGGTGTCAGAGTCATCATCTCAGGCCTCCCTCAAAGACGAGACATATAGCACACCACCAGACAGTCCCAGCCTTGTCCGCCGTGCTCACCTCAAGAAGGAGGCCTCATTTGACCGCGATTCCCAGTCACCTCCAGGGTCACCAGCTGTCCGCCCAAAACACCAGCCTTCCGGTTCCGCACCAAGTAGTCAGAAAGAAGCAGGACTTGCTGGGCTTCCCCCCGCAGTGCCACGGAAAGGCAGTATAGGAAGTCCTCATACCTCTCCAGCAAGGAGTGGCAGGTAAATTTGAGAAATAAATTATAGTTGTACCCTGTTTGCATTGAAATATTGTCAATGAATGTGTCCCTGTGTTCAAAATGGGAAATTAAATTTGATACAAAACTGTTTAATTTAAATTAAATCTATTGGAGTCATTGAAATAGGACTATTTGCATAAAGAAGATACTGTATTAGAATTGATAATAATTTTAAAATGTTTTCCTTTCCTACATGTAAAATCATTAACAAACCTTTATTTTTGTTTTCTAGGAGAGGATCAGGAAGTCCCCGTCTACACTCCAGCCCCTCCCGAGCATCACCTGTCAATGTCTCGCCTACTCCAGGGTCAGGGAATTCGGATCGCTTGTTCAACATCGGCTCAGCTTCTCCTAAGGATGAATCTCCCAGGTAGGCACTGATCATTACATACCAACTCATGATTATCAGTTCTATATAAGGTAGAGAAAGCAATTTTGACCTGTATGACATATAATTATATACTAAGTACCTGGCATAGATATGATGATTTTTTAAATCCTGAAAAATTATTGTATATATACAGCCACTAATTTGAAACAAATTTCAAATACAAGTACCTTAAAAATGTTTTACACTATTGGGAATAACAACAATTCCTCTTTAATGAATTGAATATAGTTTGTTTGTAATACAAAATTAAGGATTTGTCACACATTATATGACAACAATAACAAACTGAAATACATTTGTGACAAATCCAATTTTGTATTACATTGTATTACATTCAACATTGTTGAAGAAAAAAATGTATTTCAGTTTGTTATTGTTGTCATATAATGTTTTTCTTCAACAATGTACTGGTATTGCATATCTTGTACCAAGGTACCATCCGAAAATGTGACTGTACCAGTATCCTTTTTGGCTTGCTTCTAGATTTATGTTATTATAGCATATCCCTCTTACTTATTCCAGGATGTCCCCAAAACCAAGCAGGAAGGATAGGGGAAGACAATTACGTTCAAAACGAGAAAGAGCCTCGTCTCCCTCCTCAAGGGACATAACTCCAGTTGGAAGGGCGCGGTCATCATCAACATCCTCAATCCTAGACAAAGCTAAGGATCCTGTGAAGGATGCTCTGTCTCCATCTGTGGCTGAGTGTCTTCGCTCTGTATTTGCTGCTTTTCTGTGGCATGAAGGAATTGTACATGATGCCATGGCCTGTGCATCCTTTCTGAAGTTCCATCCAGACCTTCAGAAAGAAATGTCAAAGTATGCAAACCGCAAGAAACAGGAGAAGATGCGAGTGAGACATGCAACAGATTCCAGTAAGGAATTCAACAAAAAGAAGGAGAACATGAATATTAATGAGGCGAGAGTGAGGTTTAATCTGGAACCACAGTTGGTGCGTAGCGACTCGGACAGGTCAGATAAGTCAGATAAGTTGGACTTGTTAGAGAAAACGTTAGAGGTGAAGAAGGGTAAGGATGGTTTGTACAGGAAGACTACAGTGGAACGTCACAAATCTGAGGGAGTTTTGTTTGTTGCAGATGATGATGACAAGGCATCACCCCTTCCCCCAACACTCCATCACCTGGTCTACTTCTGGGAGGAGCTGTCCTCATCCGTCCTCAGGGTCATTACACAGGAGCTCATATACCCCAGTCCTGCAGTCATGCTCCGCAACAAGAAGAGCGAGAAGAAAGACAAAGAGAAAGATAAGAAGAGCAAGAAGAAGAAAGAGAAAGTACCGTGGCGGGAGAATGCTGTTGGGGATGCCATGGCGGGTGTGTTTGCTGGGGGCGGGCCTGACAAGGGGGAGACATCATGTGAACTGTGTGGGTTAATGTTCTCACACCCAGTCACATTCCACATGCGACAGACGCACCCTGGATGTGGCAGACACGCTGGAGGTAAAGGCTACAACAGCAGTGGTAACTACTGTGGAGGCTGGGCCGGGAACTGTGGGGAAGGGGGATACGGGGGCAGTAGTTGGTACCTCATATGTGAGCGATGTCGCGAGAAGTACCTCAAGGAGAAACGCCAACAACTGAAAGACAAAGAGAAGGTGAAAAAAATGAAAAAGAAGAACAATCAGTCAAGACAGAGTGTGCTGACAACACAGGAACCTCATATTGTGCTCAAGAACAATGCAATGTTTCTGATGGACCTGGCCAGTGCTTCTGGGATTACTATCCCCATTCAGACACACAAGAAGTACCATGGTGTGAGTCGGTCTGACCTCTTCCTGCCCAGTGTTTATGAGGAGTATGGGTCGGAGCTAAACCCCTTCCCTCCTGTGCCATTCCAATACCTCATATCTCAGAGCGCCCAGAACTCAGACTCTGCCTTCGCTGATGACTTCTTCATCGACATGGATGAGCGTGTTTTTGTCAGGTCAGGATCACTCAGCATCACACAGAAACAATCATTCCTAAGACCCAGGCTACCGACTGAGCCCCGCCACAGTCCATTAGCTAGATCCGGGTCTTTGGGTCAAGATATCCGACCGCCTCTGTCTCAAATATCTCCTTCTAGTCCCAAGGTCAGTAAAATCTCTTTGTAATCTGCAGATTGAGTAGTATTTTTGTAAGAAATATGCTTATGCAAAGCTTAGTTTCATTTCTGAACCACCTATTAATATGATACTTATATATCATAACAAACTGTTGTTTGCATGAGAACCTGATCTGACCCTTGCATTGCATAGTCAGAATTTTATAATGTACTTCTATGCTGTCTATCGCTATTGAAAAAGAGTTCAAAGGACTATGTATTGTTTGGGCGTGTTTTGGCCCTCAAATGCATCAAAATTCAAAACCTTTAAATGAACATTGAAATGACTGTTTCTTTTATTTAAATATTTATTTGTATTTCTAATTATTGTTGCCATGGTAACAAGTTCAAATTTGCATAAATTAGAAAAAATTGAATATTCAGTGAAATTTGTCATATTTTGAATAGTTTTTCTCCTGGAAACTGTAGAGCGCATGCTTGAACAAACTCAAAATCAACGGATAATGTGTAGGCACCTGTAATACATCTTTAGAAGAAATATAAAGTTTTTTCAAGAGTGCGCTCTATGGTAAGTAAGAGAAAAACTAGGCAAAAACCTGTCATAATTTACTGAATATTTAAATTTCATTAATTCATGCAAATATTTACTGGTTACCATGGCAGCCATAATTGTAAACCTAAATAAATGTTTACATAATAGTACCAGGGAAGTATTCAAAATTAAAGAAACAGTCATTTGAAAGTTCTATTGAAGATTTTTTAATTTTGTTGGGTTTTGGGGCCAAAAAAGGCCCCAAACATACATACCCCGTAGTCCTTTGTTCAGCATTTTGACTTATGTTGCTTGCCAAATTACAAAAATCAAATATTCATATACCAAAGAAATTCTCCTCTTTGAATTTCTTTTTTCTCAAAAACATCTCCGTCATGGGGATTTAATCCCCTGACCTCTTGATAATAAAGCAGGGAGTTTACTGTGCCATCAGTCCTGGTATTTGCTTCACTGTAAAATACTTTTTTGTAACATTATTGGGAATAATGTTACAAATTGCACTAGCTTCGTAGAAATACCAACAACCTATAATTGTCTTTAATTTGTATGAATACCAGTATCATTTATGTAATGTATACCTCTCAAACCAATATTTATTCATTATTTTCTTATCTCTGCTCTGCTGATAAAATTCAGAAACATTAACCAGTGGAGTTATTTATTGGAAATGTTCATGTGTTACTTACAATTTTATGATTCTGTTAATTATTGTGGGCTGGTGTGTTCTTTTCAGGATTCCAGTATGAATGCCTCTAGTGAATCAGATAAACCGGTGCCGAAGAGTGCAGGAACAAGTCCAGACTCTGAACTGGAACAAGTCCACAAAAAGACAGCCTTCCAGAGGAGCATATCAGAGATAGTATCCGATAGTGACGAAGGGTTCGGGGGTAACGACAGAAATAGACAGTATGCAGGACGACGGAGAAACAACAGCGGGGGCGTGGCAGGTAGCCTATCAATGAATCATTACATTTACTTCAACACTCACCATATTATAAATCTTAAAAGTGAAAAGTTGAATTCACTTGTGTAAAGCTTGACATGTAGATGTCATTATCCTTTTAGGAATTTACACGTATTTACAATCTGCAAACAAGCCAAAATTGATGCAATACTGTTCTTCCATGATCCTTTTCATAGTTTATACTGAAACTATGTTGCTTCAATGTTTTCCCACTAATGAAAAATGACAAAAGGAGCAATTATTGTGAATCTTGTAATATAATTCATGTGATAACTCCAAAGTTTCATTTGGAGAGATAATTAAGTGGAAAACATTGTAACACATATCAATCTGAAATAACCTAACTCATCACATCTAACCTAACTCATAACATCTAACCTAACTCATAACATCGGAGAGTGAGTTAACTCATTTTAATCAAATGTTTCAGATGGTGGTATGTCGTTGATCAAACACCCATCTGCTGCCATGTCTAAGCTGATGACCACAGTGGAAAAGTCGAACTCATCACGAATAGAGGGTGACCGAACACTCCAACGTCCAGTGATGGCTTTCATTGTGCAGAGACATGACCTAGATGGTCTCCAGCTGGCCATGAAACAGGCCCTGAGGAAGGCCACTTGCCGGGTGTTTGCTTTGCAGGTAAGGATCAGTAGCTCTATAGTGAAGTACCCAATATTAAGCATATGGCATCAGACTATAACTTTATTTACAGTGTTACTGTATATACAGCTGTATCTTCCAATCCTATATGCCTGACCTACACATATGACTACTTCACAGAATCATGTAAATTGGGGAATATCCATTTCTAAACATAGCCTTTAGGGGAATCCCCTTCACTTTATCAAGAATAAACATTTGTTATATTAATAAACACAGTAAACACTTGAACGGTTTATTATATGTTTAATATCATTTAATATTCATTTAATAGGTGGTATTGGTCATTGTATCTGTTCTTTTCAGCCAATGCAAGCTGTACAATTTGTAACATGCAATAAAATTGGCAGAAAATCACACATCCAAACCATCTAATGGAAAACTTTTCAGATGTTTTGTTTAATTGATTGTTCAAGCTAATAACAAAACAGCTATGGGCTTTTATGATTGTACTTGTAAAATATGATATGTTCAAATCACATCATATTCATTATCACAAAAGTTCATAATTGTTAAAGGAAAAGATATAAACAAAAAGAGTATTTAGTAAATTATATTACATTGTACAGACATGAACTGGTTGTTAGCTCACCTGGCCCGAAGGGCCATGTGAGCTTATGCCGTACTGCAGCGTCTGTCAACTTTTTCTTTTGAACAACTTCTTCTGAAGACCTGTAGGACCTAGGGTCATGATATTTGGCCAGTAGGTACCTGGGATGGAGTGCTATAAATTTTCCTCAATAAAATGACCTTGACCTACTTTCAAGGTCACAGGGGTCTAATATGTTAAAAATTTTAAACAACAATATTCTAAGAACCATTTGAACTAGAGTCATGATAATTGGGTATGTTATGTAGACCAGCAGTGCGAATATTTTTTTCCATTACAGTTATGAGGTCAAAGTCAACTTTAAATGCTAGTCAGGGGTCAACGGTCAACTTTGGTTAAAAGCTTTAACAATCTTCTTCTCAAGTTCCATAAGGCCCAGTGTCAGGATATTTGGCCAGTAGGTACCTGGGATGGAGTGCTATAAAATTTCCGCATTAAAATGACCTTGACCTACTTTCAAGGTCATAGGGGTCAAATATGTTTAAAATTTCAAACAACAATATCCTAAGAACCATTTGGACTAGAGTCATAATACTTGGATATGTTTTGTAGACCAGCAATGCAAATCTTTTTCTCAATAAAAGTAATGAGGTCAAAGGTCAACTTTAAGTGCAAGTCGGGAGTCAAAGGTCAATATTGGATTAAAATTTCAAGTTTCAAACAACAATATCTTCAGAACCGTTTCAGAGATGTTAAAATGTCTTGTGTTCTAGTTACCAAATTTGGTCTTAGGTAACCTATATGCCAGTTTCATGTAACAAAAGAAACAGGTGAGCGATACAGGCCCTATGGGCCTCTTGTTGTAAGTGATGTGATGTGTACTGACTGAGATTTAACTGTCATGTACAATGTTCCAACAGGCCATGAACTGGTTGATGAGGACAGTGTCACGTACTGTATGTATCCACGACCTACTGTGGTACCTGGTGACGTCCCTCACCCCTTCCCTGGGGGAGGAGGAGGAAGAGGAAGAAGAAGAGGATAAGGATAAAGAAAAAGACAAGGATAAAGAGAAGAAAGCACCAAAGAAGGAGCCGCCAAACAAGAAAGATGTAGAGGTAAGACCCGGTAGTGTATGTGATTTACTTACTACGTGGTTAACAGTACTGTGGCTCTCTGTCCTGAAAAAAATATCAATTTTCTGGAAATTTATTGTAAGAATTGTGCTTTTGTTTTCATGAAAATCTTGTGTATCCAAGCACTAGTTTTCGCTTACAACTTGTTTTAAGTTTGTACTTGTATAGGTGTAAAATAAACTAGCGGATTGATAATGTAATGATTTAAAACGTGCAGTGTTTGATAAACCTGCTGCCAACTGAAGCATCGTGTCACTTTAAACAATGTGAACAATAGTGAGGCTCTTTAATACTCTATACTGTATGTTTGTGTTACAGGAAGCGCCACTGTGTGAACATCCCCTGGCAGATATCAAGATAGCTGGCAGTGCTGTGGACCCTCTCCCAGAGGTGTTCCACACCCTCCTACAAACTATAGCCGATGTCATGATGCATCTTCCCTGGGGATCAGCAGTACAGGTGAGACTACAACCATTTACCTCAGCATTGTACTGCCTGGTACTCTAAGGTGTCTCTTGCCAGCTACTTCTACATCTGTAAACTCAGATTAGAACTTTTTAAGTGACTCTCTTTTTATGAAAATTCATCAGTAGACAGACGTTCTCTTACATTAAATGTCACAGATTCAGTTTTAAGTTAGAAAATGTAGAAGAAGTCTTTTCAAATACTTGAGTAGTTGCAGGGACAGTTACAGATCTGTAGTAACAAGTGGGGTCTGAATTCACTGCATGTATTAAGCAATATTTTTTAAAAAGAAGAGCCATAGTCTAATAATACAAGATACAAGTGACTGAATTTACTGTCTAATGTGCAATTTTTCTCCAGTTGATGGCTGTCAGATGTTTCTGCCTGAAGTTCCAGCAGACAGACCATCAGTTTCTACACGAGTGTCATGTGTTCAGCAACATCAGTCGCATTCTCAGTAAATCTGATGAAGAGAAGGAGGAGAATGACATCGGGGAGCCACCAGTGGTAAGAGCAAGACTAAAGTAGCTATATATAGTACTCCATAGGGTCAAAAGATAGGGCATGGAATACGTAGGGATGTGCCATAGAGTACTGAGACCTGGCATGGTATATAGGGGTGTTCCATTGGGTAAAAGGACATGACATGGTAACTACGGGTGTTCAATTGGGTATAAGGACATGACATGGTAACTATGGGTGTTCCATTGGGTATTAGGACATGTCATGGTAACTATGGTTGTTCCATTGGGTATTAGGACATGACATGGTAACTATGGGTGTTCCATTGGGTATTAGGACATGACATGGTAACCAGGGGATTTTCCATTGGGTATTAGGTCATGACATCGTAACCAGGGGATTTTCCATTTGGTATTAAGAAATGGCTTGTTAACTACAAGGTTGAGGTAAATTTGTACCAAGGGGTATTACCTGTGGTATTGAGACATAGGGATTAAAGACAGGCAGATTTTTAACTAGAAGTGTTCCATGGAATACAGTCATAGAATGGTAACAACTTGATGTGTTCCATTGGGTACAGAGAGACAGCCACTCTGTGTATCTATTCAGTGGCACTGTTTATTTTTGTGGCAGCACTTAATATTCATGAGGGTACTGTATATAAACAATCAGAGGTCACTCCAGAAGTCTTATAGTTAAATTATAAATATATCAGTTGATATGTTTTGAACAAAAATGTTAATTTTGTAAAGCTACACCTACGTGTAATGCCATAATAAGGCATTTATCTACAGAACTAGAAATTAAAAAAAATGAAACAGAAAGGTAAGAATGAGTTCAATGAAATGAGTTGTCTCCCCCTAGCAGGTGAAGGATGTCAAAACAGTTAAGAAGCTGGTGAGTAGGTTGAAGGTTACTAGAGAATTTGCACATGACATACTCTTATTCGATCCTGCTATAACTTACACAAAACCATGTCATTGTGCATAAAGTGTGTCTACCAATCAAGGTAGCTGGTACCTAAACCCTGTTCTGAAAAAGTTTGGTTCTACACAATGTCCTAAATTCCCCTGATAATGTATTTATACATAAATGGACTTTCATTTCATCAGCATTATATCAATTATCTAAACATTTGAAACTTGATTAAAATTAATTGTTTGATGTCAGAGTTAATGATTTTATAAGCTTCCTACAAAATGTGTGTCTCACTGCACTGCAGCTCTTCTGGCCAATCACACAGCCCCAACCAATCACAAGCCATGTTTTGTATATGGTATATAGATGGTTCATAATACAAATTTTCAAAAAATTATTTCAACATGCCGCGATAATTTATTATGACCGATCAGGTTATCACAGATCTCAACCAAAATTTGCTATAGTGCTCTTATATGTCATCCAGATAGTTTTGCTGTAATAAGTTATAGATTATTATACACAGCGTAAGGTAAAACCCAAGTTTATTACTTCTCTTCAAATAACATACACAATGACATATATATCTGGGCATTATTGCAAATTTAGATGAAGATCTGTAATAATTTCAATTGATGTTAATAAAATTTTGTTAAACTATCGTGTCAGACGCAACTTGTGGGCATAATTATTTCGACAAGTCATATTATCATCATGTGACCTTTAACAATGTGACATTATAACAGTTATACAGAAGATGCCATCATTTCAAGTTTACAATTTGAATCACATGTAAATATGCCCCCCACCCCTCCTCAATTTTTTTCCCATAACTGTAATTTGCATACTGTTGAAGATTTCAAACTAACTTAGAATTGTTTCTGGAAATTGAAACTATTGAAACGATTTTATCAGAGGTTAATTTTATAACTTTTTGAAGAACCCTCATGAGAATTATGAAGTCAAAGTTTGTGTAAGTTTTTAGGATTCTTAACCTGCCGGGTGTATTAACTCTTTTATGCTTATGTATTAATAACTTCATGTTTTACTCAATCAAAGTAATATTTTTTCTAAGATTTTTTGTGAGTGTTTGACAACTTCAATTTCATCATTAACCACGATGTTAACCATTGTTTTTGATTTTAAGTAAAATCTATAAACTAACATCAGCTATAGATATAAATGTTATTTGATAATTATTTGCGCTCAATATATTTTTGCTCTGTGTGCGGTTACATCATATATTAGTTCTCTCTAAATTTCTTAGTGTACTAGGGACTTTGATTTTATATTCTTTTTGTTTTGCAACAACAGAGTAGCAAAAGATGCAGAGTTCACATCAACATTTGTCTTCCACTCCACTGTTAACTTCTACAGAAACAGAAACAATACTGCATTTTCATTTGACAAACTATTTACTATCTGTGAATGCAGTTATGGTTTCAAACAATTTGATTTTGCATTATCCAACAAATTAAAAATTGCTGTGTTTGCAGAAGTGTTTTTCTTGTGTTTCTACTGTCTGTGTATCGATACGGAGGTAACTATACATGTGTTGGTGTAGAGTAACAATTACCTCCCTTCACCAAGTTCTATCATACAATTTCTACATCTTCAAATTTGAAGGCTTCCCATCGGATCTGGCAACTAAAAGATCTGACTGCCAACGCAGACATCCAGGCCTCCAGTCGACAGGCTATGATAGCCAGTCTCACAGGTAGGTACAGACACGTATGATATGATAGCCAGTCTCACAGGTAGGTACAGACACGTGTAATATGATAGCCAGTCTCACAGGTAGGTACAGACACGTGTTATTTAGTCATTGTTGTAACCCTCGTATTTATATATGTATTAGTCTCTGGTTTTGACAGAAGATTTTGCTTAGCTTATGTCCTCTTTCCAATGAAGATGAGACATGTAAAGATCAGTGTCTGTTCACAAATCGTGATTTGTAAAGCAGGGTTGATTCTGTGAATTAGAATATTTTGAATTTGTAAAAGACTAAATACACTGGCTGGTTTTAGTTCTGAAGGTTTGTGATCCAGGAGTCAACCATCAATGGGTCTAAAACATAGACAAAAGCAATTCCAATGGTAAATTTTTTCGAAAATAAACATTTAGTTGGAAAAACTTCAACACTCATTGAACAAATTGACATAGAAACTTGTGTTTGTGTTGACAGACAATTCCACAGAAACATTCTGGGAGAGTGGTGATGAGGACAGGAACAAGATGAAGACTGTGACAATCAACTGTCACAATCGGTCACTGCCTAAAGTAGTGTATGTCCATATAGACAATACACGCGACCTGGGGGTATGTATAATAGTCCATATAGACAATACACGCGACCTCGGGGTAGGTATAATAGTCCATATAGACAATACACGTGACCTTGGGGTAGGTATAATAGTCCATATAGACAATACAAGCGACCTGGGGGTAGGTATAATAGTCCATATAGACAATACACGCGACCTCGGGGTATGTATAATAGTCCATATAGACAATACACACAACCTGGGGGTATGTATAATAGTCCATATAGACAATACACGCGACCTCGGGGTAGGTATAATAGTCCATATAGACAATACACGTGACCTTGGGGTAGGTATAATAGTCCATATAGACAATACAAGCGACCTGGGGGTAGGTATAATAGTCCATATAGACAATACACGCGACCTTGGGGTATGTATAATAGTCCATATAAACAATACACACAACCTGGGGGTATGTATAATAGTCCATATAGACAACACACGCGACCTGGGGGTATGTATAATAGCCCATATAGACAATACACGCGGCCTGGGGGTAGGTATAATAGTCAATATAGCCAATACACGCGACCTGGGGGCAGGTATAATAGTCCATATAGCCAATACACGCGCCTGGGGGTAGGTATAATAGTCCATATAGACAATACACGCGACCTGGGGGTATGTATAATAACACTCACTAATCACACTAGTGTTCAGGTTACGGCATTAAACAAAACACAAGCTCTAGGGAAGGTTACATGTAACAGAAAAGCAAGCAGTAACGTCATGGTCAATATGTGGGCCATAGAACATAAAGCTGGACAGTTTAAAGGGTATTTGGGTCAAGGCCAAAACGTTGAGGTTAGGAGATATCCCGGTACTGTAAAGGATACATTGTATTTGGGTCATATTCAAACTAAGCCATTATATGTTGCTTAGGATATTTGAGTCACAGTCAGGCTATATACCACAGAGGATATTACAGTCAAGCTGAACATTAACCTGGATATTGATCTGCCATTTCCTGTGTGATTGAATTGATGTTCTGTTTAACATTACAGAGTAAAGTTAACATAATGGGGATCAGTGCTGGTGGTAATACAGAGGAGCTGAAAAAACTGCAGCAGGTAAATATTTACAAATTTAAGTAACCAGCTGAAGCAAAACAAGACAGTTATAGGATGAGTAGATTAAGTGAAATGAAAATCGAACTTCACTTTGACAAATAGAAGTTTATATTGAATTGGCCTATAACAGGTTGTCTCCTATTATAGGTAGATATCGAGACTCGTCAGAGTGGCTGGATCAGCTGTCACATCCCAGACACACAGTACCGCTGTATCCAGCTGGAGCTGAAAGGGCCTGACCACAGCCTCCGTGTCCGACAGATCAAGGTCCTTGGAGACCGCGAGGGAGAGAACGCCGGCATCCCTGCCAAGAAATCTGCCCAGGACCTGCAACAAGACAGCTGTGAGGCAGAGACTCTCAAAGTGTTCAGACTGCTCACCTCACAGGTAGGTTATTAGGTGTTCAGACTGCTCACTTCACAGTTAGGTTATCAGGTGTTCAGACTGCTCACCTCACAGGTAGGTTATCAGGTATTCAGACTGCTCACCTCACAGGTAGGTTATTAGGTGTTCAGACTCCTCATCTCGCAGGTAGGTTATCAGGTGTTCAGAATCCTCACCTCACAGGTAGGTTATCAGATGTTCAGACACTTTTGTTGCCTTTCTAACAATTTTGCCTGTTTCCCTGTTCAAAGTTTTATATATTGTAGAATATAAAGTCATCGTTTCAAACTTCAAATTTCAAAATGTAGCCTCTAAATTTTGGAAGGTCCTGCCAAATAAGCAGTATATTCAGGCTGTACAATTGATACATTGTGGCTGTTAAGATGTTTATACAGGTGTTTTGTGGTATTTATATACAGGTGTTTGGGAAACTCGTCAATGAGAAGGTTGACCACGGTGGACTGGTCAGCGGGGACAGTCTAGATGGGGACCACAACCTCAAGGAACACATGGTCGGCATTCTGTTCAGTCGCAGTGGCAAACTTTCCCATCTACAGAAACAGGTACACACTTGGTTGGCATTTAACAGAAACAGCTAAATGCCTGACAAATAATAATGATAATATACAACATTCGATATAGCGCCCTATATCTAGCTTACATAAGCCACTCTAAAGCACTTTACAGTACATAGATGTACAATTTATTCAATCAATACAATTAGCATTATACATTAATCAATACGATTTTGAGGAATCCGCAGGAGCTACCACACCAGGCGCTAACTACTAGTCCTAAGCCACCTGGCTAATATCTCCCTATGTGTGTATGCCTGTGTGTGTGTTGGAGATGTGTTGTGTATGTAAATGATAGTGATCTCAAACGCAGGGAGATTTTGGTTATCTCTAAACTTAATATTGGGATTCGTTAGTGTAATATTTATTGATATTCCAGTTTTAGTATGAAAAAACTTATGATTGATGCAATATTATCATCAACTGGCCCCTAGAATTTGAAAATGATTTTCTACTATTAGCTAGACATTTTATACCAATATCTATCATAATATAGAAATACAATGTACAATAATCTGCCAAAACCTAGAAATATGTATATCTTCTACGTTGTGTATATCCTTAATTAAATCCAGACATAACGAGGATGGTGTTCCTCATTGTAGGTGTGTTCCCACATAGTACAGGGTATCCGTAAGGAGACTAGCCGAGTTAGGGACGAATGGGAGGTGTCACTCAACAATAACCAGCAAATCCATGATACCAGGTCAGTAAACCCAAGATTTTAGTGTTTTAACAGATAATTATATAAAGTTGATTCTGATAATGGATGTCATGACTCAAAGCTTAATAAGTCCCCCTTATCATGATGGGGGATTTATTTATTTTACCCATTTTTGTGCTTCTTTCTGTTTTTTCTTCCACTTTGAACGTGTCATTCACTTTTCTCAAATACTACAAGCCAGATTCTCCTGGACATTATCAATGGACATATGCAAATGTGCAATCAATTTAAAAAAAAAAAAAGGAATGAAAAAATTGTATACATTGTTTGTAAAAGCTATGATAATAAAATAAAGTCATACCGATGAATTCTTTGTTGTCAGTGACCAAGATGTCTATTGTTTTGAGCTATTGTCTATGGTGCTAGCCCTGAGTGGATCTGGTGTGGGTAGAGCCTACCTGGCTCAACAGTACCCACTTCTCCAGGACCTCTTCAGCCTACTACATACTGGATCCCCCAGGGTACAGAGACAGGTAAGGATGCTGTGACAGGGAGGGAGAGTTCCTTGTTGGGGAAAGATATTGTTTAGATCTTGTTAAGGAAAGGTTTTGGCATGTTTGTGTGGGATAATACCTTGTTGGGGAAAGATTATGGCTGGCTTGTATAGGAGGGAAAATATTTTGTTAGGTAGTGATCAAATCAGGTTTGTGTGTGGGCTACACCTTACCGTATTTTACAACCCCAAATACAGCCCCCGTTCCAATTTGGTACATTGCCAAGGCTTAGGGGGAGGAGGTTGCTTAATTGTAACATCCCCACCCCCACTCCCTTTATAAAAGGATGCTTTAATGATTACCAATTGTTGGACCCTCATCAATAATCCACATTTCTGTCGTGCATATCATTGCAGGTAATAGCGGTGTTGCGGCGTGTCCTACCAGATGTAAAGCCCCAGACATTGGCCAGCATCCTGTCTGTGACATCACTTCCTCCAGCCGAGTACAGTATTGTTAACCTTGCCAGCCGGGATGAGGGTGATTCCTCGTTCCACCCGGAGAAACCTAATATCCTTGATGTTCTGTTGTCATGTGTCAGTAAGGCTCTCACTGTACAAACCAAGGTGAAGGTCAGTGGACCCCAGAAGGGAGTTAGCAGTCTGACTTTGTCCGAGTGCCTGGACGAGAAAAGCTCAAAACGGTAATAACACACTTATCGTATTATTCAAAAATCACCCATTAGTTTTAAGAGAGTCTGAGACTCAATTTCAGAAAGATACCTCAGCTCAATAATGGGGATGTATTTTATGCTGTTGACAACAAGAGGACCCAAAAGATTTATTCTCAATACCATGCTGTGTAAATATCTAGAATTCTGAGGCCTGAAGTGACTAAGAATATACTACCCAGGTACTTCTCCTGGACATCTACAATTTTCCAGCATGGTATTTGATACCCTACATTTGTTCCCTTATTTTGAAAAATCAAGTAAGGTGTCTTAAGACAAGGATAGATAATTCTACTCTAAATATTGCCCCTTTAACTGTGCTGGTAGAAGGCATGGATTGATATTTGCAGTTAACATACATACAGAACATATGGAATGATATTGGGAATAGAATTACTGATAGAATGTATGATATTGTAACACTATGATGACATTGCAGGGCGTCCGGTCCACGTTGGTGGATGAGGGGTAAGATGTCAGCTGTCCTCGCCAATAACATCATCTGTCTGATCCACGACATGGGCAAGGTAGGTAGTTACATCCTACTACAAACACAGCCTGGTAGGATTGTATTGTTATATTTTACTATTTCATTCAGTTTGTTGACGTGAAACTGATATGCAAACAGTTTGAGTTGTCAGTTTTCTGTGTAAAATTAAGCTGAAATATAAAGTAAATAGATTACAAAGAACGTAATCATTTTTAGGTCACCTGAGCTTTGCTCAAGTGACCTATTCTAATCGCTTTTCGTCCGTCGTCGTCCGTCGTCGTCCGTCGTGCGTCGTGCGTAAACTTTTACATTTTCAACTTCTTCTCAAGAACCAGTGGATGGATTTTTTTCAAACTTGGTCAGAATCATCCTTGGTAGATGAGGCTTCAAAATTGTAAAATTGGGATTCCTACCCCGACCCCTGGGGCCAGGGCGGGGCCCCAAAGGGAAAATTAATCAATATTTCAAAAATCTTCTTCTCCAGACTCAGAGGTACTACAGTGATTTTCTCTACGTGGAAAGAAAGATCATCAGGGGCTTTACTTAAATTGTAAATTTCAGGACCCCCGAGCTATCCGTTCTCCCTTGGGGAGGGGGTAAAGTTTACTATAGTTTATATAGGGAAATAACACTTTTGGGTATATTTTGACAACTTTCTGTAGGAAATTATTTTTACTTGGTGAGAATTATCCTTGGAGGAAGATGGTTTCAAATTGTAAAATTGAGATTCCTACCCCGACCCCTGGGGCCAGGGCGGGGCCCGAAAGGGAAAAATAACCAATATTTCAAAAATCTTCTTCTACAGACTCAGAGGTACTACAGTGATTTTCTCTATGTGGTAAGAAAGATCATCAGGGGCTTTACTTAAATTGTAAATTTCAGGACCCCCGAGCTATCCGTTCTCCGTTGGGGAGGGGGTAAAGTTTACTATAGTTTATATAGGGAAATAACACTTTTGGGTATATTTTGACAACTTTCTGTAGGAAATTATTTTTACTTGGTGAGAATTATCCTTGGAGGGAGATGATTTCAAATTGTAAAATCGAAATTCCTACCCCAACCCTAGGGGCCAGGGCGGGGCCCCAAAGGGAAAATTAACCAATATTTCCAAATTTTTCACTTCCAGACTCAGAGGTACTACATTCATTTTCTCTGCATGGAAAGAAAATCATCAGGGGCTTTATTTAAATTGTATATTTCAGGACCCCGAGCTATCCGTTCTCCCTTAGGGAGGGGGTAAAGTTTAATATAGTTTATATAGGGAAATAACACTTTTCGGTATATATTTTATCCATTTTCAGCAGAAAATTACTCAAACTTAGTCAGAATCATCTTGGGTGAGTGAGGGTATTACTTTGTAAAATTGGGATACCTGCCCCATCCCCAGGGGCTAGGGCGGGGCCCCAAAGGGAACATTTACCAATATTTTCAAATTCTTATCCATTGATGACATGACAAGTATTGTATTTCACTTAGTTTACATGCTGATTTCCACATCACATCTAAACAATAAAATAAAGCTACCAGTACCTATGATATAACTCAGGTGACCGCTAAGGCCCTTGGGCCTCTTGTATAATATGCTACATATATAGATGTTATGCAATCATGGACCAAACATAAAATTTCAGACCATTTCAAATAGCAGACATTTGTAACCTTGACTTATTGTATTAATACAAGTTCATAAACATCACCTGCAGGTGGCCCAAACCCCTCATAATTAGGTGAATATTCAAAAACTCTCTATTCACAATTTCTGCTTAATTTAATACTGTACAAAAATATTGTCTAATTTTCACTGAAATTAATGAAACTTTTATTAGATCAATATTGCTTGAATTTGTAACATATATTGACTTGATATATATATCATTATGCTTAATGTTTTGAAATAAAACTACACCTGAAGATCTAGTTTTCCTTTATCAATATATCATTATGGCCAATTTGTACGATTTCATTTTACAGGGACAGTTGTCTGAGACGTGGGCAACAGTGACAAAAGCAGCCATTGCTGAGGCGATTCTCAACCTCACCAAACTGGACGAGGCACACAGGGTACCTGAAGCCTGTATCAAGACTCCAACAGTTTGTATTCCAAAAAAAAGTCTTTTGTAACAACTTACAAGTATTGTTGACTGTAAAAATGAATTGGATCCTAACAAAGTGATATTTTGGTGTCATAGTGTTTCTTACACAGTGCACGTGTTTGTACAACAGTGACTGGAACCATATAATAGCTGAAACTAGTAATAACCAGATAAACGAATGATGCAGATATCACAACAGCATTCAAATACATGATTTTTAAGATGATTACAAAATCACACCAAAGAGTTTCTGTAACTGTAAATATTGAAATGTATTTTGAAAAAATATAGTGATAACACTTAAGCTTTGATTATAGCCATAATACTTGTCCCCTAAATCTGTGATTATAATAATAACGTTTCCCCCCTACAGCTGTGGCTTGCCCTGGCCTCTCTCTGTGTACTGGACCAAGACCATGTGGAGAGACTGACCTCAGGTCAGTGGGTCAGCAGCCCTAACGGCCAGCATGGACAACCGAGGGTAAGACATACTCTGTAGTACTTAAAGTGATCAGTGTTATATCCAAAAGGACGTTGTTGATTACAGACAAGAACGAGACCTTTAAACCTGTTGTCCATGTGTCTATGATCATACTGTCTGTCATTTTACTTTAAAAGACTATTTATTTAGAAAGATTGAAGGATGTTTTTACTTTTTGTATGAAACATATCTTGACCAAGGGAATTTATTGTTGTTTAAATGGCACACTTTCCTTGAGAGAGAAAACAGTGTCACATACAAGAAATAGCAACGAATATTTAAAGGCTACTCAAGTACAGGTTAAAGGCTGTTTAAGGCCTTTCTAGGGGCCGAATGCATGTTGGGGTCCAATAGGGGATATAGGGATAAAAGTTTCAAAGACTACTAGTACTTATGTTTATGTTAAAGGGATTTTACCTTATTATAAGTATGAAGCATCTTTCGACCAATAGGGTAAAATATTAAAAGATGACTATTTTAGGATTTCAATCTTCTTGGTATGAAACATCTGAGGGAAAGTAGGTTCTATTTGTAACAATGAAGGTAATAGTCCTGTGGTGTCTGGATAGATGGGCGTAAGGTATATTTCTACACTGCTAATGCAATATACTTTTGCTAATGGGATTCAAGGTCTAAATGAAGGATCATAGCCGTCCTGGGAGTAGATTGGAAATCAAAGTCAAGTCTTATTTTATAAGAGCTTTTTCACACATCTTTATTTCACAAATCAGTTTAACGAAAATTTACGAAAATGTTCCTCTTATTGTCCTACAGAGTGGTTTTTATAAATGTTTGATTCAGTAAAAATACAAGATGATCACCAGTTATCTCAAGTTATCGGAAACCGTTTTATGTTTACTTGATGTTATAAATGCATAATTATGTAATAACTGATGAGCAGCAAGGGCTCTGTCAATCTTTTGTTTATAATTTTGTTTAATAATGTCTGGAAAAGCCAAGGGAATTATCCTTTTCCTGAATTATTTAATAGTCTTAGAAATTTATTAATACTAAAGGATTGATTACTCCATTTAGAAATTAATGTCTATTTCATCACTTGGCTGTACAAGTGATCAGTCGAACAAAAACTGATGTCATCAAGTCTGATTACCACTTCAAGTGTTATTGTTTTGTCCATTCATTCTATATGACTCAGACTTCACCATCTGTTTTCTTATTGTTCATGGCCTTGTAATCTACTTTATATGTACTCTACGATATATAAAAATTGTACTATATAATGAAGATGTTCAATGTTAAATGGGTTTGTTTGTCAGCCAACATGTGATAACCATGACGACGGGGAGACCCAGGCCATCATCTTGTGTAACGAGTGTGGCAACCTCTGTGCTGAGTGTGACCGCTTCCTACATCTCCCGCGCAAAAAACGGACTCACCAACGCCAGGTAAATAAAAACACACCAACACAAGGCACATAATAAATGTACAAACCCCAACACCAGCTAAACAATAAATACACACCCCCACACCAGCTTAACAATAAATTCACATCCCAACACTAGCTAAACAATAAATACACACCCCAACACCAGCTTAACAATAAATACACACCCCCACACCAGCTTAACAATAAATTCACACCCCAACACTAGCTAAACAATAAATACACACCCCAACACCAGCTTAACAAAAACACATACACACTCGCCAAAGACAGTGAATGTGAGTGATATACTGTATATACACGCCAAACACAGTGAATGTGAGTGATATACTGTATATACTCGCCAAACACAGTGAATGTGAGTGATATACTGTATAAAACTCGCCAAAGACAGTGAATGTGAGTGATATACTGTATATACTCGCCAAAAAACAGTGAATGTGAGTGATATACTGTATATACTTGCCAAACACAGTGAATGTGAGTGATATACTGTATATACTCGCCAACGACAGTGAATGTGAGTGATATACTGTATACACTCGCCAAAGACAGTGAATGTGAGTGATAAACTGTATATACTCGCCAAAGACAGTGACTGTGAGTGATATACTGTATATACTCGCAAAAGACGGTGAATGTGAGTGATATACTGTATATACTCTCCAAACACAGTGAATGTGAGTGATATACGTGATATACTGTATATACTCGCCAAACACAGGGAATGTGAGTGATATACGTGATATACTGTATATACTCGCCAAACACAGTGAATTTGAGTGATATACTGTATAAAACTCGCCAAAGACAGTGAATGTGAGTGATATGCTGTATATACTCGCCAAAGACAGTGAATATGAGTGATATACTGTATATACTCGCCAACGACAGTGAATGTGAGTGATATACTGTATCTATATATACATTGAATGTGAGTGATATACTGTATATATAGAGAGTTACCGGGTATTTAGCAACAGTCAGAGGTATTTCTACATGTTTAACATGACAGTCGTCTATATTTCTTCTCTGGTAAAATTTCAAACCTCAACTTCCATACAGCAAGGTTATACTGTATAAAACTCGCCAAAGACAGTGAATGTGAGTGATATGCTGTATATACTCGCCAAAGACAGTGAATATGAGTGATATACTGTATATACTCGCCAGACACAGTGAATGTGAGTGATATACTGTGTATACTCGCCAAAGACAGTGAATGTGAGGGATATACTGTATATACTTGCCAAACACAGTGAATGTGAGTGATATACGTGATATACTGTATATACTCGCCAAACACAGTGAATATGAGTGTTATACTGTATATACTCGCCAAAGACAGTCAATGTGAGTGATATACTGTATATACTCTCCAAACACAGTGAATGTGAGTGATATACTGGATATATAGAGAGTTACCGGGTATTTAGCAACAGTTAGAGGTATTTCTACATGTTTAACATGACAGTCGTCTATATTTCTTCTCTGGTAAAATTTCAAACCTCAACTTCCATACAGCAAGGTTATACTGTATAAAACTCGCCAAAGACAGTGAATGTGAGTGATAAACTGTATATACTCGCCAAAGACAGTGAATGGGAGTGATATACTGTATATACTCGCCCAAGAAAGTGAATGTGAGTGATATACTGTATATGCTCGCCAAACACAGTGAATGTGAGTGATATACTGGATATATAGAGAGTTACCGGGTATTTAGCAACAGTCAGAGGTATTTCTACATGTTTAACATGACAGTCGTCTATATTTCTTCTCTGGTAAAATTTCAAACCTCAACTTCCATACAGCAAGGTTATACTGTATAAAACTCGCCAAAGACAGTGAATGTGAGTGATAAACTGTATATACTCGCCAAAGACAGTGACTGTGAGTGATATACTGTATATACTCGCTAAAAAACAGTGAATGTGAGTGATATACTGTATAAAACTCGCCAAAGACAGTGAATGTGAGTGATATACTGTATATACTCGCCAAACACAGTGAATGTGAGTGATATACTGTATATATAGAGAGTTACCGGGTATTTAGCAACAGTTAGAGGTATTTCTACATGTTTAACATGACAGTCGTCTATATTTCTTCTCTGGTAAAATTTCAAACCTCAACTTCCATACAGCAAGGTTTACAGATTTGAATTTCAACACAAAAATAACACAGCATACTTGAAGTAAATATCTTGTTTCAGACCTGGGCCCATTCAGAGTCCACATCTACTTGGTCAGACCATCAGGTCTGTAACTATAGACAATGACCTTTAACCTGATTACCTTGACCTTTCCTGCTGTTAACCCATGTGCCCTTTAACCCCTTGCAGAGTTACACCTTTCCATGGCCAGGTAAACTGGACAGGTCAAAGAGGTCGCACCCATTATAATAATAGCTTGTACACATAGAGCCAACAGGTCAAATCCCCTAAAATATTAGCACTAGATCTTTAAAATGCCTTAAATGATGTATTTCTCAAGGCGATCCTGAATATCTGCTTTTACATTTTCATAGGCAAATAAAAACACCACTGTATGATAAATACTTTTATTCACTAGGTAGCTCTGATATTCTCTGGATAGTTCCTTTATTTACTTACTAGGCCTGATATTTGTTCCTTTGGGGCTTTATATCCTCTCAACAACCAAGGTCATATGGATGATGGGGCCACACAGTCGCCACTTTAAAGTGCAATTTCACTGAAATGTCAGACCTGGACTTGGTCGTATGACACTCCTCATGATCACATTATACTGGCTGCATGCTAACCACCCCTTAGTGCCAACCGTTTAAAGCTGAATGCCAAGCCCACACCAGCAAGAAACAATTTGAAGAACTCTGATTTGTCTTTGTTGGGAGACAGAACCCAAAACCTTGTTTGCTTTAGAGTATGATTAACACTCAGGCCAATAGCAACATTTTGCCCAAAAAGAAGTGCAAAAAAGTAGTGGGGAAGTAGAGAGATTTAATAGATCCCAATTATAATGTATTAAAATGGGTGCTGTAGAGGACACCAAAAGTCCCTAATTCTGCAGGTGGATCTCACAATAGTCACTTCTTAGAAATAATGGAGTGAGTAACAGCAGGAGTGAGTAACAGCAGGTGTATTATTTTCTAAACTCCTGACAGACAGGTAGTTCTAGTTTCATTACCAATCAAGTAGTTGTATTACTTACCAGGTAGTTTTGTTAATATCTACTAGTACTAGGTAGATTTGTGATGTTTTCAAACAAACTAGGAATATAAGCATGAAATAATCATTGAAATAACAAATATTGCCCCAATATGTTTACCAGGAAAAGTTCAGGCCACCAAAATCAAACCATGATTAATTCTTTACCTTAAAATGCATGTAAATGTGCCTGACATATTAAAAATAATCTTATTTGCTACAATTTAAGCTCTAGAACAGTAGATGTTCTAGGTAAATGGCAGTTTTTAGACACTGAATGTTTTCCTTGTTGTGTGGCTTATTTTAATAGAAGAGCTTGTAAAATATCTGAACACAATATGTAGATGTGTTAGTGTAACATTTTTGTATATAAAACAAGTCATTGCATGGAAATATAAAAATAAGATGCCAATGTCTTGTAAAGTTGTTTTGTTTTATAATTTAATGCAGCTGTTATAAAACAAGTTTTTCATATTGTTTCTTCACCTTGGGGATTTAGGTCTTAATTTATAAGTCAGTGGGGTTTTTCAAATTTTATTTTTTTAACAATGTTTCACTTTTTATGTTACCTTTACTTGGTTATCACACCTGTATAATTTTCACCTACCAGGTGTTTAAGGAAGAGGAGGAGGCAATCAAGGTTGACCTTCATGAGGGATGTGGTCGGACCAAACTATTCTGGGTCATGTCCCTGGCTGACTCCAAGACTCTGAAGGCTATGGTGGAGTTTCGGGAGGGTAAGTGAATCATTTACACCAGGAATTACCTAACAGACACTGACTTTGGCCAGGTATTTTTAGCTTACCTGTTCAGTAGTAGTCTGTTGTCGTCTTTTGCCTTAACAAGTTCTCTTCTCAAGAACTGTTTAGGGGATTTTGACCAAATTTGGTCTGGAATATCTTTGTGAAGTGGGGGTTCTAAATTATTGAAAAAAATTGTCTATCCTCCGGTGTTGAGCAGTGGGGCTATAATTGATATTAGCTTACATATTGGTTTAAGTGACTTCTTCTCTGGAACTGTGTGATAGATATCAAACATACTTGGTGAAAAGCATTTTGAGATGGTGGGGCTCAAAATTGTACAAGCGGAGGGGGCCAACCTGAATTGATATGTGAGGAGTTGTAGTGGGAATGTCTTTGTACATTATCAATTTGTGAAGACTTTGTCCAGTAGTATGTTTGTATTGTAGGTCGTACCTCAGCCGGGGGTGCTGGTCCTGGTACTTGTCGGTTCTGTGGTACCAGTAACAACACAGGACTCCTAGCCATTGGTAATGTGTGTGCTGATGCCGAGTGTCAGGTAAGCACTGGAACTTTTAAAGAAAACTGCAAAGTAGAATGGAAAAAAACCCATTTTGATTTGATGTTTCACCTAATCAAACTTTCTTTGTCCTTGTAACATAATGATATTTCTAAAGTCTGTTCAGAAATTATTTGACACATTCTAGAAATAATTTGCTGCATTGTTTATTTGTGTATTTTACATTTTTAAATTGCCATGCATATCTCAATTTTTTTCTTTAAAATGGAGATTTTTTTTCAAATTAACAGTTAATTTGTTAAACAGTTAGCGTTCAAAATGTTCAGGATATTCTGAAGTGTTTTAATATCCTGAAGTGTCAATAAATATAATATTGTTTGCATAAATGAACACAATCTAAGACAAAAAGTACATGGAAGTGCCCAGTGAGTTAATACAATGACATCTTCTGTTTGACAGGAGCATGCTCAGAATGCCTGTACCAAGGTGCTACCGTGTGGTCATGCCTGTGGAGGTATCAAGAATGAGGATCCTTGTCTGCCCTGTCTCCATCGCTGTCGCACGGAAAACCAGGAGTCGCTCAAACAGGATGCTGATGACATGTGTATGATCTGCTTCACTGAGGCTCTTGCTGCGGCACCTGCAATCAAGGTATGCCTAGCTCACCTGCCCGAAGGTTAAGTGAGCTTATGCCATAGTGCAGCGTCTGTTGTCCGTCCGTCGTCCATCCGTCCGTCAACTTTTCCTTTAAAACACTACTTGTCCTGAACGGCCCAGTAGATTTGAACTAAATTTGGTATTGAGCATCCTTAGGCCAAGGGGATTCAATTTTGTATAAACGGTGGGTGTGGCCCCCCTGGGGACAGAGGGGTAGGGCCAAATAGGGGAAATAGAGGTAAACCTTTAAAATCCTTCTCCTACGAAAGGGATGAAGGGATTTTATCCTAATTTGATCTGGAGCATCTTTGGGGACTCAATTTTGTATAAACGGTGGGTGTGGACCCCCTGGGGGCAGAGTTGCTGGGCCCAATAGGGGAAAAAGAGGTAAAAACCTTTGAAATCCTTCTTCTACCATAGGAATTAAGGGATTTCATCCCAATCTGGTCTGGAGCATCCTTGGGCCAAGGGGACTCAATTTTGAAAAAACGATGGGTTTGGACCCCATGGGGGCTGAGAGTTGCGGGGCCAATAGGGAAATTAGAGGTTTAAACCTTTAAAATCTTTCTTCTTCTTCTGTATTATTGGAGGGATTTAATGTAATAAGAATAATTTCCCATGGTTGCTTTATTATCCAGGTGAGCGATAAGGGCCCTCTGGGCCTCTTGTGTATCTTGTTTCCAAATATATTGAAATTTTGGAAATTTTGATGAACATGTGTGTGATGTGTAACATGTGTGTGATGTGTAATGTGTGAGTGTCAGTTGTTATGTAGGTGTCATCTTTTTATGTGATGTGTAAGTAGGACATCTGTGCCAGTTGTTACATATTGTGTATGATGTATATCCACAGCTGAAGTGTAACCACCTGTTCCATTTACACTGTACCAAGAACATCCTAGAGAAGTGCTGGGTCGGCCCACGAATCACCTTCGGATTCTCACTCTGTCCAATATGCAAGGTAAGAAACACAAGAAATGAAATGAGAAAACATGTGTAACTTAAAAGTGTAATTTACACATGTAAAGTGTCAGGGGTTTTCAATGATTGTGAATATACAGATAGCTAAATGAAATGGAAGGTAATTCAAGGCTTATTATTTCTGCCAAATGGCTGCCTATTTTCATTATGGTGTGTCTATAGATGTGCAATGAGTTGTTACCTACATTAACTTACTCTAAAGCTGAGCTATCTCTCCTCACATTGAATTAAACCAGAGATTTTCTCACCCTTAAGTTTGACTTATAACCATATGCAGAGAAATAAGAGGTTTACCTCCCTATAATCAACATTAACACTATTTTATATAGAGTACAATAGAACAGCCAGTGTTACGTGACCAACTGAAGCCTATCAGAGACCTGTACAGCGACGTAAAGAGGAAGGCTATGATGAGACTGGAGTATGAGGGACTACACAAGGCCGAGGCCATCACCACACCTGGGGCTCGATTCTACCAGGACCCCGCAGGATTTGCCATGGAGAGATATGCCTATTATGTCTGCTACAAATGTAAAAAGGTACACACAAATTACTTAAACAGAAAAGTTGAGGCATTTTAATAGTACTCTTTATTAAAAACAGAAGATAAGAAAATATTCAGTTTGAATATTTAAGTTTTCACAATATGTTACAAGGAAAGTCACGAATGTATTTTACATCTTGGAAAACAAGTTTAATGGAAATATTGGAATGAACAGGTTGTTTAACAATAATTTGTACTCCACGATCGGTGAAGCAATGTGGGGTTTTCTGGGTAAACAGGGTCTGGATAGATAGGGTTGACTTACAATATTAAACTAAAAAGAGGAAAAACTGAGACAATGTTAAAACCAACACAGACAGGGATTGGAATTAAGCAGGGGGTGGTTTACAATATTTATACAGTATGGGAATTCTGTCATAAATGTTTGTTGAGTTGTTATTATGGCATAATGTATTATGTTTACTGTCATACAGGCATACTACGGAGGTGAGGCTCGCTGTGATGAGCAGGCTGGTGTCGCTGAAGACTATGACCCACAGGAGCTGGTGTGTGGGGGTTGTTCTGATATTTCCCGGGCCCAGGTAAGGAGCAGTCAACATCTAATCAACCCATGTCCCAATTAAATGTTGTGACAGTCAGTTTAAAAATATATATAAGTTTGTTGTATATTTATTTGTGGATATAGATTTGGGATGGAATTTCCATTATCAGTGTCAGCTAGGATGCACTCGTAAATGTGACTGATATAAACTGGACATATAGCACTGTAACTTTAGAAAATATTTGTTTACATATCAAAGCCTTGACAAATTAAAGCCTTAAAGTTAGGATTTTCCACTTCAGAAACTTAATATATTTAATTCTAAAATGCAGGCTAAAAGATACTTTGACAGATTAGAAATGCTTTTAACATTGGTATTTCTAAATATAGATGTGTCCTAAACATGGAACAGACTTCCTGGAATACAAATGTCGCTACTGCTGCTCTGTCGCCGTCTTCTTCTGCTTCGGGACAACTCACTTCTGTAACATCTGTCACGATGACTTCCAGCGTGTCACCAACCTGCCCAAGAGCGAGCTTCCTCACTGTCCAGCAGGTAAAACCTTACATTATAGCTCCCTGTGTCCAGCAGGTAAAACCTTACATTATAGCCCCTGTGTCCAGCAGGTAATACCTTACATTATAGCCCCCTGTGTCCAGCAAGTAAAACCTTACATTATAGCCCCCTGTGTTCAGCAGGTAATACCTTACATTATAGCCCCCTGTGTCCAGCAGGTAATACCTTAAATTATAGCCCCCTGTGTCCAGCAAGTAAAACGTTACATTATAGCCCCCTGTGTTCAGCAGGTAATACCTTACATTATAGCCCCCTGTGTCCAGCAGGTAAAACCTTACATTATAGCTCCGTGTCCAGCAGGTAAAACCTTACATTATAGCTCCCTGTGTCCACCAGGTAAAAATCTTACATTATAGCTCCCTGTGTCCAGCAGGTAAAACCTTACATTATAGCGCCCTGTGTCCAGTAGGTAAAGGACCATACAGCTTCCTCTGTGTCTAGTTGGTAAACACCCTCATCTTAAGCTTTCTATTTGTCGAGCAGAATTTACTTCAGTTGTAATATGTTAGCAGCGGTATTTGAAAATGATCTCTCATTTAATTTTTGTTTCATTTGTTCAGTACAAGGAGGTTGTATTAACTTTGATCACATAATTTAGAATTGCTGCAAAGTGAAGAGTCAGTCATGAGGACAGTTGTGTTTAAATATGTGTTTACTCTGTAGGTCCTAGAGGGAAACAGCTTGAAGGAGACGAATGCCCACTGCACGTTCAGCACCCGCCCACTGGGGAGGAGTTTGCTTTGGGATGCGGAGTTTGTAGAAATGCGCACACATTTTAGCTTCACAACAGAGGACTTTAACTCGGATTCAGGCTCTAGCATGTTTTAACCTGGCCAGTAGTGTTATGTTTGGGTTCGGGAATACCTACAGGGTTCAACTCCAGTACGTCAGTAGTTTAACAGTGTTAAAAACATGTTGTTTAGACGCAGTGTATAGAAACTGTGTGGCTGTCAACACCACACTTAAAAGTGCTCCTCTATCATCTTTGGGTGAAATCATGTGTAGTATTTTAAATTGTTGGTTGCTTTTAACTAGACTATGACTTTCACCTTACTCACAATCTCTGCCTGTACTTGCTTTGTTCATGGTAACACAAATGAAATAACTTTATCATTGCCAAAGACCAACAAATGAATTTTAATATTGTTATTGAGTAATTACTATAGTTGTTACTGGTTATTGCCAGGATAATGAAATGTTACCGATACAAATATTTGTTATCATTAGATGTCATTGGGGAAAACCTACAGCACAGCAAGCATCTCTTTACAATTTCTATGAAATGAAGAGAAAAAACAACAAAAATATTATATTTAGAAAAATCATCATTTTACCTATTCCAGTGCTAAAGTTTGTTCACAAGTCAAGGATAAACTGAAACTTTCTGTTGAATTGCACATTATTACAGCTTCTGTATCCAAATCTGTAGAAGCATGCAGGTTACTGTTTCAGAATGTAAAAGTCAGTTATCTCTGATACTGAAGCTGATTGGTACTCCAAACTATCCTTCAGATTTTGTGAATAGGTCATTAGAACCTCGTTTTGGACTGGTCTGAGAGTATAGGCTAGAATATCTACATGGTCAGTGGACTGAATAGATAGATCTCTTTGTTGGGATATTTAGTATCAGTTCCTAAATGACATGATGAATACAATCGGTTAATATTTATTTCTAGGATATATATTGCTACCTTTAATACGATCTTAATGAGGTTTTTAAATTCAGTTCCATAACAAATTGTTAACTATATTTCATGAACTGCAACTTAACTTGGTAAATTAATATACGAAATGTTGGAGAGGCACACGAGGGCATGCATGGATACTTTGAATGATCAGATGAATGTAAGGAAGATAACTTTTAGTGTTGGTACAATCTTAAGGTAGCATATAATCTCAAATCAGTATGGAAGATTTAATTTCTGGAAAATGTGTTGGTCATTTATTTTTTCCATTCCAAATATATAGCTGTCTAGTCTGCCTCGGTTGTCTACAAGGTTTCAATGAAATAGGAATATATCGGTGTCATGGTTGATTTTGTTTTCTATGAAAGGTTTTATTTTCAGCAATGCTTTGTTTTGACATCTTCAGGATTGGTGGGGTATTTTGAGTGATACATATGAATTCCACTTGTTAGAAACCTATCAGAAGGGTGGAGTGATGGTGTATAAGAGGAGTGGAAGTGTTATGACAATGAGTATGTCTAGAGGTGGTAAAGTGTTGATAACGATAGTGTATTGGCGTGGAAGTGAAATGACATTGAGGAGGTTCTACAAATGATGTAGTATTGCTTATACTTTGTAACTGTTAATGAGAGCAACTGATACAGAAAAGGGTACCAATATTACCAGTAATGTGAATGAGATTTCTCTTTACCTTTGTTTTGTCTGCCTAACCAGTGGACAGCATACACTTGTTTAAATATCGGCTTTGATTGACATCAAAATGACTAATTCATTAATCAGAATTGTATGTAATGCAGGAAATCTTTGAAAATGAGTTGTGATGATTATATGTATAAATATATATACTGTGGGACTCGTTGATTAAACCTCCCATACAGCTGAACACTACAAATGTTCAGTGCTACAAAATGCTTTACCAGTTTAAAGAAGTTGAAATCTACATAATTATAATGATTATTATTACTTGTACCTTTGATACCGTTACGGATGTTTGCTGCTTGGAGGCCAGACAGCTGTGTGGTGTAATGGGAGATGATTGGGATATCTGTGGGTAGCTTTGTAAAGCATTCCTCCCTCCTACCCGATGGTTTAGTATTTTATATATAACTGTGATATATTTGACTGTTTTTTCAGGCAAATAAAATTTTAGACATCTGCAGAAGTCATTTTTTGTGGTTCTTAGATTACCGGCCGCAGAATCACAAAAGTTAAACATTCTTGATATCAATATCAGATATGTTTTAATGGACCGTTTATTTATGTATGTGAAAAAATCAGCTCTTGACTTGAAACTGAATGAATTGCAGAAAATCTATGTCGTGAACATTTGAGAGGAAATGTGAAGTGAAAGAATAACACTTTTCTTTTTGGAAGTACTGAATTGATATTTCTAAAATTACCCAATTTACAATTTTGGGACTGCCCGTTGAAAAAAGATAGGTGCACAAGGCATCACCATCTTGAAATTTTGCATGAAGTACTGGAGAAATCTTTCTCAATTTGATACATTACTATTGTAGTTAATAGCTTAAAAGACAATTACATATTGAATGGAAAATGTGAGACCCCTTGAGAAGTACCAGACCTTGCATTGTTAAGGACCAGATCCCTTGGGAAGTACAAAACCTCCTGGTGAAGGACTTTGGTATTTCCCGGCACGAAAGAAGAGCCCATTGCCTTCCTCGTTCAGGCCAACATTCAAACATCAAAGCCAAATTTTAAGTGAGGTATTGCCAAGGAAGGTGCTAGGGAAACAGGTATTTAGATGTAGAGAGAAATACAAAAAACCAAATATTGTGGGGAGCATATTTATTTTTGTCGCTTTTGTGTCCACAAGTAGAGCTGAGGGCATCCTCGATATCCAGGTGTAAGGACCAGACTCACCTGTGAAGGACCAGACCCCATTCTGAAGGACGAGAAACCACTTGTGAAGGACCAGACCCTTTTGTGAATACTCGGTCTCCTTGTAAAGGCAATGCCTCATTATCACTCATACCTACCATAGTTTCTGATAATAATCTGTTGAACAGACAACTTATTGTAAACAATTACACAACAATGATACCATGTCAAACATAGCTTTTATTTTTTCAAACATGCAGACATATATGCATTCAACACAATTAAGTCACCAAAATGTACATTGTTGATATAACTAAATGACACCTTGTTAGAGGTAACTAGAACAATAACTTCATAAACCAGAACTGTAAGTTAAAGGCTTACTAAGGCAAACCATCGCAAAGCAATCCTTAGTGTCCCACCAGTAACAAGTATCTGCACAAAGGGGCAATCCGCATACAATGTACCTCCATCACAAAGGGTCGAAATCCCAAATTAAAATGCTGGTGCACAACTTCATAAGATACAGATTATTCATACAAAGTTTCAATAAAATCCACCTGTTAGTAAAGGAGTAGTTGCACGGACAAGTATTTTGCACAAAGGGGAATAACTCCATCAAAAAGGGTCGAAATCGCAAATTAAAATGCTGGTGCACAACTACATAAGATACTGATCATTCATGCAAAGTTTCAATCCACCTGTTAGTGAAGGAGGAGTTGTGTGGACAAGTATTTTGCACAAAGGGGCATAACTCCATCAAAAAGGTTTGAAATCCCAAATTAAAATGCTGGTATACAACTACATAAGATACCAATCATTCATGCAAAGTTTCAATGAAATCCACCTGTTAGTTGAAGAGGAGTTTTCCGGACAAGTTACTGTGGACGACAGACAGACATCCAGACAGGCCAGACAGGGTGATTCCAGTATACCCCCCTAACTTCATTGCGGGGGTATAATTATAGGATATTTGTACACCCTATTTGGTAAAATTTGATAGTGGAATTGAGAACTAGTCAAAAATGTCTAAGCAACTCTGAGGAAAGGTTTGAGATTTAAATAAATAGCAGCACCTGTTCAGGAATATGTAAGCAAAAGTGAATTATTCAACAAATAACAGGCAGTGGTGAAAATGCAGAAAACAAAATGAAATGCCATCACTTTATAACAATTATCATTATCTACCACATGTTACGTAAGTACAAACATCAACTTTCCTGTCATGATAACGAGTATGAGTATTTACCATAGTATTATTGGATACATTTTCAATCTTTACATATCATTTTTCATTTCACATCATATAATTACCTTGCTGTCCAAATTATCATATGATCACTTCAGCAATGAAGTAGCCTTTCTTATTCAAGGTAAGTATATTTGCAATACAAACTTTACAAAAATAATAATGTTAATTTCCATTGTAAATCATTGATCTTTTAAACTGAACAAAAGACTGACAGTGATGTCAACTAAACAAAACGTTACAACCTATAATAACAGAAGCCATGTCATTTTACAAAAACATGAAAACTAACTGTAGTAACCGTTGTCATGTCATCTATTTATAAATATATCAACTAAGTGTAATAATATTAACATTAACAATAGTCATGTTTTGCATATGAAAGATGTAGATTCAGTGTAACTACAGATATCCTATACCTGCTGTAGGTATTATCTGTCCCAGTGTACAGGACTCTGGTATTGTTTTAAGGGTGAAACTTTTCAACACCACACTTGCATCATCATTAGGTCACATCTTGCATCAAATATTATTCCAACAGAAGTGAAATCCTATATCTGGTACAGAGAAGAGCTAATCAGGACCCCCGTACCACTGCCAGGACCCCGGATAAAACAAGTATCCAACTCATAAAAGTTGATTATTCTGAAGCTTGTAGGTTATGATTCAGAATAAACTCATTCCATCAAAAATGACTAACAATTTGTGTATTTCAGACAATTAGAAAATACTGTGATCTTCTACAGGAGCATGATAGTGGGGAACGTTAGGACTGTGGTACTAAAGGGAATACTGAAGATTAATTCTGAGGACTCATTGGGAGAACAATTTGGCAGTGGTATATTTGGGAACAATAACAATAAAACCTGAGGACTTTTATCACCGGTTGGGTTTATTACACTAGTCCATTTAAATGACAAGTCTTTAGATAGAGCATTAATAGCATCTCTTAAATAATAATAAAAAAAAATATGTTTTATCATTTTCAAATTATAGGTCCCTGTATAAATTCTAATAAAACTGCAACAATATATTATGCACACCAAATAACAACTGTAAAACATTATTCTTGGTTGCCAAACCTCACATTTTGGGAGATTGAATCCTGCAATTCAATGTCACCATGTGAGCCGAATTTTCAAGTTATACAAACATTTCTCCCTCCATATCAAACAAAGGATTCCTAAATAGGAATGTCCGTACAAGAATCTAACGCTGAATCAACAGGCAATAACAAGGTTTGTACCAAAACAATAGATAAACATACTTGTGGCAGACATTTTGCATAGGATCAGATTGGGGAACATGTCTAGCACCAATTTATCTCTTACTTAACCTAAGGACTAGACTTATTCCATAGCCCTATGAAATACTTAAAGTGAATGATGCATTATATACCTTTCCTTCATTAATGACTACTTCCCTGAACTTCTAAACCATAAAGTAGGGCAAGTGCCAACAATGCATGCCTGACAAGTTCTCATTAAAGAGGCGAGTGTCATAGATGGTCAAAATCCAGGTTAAATCTGCTATTTGAAGGTCATTTCACTATCATTAAAAGTTTTCAAGTTCATCAAAATCAGTAGTATAACATTTAAACTAAAATGTATCAATATTTTCATTTCAATATACATGTTTATATTTTTATGGAGTATTTTAATATTCAAAGTTTTAAATTTAGAATTCAGAATTATTTTCAATGATGGGATAAGTAGTGCAAATGCAGGAGATCTAAAATTTACTAAAATTTACTATAATTTACTAAAATTTACTCGCCTAGGCTAGAGGTCAACTGCTGCTTGACCTGCACAAAAGTAGGTGACTTGGTAGGTATGCAATTTGGTGTATCCAACACCATCAAAACTATAACAGATAGTATTTTAATAAACTTGTCTATGAATATACCTACCTGGTAATTATAATGGTACAGTACCAACTAAAAAACATTTCTTGTCAACAAAAAAACAAAACAAAAATCAATGAAAAGAGCATAATTATAATTATGTACAAAATAACGCTATTTGAATAAAACACAAGTAATGCATTTATATACATTGGAATGTGCAGAGTATACCTGATACTACAAAAAAAAGTAAGCCTTGTCATCATAACAAAAGAAATTTAAAAAAAAAGTCTCCCGTGCTGCCTAGATGACCCACTTTATCGATGGGTCATGAAACAATACAAGTAAAACCAAGTGCTGTTTGGTGCAATGAAATATCACCAGACTGAGTATACCCTTGTTCTTTAAAAATCACTTTTAAATGCCGCATGAAACATATTGGTCTATTCGTCAAAGATCATCAGGTAAATATATAGACTGCAAAACAAGTGAAATAGTCCACTACCAATAAGCTGAAAGGTTTTCCCAGATTTATGAAGAAAGAACAATCGTTATTTTGAGAAATTTGATTTCACTGACTAATAGATTGGTGATGAGGATTTCAAGTACACATGTACCAATTTTTAACTTGTAACAGATAAACTGAAGAACATCTGTCAACCTTCCATAGCACCAACACAAATTTCTACACACACTGCACACTTGTGTCAAACTTAAGTCAGGATATTTGTCAAACTGTCCTAGCTTAGAGTGTGGCCAGCGAAAAACCCTACCACACTTCATTGTATATTTTACCATATCTCAATATCTATAACCTAATAAAATGAACAACCTGCTAATGTAAATACTGTAGTCCTCCAAATGTTGGGTTCATCAGAGAGGCTCAATTCCATGTTTCTCCTGATCAGATGATGTAAATAGTGGGGCCCAGTTCACTTACAGCTGTGTTCTTCAGGTCTAGAGGGGTTCCATTTCATGCTTCTCCTGATCAGATAAAAGATTCTGACCCACTTCCATGTTACCATCATTTGTTATAGTGGCCTCCTCTGCATTATCTATGAATGAAATATTAAAACAAGTATTTGAATAATGAAATAAGACAAAAATATATCAATACAACCAGAGACGTATATACTCTAAGCACTGTACTATACTTACATAGTAACAGGAAGATTCCAGGAGAAATTGTTATGACTATATACAGAGATTTTGATTTGTTTTAATTACATTTACAATGAATACAGCTGTACCCCAAACATTCCTGTATTGGAGTCCAATCCCTCCAGGAAGTCACACTTACTAAATTTATACAATATTGAGCTTCCTTGGGTTACAGATGTTAAAACCAAATTTGGTAAAAATCCCTTTACTAATACCGAAATAGTAGTATATACATTTATTTTTTTCTACTGTGCAACTCCCCTCTGCCCTAGGAAGGCACCACCATTCATTTATACTCTTCATGTTGCTCTGTGGTATATCTGACAAACTAACTAGTCGTCTGCAGAGGGTTCAGAACACTTTAGCACGGCTAGTTACTCGTACTCGAAAGAGAGAGCACATCACACCTGCGCTTTATTCGTTGCACTGGTTACCTGTACGATACAGGTCGCAGTACAAAATTCTGGTATACACATACAAGGCACTGGATGGAACAGCTCCTCAGTACCTACAGGAACTTGTTACCCTGTATCAGCCGTCAAGATCACTGCGGTCGGAGTCAGAATCTTTGTTGTGTGTCCCAAAATCTCGTACTGTGACCTACGGAAACAGATGCTTTGGGAGGGTTTCGGCTACGTTGTGGAATAGCTTACCATCTGCTATTAGGAAGTCAAATACCCTGGCCAAGTTCAAGAGGGACATAAAAACTCACCTCTTCACGTCTGCATTTTAGAATCTTTGCAAAGACGTCATGTAAATACCACCCTTTTATTTGTTCAATTATGTGCACATTGCTTGTTAAATGTATGAAAGTGATTGCAAGCCTTTGTTGTTTGTTTTCACAATTATAACATTACTATTATCCATATGTTGTAAAGCGCCTTAGAGTAATTTTACAAATTATATAGAGCGCTATATAAATGCTGTATGTTATTATTATTATTATTATTATAATACAATATTGAATCCTCATGGCCCAGCAATGCTCACGACTTTATTTAATGAACTATTTTCAAGGAAAAGTTGATGATGGACGGACAATGGATACTTTGTTCCTGCAGAGTTAGACTCCTCCACCACAGAGTCAGCTTTCCTCCACCACATCTGCATTATTAATAATATCTACCTTGTTAATACTATCATTGTGGACCTAACAAACCTTGAGCTTCTTTCGTCTGGTCAAACGTGCTTTGTTTTAGGCACAGTCGGTTGATAATGATGTAGAGTATTAGAAAGCCGACGGAGATGAAACTGTACAGTCGGAATGTCCACACAAACCCCAGTGGTTCCACTATCTGTCCGGTGACGATGCTGCCGATACCCTTTCCTGTGCAACAGGCAAAGGGGCACAAATGTTTATGCTACATACAGCTATGTACAAATGAAGGTTAAAGGGACTATAATTGTAAAAATCAGTTAAAAATATCATAAAAAGTTACATTTTCAGAAATAATGTCACAAAACATATACTTTGAAGTTTCTCTTAATTACACTAAAGTTTCTGCAAGCATTCTAATAATTGCTGATAATAATTCGGAATTGAATTTTACGACCCATTGCTAACTCATATTAACACTACAAAGTAGATAAACAGGGAGATTACAGATCCATCTTAAAAGAGGCAAGCCAAGAGACGAATAAACACGTATGTTTAATGTAGGGATTGTCCCAGGAATCCTGTCAATCCCAAAATCACGAGAGGCAGATCAGTACAGAATGGGGAAGTGCTTACTATTGTCAAATTTTGCTATGATCAATTTCGAATTTTTCTAATCTACAAAATGATGTAGGTGTGTAAATAACAGGCCCTTGGGGTCTTTTGTATACAAAAAGTTTCAATTGTCACAAAATACTTGTTGAAACATACATCAGCAGATATCTACAAAACACAAGAGATCCAAGAGGGATATTGTCGCCCACCACTGTACCATCTTCATTAGTTCTTCGTCAGTTTGATATTTTTCTTATCTGTTTGATCGGGTCATGTTAACAGTAAATGCACTTTGAGGTAAAAAAAAAATATCTAAACTTCATACCGCTGTGTATAAAAGACAACCTTAATAATAAGTTTGTCTTTTCACATATTTACTAGTACAGTACTTAATGTGAAAGAAATAGAACTAATTATCATTGCAATATGAGAAAGATCTGTTAGTTTCTTCCTTCGGCCATCTTGTTTTTATGATCACTCTCAAAATAAACCATGCACAACTATAGGATGAAAAGGAACCTAGATATCAAATTTCAGAAAGATCCCTCCAGTACTTCCTGAGAAATAGCACTAACAAACCTTCAATGCCAAAATCCAAGATGGCCACCTGTCAACCGTTTTGTCTATCTAATCTCAAAAGTAAACACTCACAATAAAGGACCATTGGAAACCTACATAACCAATCTGAAGAAGACCCCTCCTCTACTTCCTGAATAATAGTGATACATGTAACAAACCTATGTCTAAATCCAAGATGGCCATCTGTCCGCCATTTTGTTTATCCAATCAGTCTCAAAAGTAAACACTCACAATTAAGGACCAAAGGAAACCTATACATCAAATTAGAGAAGAATCCCTCCAGTGGTTCCCGAGATATAGTGATAACAAAACCTTCACTGTCAAAATACAAGACGACTGCCTGTCGGCCGTTTTATTCATCAGATTTGTCTCAAAACATGCACAACTAGGGACCAAGGGGAACCTTCATATGAAATATGAGATAGATCCCTTCAGGACTTTGTGAGAAATATTGATAACAAGAATTGTTCAAGGACAGATGGATGGCAGATGGACGACTGGTGATGGACCATGGACAAAGGGTGATTTGTATAGCCCTCCATCAGATGATGGTGGTCTAAAAGTGTGCAATATATGCAATTGATTTCAGTAACACTTAAATGTTGTCATTTCAAATTATCTTACATTTTTAGTCTGGATCAGAAGGAAGACCTACAGCATATGACATTAAGTGCTGTAAAGTTTGGGTTAAATTCTAAGCAGGATCGGTGAAGGTGTAAAGAAGGTGGGAGACATGGATAAAAGGTCATGGTACCAGAAAACATACATGTTACATGACGTGGCTGAATCACAGTTGAACAAGCAAATAATTAAACGCTGATCTATTGTTTCCAAGAAGATAAGTTTCCTATAATTTTTTTATTTTTTTTTGGGGGAGGGGGGTCGATCTTGTATACTTTGTGACTGAACTAGTACTGCAGACCTGTATGAATATTATGACTACAGGCCACTGCATTATTGTGTTTTGTCTGTTACACCCCAAAGTGTAATTCTATAGAGTGGCTGTAATTGCATTCATGTTTCTACATTTTCCAAGGCCCTGCCTTTCTGTACCTCCACTCCCAACCCCCTCACCAAGGGGGCCAATCCCTCTATTTATGAAATAGTTAGTCCCCTATTCCCAACAATGCTCCAGACCATATTCTGAGCCATTCAGGACCTTTAGCATTCTAAAGGAAAACTGAACAGATAAATTGGTAATGAACAGGCGACAGACAGAGAAATGATGTGCTATAGCATAAGCTAACATATCCTTTGAACCAGGTAAGCTAAATTTAGGAAATTCTTGATGTTAAACAAGAGGCTCATGGCCCTTAACGGTCACCTGAGTTATGTAAAAACTGATGTTATCGATGTTGCCAAATGAAAAGGAAATCATTTTGTAACAAACATAACTTGAACTTAATGTAATGCAAAAGTAGTGTGAAAGATCTGGGTAGTATATGGACCATGTACAAATAGTGGTTCTGTCAGTCAGCTGAATTTTGGTAAAGCACCTTAAGACCCTTCCATCTATGAAGAGTATTTGATTCTACCATATCTGGATCTTGAGAAGAAGATTTTTGAAATTTTAGTCAATTTTACCCTTTTTGGCCCCGCCCCTCAGGCCCCCGTCAAGTCTTTTCTGAACATCACAAACTTACCAAATCCAAAATGGAGTCCCCCAATGATGCCCTGTACAGTGGCAGACATTCCGGGTGGAGAGATGATGCTGGCATAGGATGTGGAGGTAGCCCACATCAGGCCAAACGTGATGGAGTGGAGGACTTCTACAGGCAGTACATACCAGGCATTGGTCAGTAATGAGTAGAAAAAGAAACGTAACGCATACGCACCGAACACAATGTATAAACAGAACAGATGTCCTATTCTTTTGATGATGTATCCCGATAAAAACAGGACGGGGGTTTCCACGAAACAGGAAACAAGTAGACAAAGGCCAGGTATTAATGTGATGTAACCATCCACACCTGACAGGTACCAGTATAGAAATGTCTCAATCACTCCAGTTAACAGTCCAAAGTACAGCACCACTCCCAAAAATATCATAACCTTAGCGTAACGGAACAGCTTACATACATCCGAGAAACTACTACTGCACGAAACGTCTTCCGACAAGGATATCCGCAAGACACTGACGCCTGTGAGTAGGAACAACACTAAAAATAGGTAGAAAGAAGCAGTAAAATCGGCTTTAGCTGGATCTGTACTCATGAACTCCATTAAGAATGATGAGGTAATGCTAAACAATGCAAATCCTAGTGTCCCCCAAAGTCTCTGTTTACCATACTGATTTCTCTGGTCGCCAAGAATATCATAAGTCATAGCGTCTCCTATACTTATAATGGGGGCAAAGAAAATATTTCCAAACAAGAAAAAAACAAAGAACAACGCTATAGTTAGATCTGCATTCTGCCATTCCTTCAATTCACAAGTCTTGTTTTTGGACCCGAAACACTTCATGCTGCAAGTCATCTCCACGTCTCTGTCACACAACATCTGCCAATAAGGCTTCTCCTGGTACGCGACAGATTTGATATCAAAGTCACGACAAACTAGGTCCCCGACTATCTGTTGGTCCTGTACTACTTCACGGCTGATGATGTTAGAAATGTTTCTAAGCGAAAATTCTAAATCTGGTTCTTTATCAAGACTGACAGATATATCATAACAGTGTTTGTTTAATTTGTCTACTTGATTTGTGAAACAGGCTTTAGTTTGAAATGTGTCCCCTGTCTTATAATGGCAAGAAAAACTGCAAGATGAATCGCCACTAGCCCCCTGACTGTCACCAACTTGTAAGTATAAACCAGTGTCATTGGAGTTTTTTAAGCCTACAACACTCAATGACTTTTCTTGAACGATCCCTTTTGATAAATTAGCATAGGCATCAAAGCTCAGAGGGCATGTGAGAGAATTTGTTCTGTTAACATGGTAACAATCGCGTATATAAGAGCTGTACTGTCCGCAGTGTATGTCTGTCTTTACATCAATGTACCCTGATTGGCTGTGAGGCACATAAAGGAGAAGTAGGTAGAAGATGCCAGTCAGGACACAACATGTTATCAGCACTAACTTGTGCTTTTTCCAACGGTCTGAAATGTATCCAAAGATTGGTCGAGTAAAGAATCCGATGAATGGCATCACTCCATATATGAATCCTGTTTGAGATGTCGTCAGGCCAATTTGTTTCATGTACAGGGCGATGAATGGTAGCAGAACTCCCACACCTGTTATAAACAGAGACAGTCAGGTTTTAGAACAGTGTCTATAACCATGCAGGGTAAGGACAAAGCACTGGTCCTTTTGGCCGTTGTTTTTGAAAAAGTATATTGGTCCAAAAATCTATATAATTTATTTGTTCATTTCAACAATAAGCCTTTATGGAATTGCCGTTCTTTTACACACACACAAATCTAGTTTGCCTGTCAATTGTTTATTTGGTCGATTGTATTTAAACATTATGCAGTGAATTTCAGGGTTTTTTGAATTTTGTCATGCTATTTTCACTTACATATACGTACACGCAAAGACAAATTCAACTGGCATATTATGTGTGTCTTTGAGCTTGGAATTATTTTGCCTTAATTGTACATGTATTTATTAATATACAAATGTAGTATTTCTTTATATTTCTCTTTCCATGAAACTGAGAAAAAATTAAGTTTCAACTAACAGAAATGTTTAATGTTACCCAAATAAACTTAGAATTCTATGCATTTTACACCATTTTCTGTTAGAAAAGTTTTTCATAAGACGCTGACATCATCTGCTTATACATCCAGGAAGACAGTCAACACTTACCTGCTTTCAGACTCAGAAATAGAGACAAAAGTTTTCTGCTTTAAAATGCAGAAAGAGCGAAACAAATATCTTCAGCTTTAAATTTGCTGAAAGAGAGACCAACTCACCTGTGGACTACTCTAGGTCTCAGGATTAATGAAATGATGATGATGTCATCTGCAGTCTACACTATACCTTTTGGTGCAAGAAGAGTCTACAACCACATGCTTTAAAGATAAGGAAGGTTGTCAATACTCTCCTTCTCAAGTCACAGGAAGAGAGACAAAACCCCTCACAAGAGACATCACTCTCTTACCATTGGGATAAGAAAGATAACACTCAGATGCTACACGGATCATGAAGAATGTCCCTTCTTACCTGCTTAAAGTCGAGTACGCACTCACCTGCTTTAAGGTCTATGAAAAACAGGCAACACTCACCTGCTAAACTGAGGAAAAAGAATGCCTTGATTGGGAGAAGGCCCATGTTTATAGTATTCCATTTAACTTTTGATTTTTTGTCTTCCATTGCTGTCGCCTAGAGTTAGTTATAGACCATATATCCGAGTCCAATGTAATAGCATGTACCTAGTAAAGAAACAAAAGGAGAAAATGAGTTGATACTACATGTTTATATATTGACTTTCAATTGACTTCCTTAGAATATGTTGTATATTGCATTAGGTTGTAAAAATTATACCAAGACCATGCTTTTAGCCGCAAAACTGTAAATGCTTTATCACCATTTGAGCTATCTGGACATTTGGTTTCACTTTGACCTCATTTTTTCACAGTCTTCTTATACACCTAGGCCTTTTTGATAAAAACAGTTATATCAAATTTCAATTGATTTCTCACAAAAAGCAGAATTCTGTTTTTCACACAACATATATATATAAAAGTTTCCAAGTGTGTTTTTTGTGTGTATGGAATACATAACGAAGATGAGAAAAAATATAAAGTTATATAACCTAGGCTGGCACTTTGACTTAAGCTTCTATTCCAGTAATTCCACCATAATGTGTTTTGAAATTTTCGACAATATGTGTGATAATACAATTTGAGTTTTACTGGCAATGCAAAGGATGGCATTTTAACTAGGCCACTTGATCTCAATCAGAATCATGTTATATTTAACCAGGTAGCACAATTGATAGGGCATCTGTCTAGATTTTGGAGGGTCCCAGGTTCGAACCCAAGTCTAGCCATGCATTTTTCCATCTCCTGTTACAGTGGTGCCTGTGACCAACCCTTGTTTCAATTGTTTCAAGCATTTGGTGTACGCTTGGCAAGAGGATACCCAAACCTGGGTTGTAAATAGTTGTGTCTTGAGGGCACAAAGACTTAGGACAAGAGTACCGCGGTGCTGAACAATATACTCTCGTCGAATACCATATAGTGTTATATACTTTCTTACATTGAAATAAGATCTGCATCATTCTAAGAGTGGTTAGCTGACATGCTGTAAAAAATGTAGGAGAAAATCTCCGGACAAAAACTCAAATCCTGAAATGAACAAAGGGCAATATTTTTTGGAAAAATAGTCAAATCAAAATTCTTTTAAGAAAGACACAACTTCATATTATGATTATAATGTATACCAAGTTTCAAAGAGATCCGCTGAAAAATGTTGGAGGAGATTGCCAGACAAAAAACAAATACTGAAATAAACAAAGGGCAATAACTTTTGCAAAAATTGTTGAATCAAAATTCTTTTCAAGGAAACACAACAACATATCATGGTTATAAGAAATCCGTTAAAAAAATGTAGGAAGAGATCTCCGGACAAAAATCAAATACTGTTATGAACAAAGGGCAATAACTTTTGATAAAATTGTTGAATCAAAATTCTTTTAAGGGAGACACAACTGCATATTATGATCATAATGTATACCAAGTTTCAAAGTGATTGGTTGAAAAATGTAAGAGGAGATTGCTGGACAAACAAAAGTTTAGGGCGGACGGACAGACAGACAACCCCATACCATAATACTTCCATCAAATTTGACGGGCGTATAAAAAGGAGGGAGGAATGTAGCGGAACAAGACCAGGAAGAACGTGTGTCTAACGTTAGTGCAGGCAAAATTGTCACATTAGTAAGGGTTTCAGTTATAATTCCTACAAATATGCATGTATCAAAATGCCAACGAGCATCAGTACAGAAGATTTGACTGAAATGCCTATAAATAAACATTGTTGTAAACACACCTAAATGACGTCACACAACAACATTTGTGACGTAATCAGACCTTCTATGGTTTCGTCACCTTCAAACATTTTACTTATTTGCAAGTCATGCAAGTGTTTAAATGTAAAATTTTGTATGTTTATGTTACACATGTCATACTGATACGAACAGATTCAAATATGTGTGTGTATATATAACAATGATGTACATTGAAATAAATGTTTTTTCTTAGTTATGATAGTTAATTTTTTGGTAACTTGAAGAAACAGATTAATGCTGTTTGAGTAACATGGCTAGCTGAGATGAGATCAATTTACATGCATCGCAAAGAGGACTCAGTCCTGAACTTGAACTTGATCGTCAACGAGAAACAACTGACAAATTAAAACAATTTTGTTAATCTTGTCAAAATCTTTGAAGGCTTTTAACAGTGTTGATGTCTATGGTGATGTTATTTATGTCACATCTAATATATTATTATGTCATATGGCAATTTCGTCATGTCGAATTAGGGTGCATTGCGAGTTAGCCTGCACTTACAATTTAGAGTTTGGAGGTTCCCAGTTTCGAATCCCGGTGTGGCCATGCATTCCCCCCCCCCTCCCCCATTTGCTGACCACAGAGTAATTTTGGTTATAGTAATTTTACATGTTTTTAGGATTTATATCGAGTTTTGGTAAAAATGATACTCTCAATGATTATATTATACAAGAAGGTTGGAAGGCTCTTGATGTCATCAAGTCAACCCTTCCTCTAATTTTCACAGTCATCGAGCCACTGTTTGTATATAAATGAGGTTGATATCGGCCTCATGCCGAAACATGCAGTGCTGGTTGGCTGGTAATTTTGGCGAAAAAATGGCTGCGCTTCCAGCCAATCACATCACAGGTCTTGGCACATGGCTGACGTCAACCTTTAAAATGTATAAACAAAAAGTGGCTTATGATGACTGCGAAAAACATTTAAACTTTGAAATTGTGGCTTTTTGGGGGGGAAACATAGATCATGTCCGCTGATCATGAAGGAGATTACATTTTACGTGCATAATAGGTGGGTTTTAATTAAAATAATATCGATCTTTTAAACAGTACTAAGAATTTTTGCGAACATCAACTTAAGAAATGTGGTTTCTGTTGCAAGAAAGTTAGATTGGTTCGACTTTTTGACATCCGAGAGCTTTTCACCCTTCTCGTATATATATAATCAATATGGGCGGCAGCACCATTTACCCCAAAACACACCAAAAGACCCAAAAAACATTAAATGTACATAGATATTTATATTTCTGCTACCTGACATTATGTAACATGTATTATATAGTTATAGTGACGAAAGGAATATTAACTATACGTATTTGAGTTACTTCCCCTGCAAACAAGTTTACCGTTTGCCTATTCACAGAAGATCGATATTTGTTATATAAAATGGTATTTTTCTCACTCTTTCCACATTATTTGACATTAAAATAAGGTAGCCTATGTTTATTTTTTATGTGATAAGTGTATTTGCTCTAAAGAGGATATGTTTGAAGTGATAAATTCGTTCTTGTTTTTTTAAGGTTCTGATTATTTCAATCTATTTTGCATTTGCAGAAAATTAGGTTACTGCATTATAATATTTACTGAATATTATTTAAGTGTCTTCTGTGGGTTTTTTGTGGTCTTATCTGGATGTTTTAAGGTGTTTTTGGTGTTTTTTTGGGGGTCTTTTGGGGTAATTGTGCCACTCCAATATTGGTGTTCTCAGGTCCCTGTGCTCCTGACAAGTCCCGTTACATAATTAAAATGAGATGGATGTCTTCTACTTCTACTATTACGCGGCCACCATCAATAAACTGATTATTCTGCCTCTTTTGGATGAGCATGTAAATAATTTATAAGGATAAAAGAGAGAATTTTGCTAAATATGACAAATGTTAGTTCAGTTCCAGACGCTTAGAGATTATTGGGATGACCCCTCCATAAACCCGAATTAAGGGGTCAGCTTGGCCCTATCTCATTCTTACCTTACTAACAACCAGAGTTCTTGCCTTACACTACCTAGAAGCCTAACGTTAGCCCTACGGGTAGTGAGATACCGTATAATTAGGTTATCTAAGTCCGTGCAGTACACAGTCGAGGCCAATGTTGCAACGTGTCCATGGGTTCATAGCCTGTTCTGTTTTTATCATTTTACACAGTAGGGTCTTCTGCTTGTTGGTTTATGATGCTAGACTCCAGTTATAATGTAAGACAAGTAATATAAAAGCTAAGAGCCACGCTTGGACTGATGGTATTTCGGTGAACCTCCCCCGTCGTTGCGGTTTCCGGTTAAACCGAACAAGCTAGCTATAACGTTAGAATGTGAGTAAAAAGTTAGATAGATGAATTAGCAGCTATCACATTTCAGTATCCAAATAAAGTTCAGAAGTTCAAACAAACAGATATCATGTTTTAAATAACTGATTTAATAAGAAATATCGTGTATCATACAATAAGATCAGACCAGACCAAATATGGTAAGCAAGCCAACTCAGGAAAGTAGGCAAATGAAGTACTTTAATTTTTGACACCGAAAAAGGTGAAAAATAACATAACTAATTAATTTATGGGACCAAAAAGGAAACATTCGGACCCCCGTTTTTGTGGCTGTTTTGGAAAGAGAAATACACTTTCTTTTGATTTATTATAGACCCCCATACAGAAAAGGTTTTAATAGCAGAACTTTTTATATCATGAGTTAATCTGCAAAAAAAGAGGTGAAAAATGAGGAATTTTTTCATTAAAAAATAAGGGGTAGTAGTATTTTGAATCCCTTTTATGAGAAAAAAATAAAATTAAGAAATTTTACTTTCATAATTTAAAAGAAAAGACTATTTTTATCAATTCTGAAAACATTAAAACATATCTGATAACACACTTGGAAGATAGTGTATGCATTTGTTCTGCAAATGGTCAAAACTAAAAATAATCACCTAAAATCACATATTTTGTTATATTTGTATCAAGGCCGTTCATAGCAAAAACGGACACCTATTTGTTTTGCATTTTCTACTATACCATTTACTCCTTTTGAAGTTTAACCCAGGAAATTTGACTTCTCAGAGGTGTGCATCCTTAACATACATGTAAAAACTCGTATCTATATTGTTCATCTTAATTGACCTCGAATTATATAATTGTGGTTGAGTCAACAATTAACTCTCTGTGTGAAACTGCTCCATATGTTCTTACTGTCCTGAAGTTGAAACTGAATTTTCTGCGATCTAAATTACCATGGTTTATCTTTATTCTTTTGTGAATGACCGCGATTTCTTGATAAATTATCTTGAACAAAAAGTCCATCGCTGATTCTCTCATCAAATTCTCTCTTGCACAGGAGCAAATCCTTAACTTTTTCAGGTCCTAACACGCGCCCTTGTTAGTTTCAACTCACCCTAACGTATTTCCTGGTTTTATCTTATCGCGAAAAATACTAAAAATATTTGTTTTTAATGCCACCTCCCAGCATCAAATGCACTCAAACCTTTGAGTCCAATCCTTTATATATATGGAAGAAGAAGACAAATATATTGTTAATAATCTTAAATACATGAATGATGTCTCCTAGCATCCTTCGGTATTTTAACGTTGGTAGTTTTAGTATTCTGGGACGTTCACTACAGGATAAATCCTTTAATCCTGGCAGTAATGTTTTGTCTCTTTTTTTTTGTACCGACTCTAGAAGCTCAATTTCTTTAAGTATTTGGTGTGGATTCCAAACACACGCAGTGTATTCAAAGTGTGGTCTAAATAGGGTTTTAACTTAGTATAGTTGGTAGAGCATAGTTACATCTAAATAAATAAAAGACCTCCTGATGAGTCCAGCGGCTCCATTAGCCTTGTGTGCCTGTTGTTGTATATGACATTAGCCTTGTGTGCCTGTTGCTGTATATGACATTAGCCTTGTGAGCCTTTTGTTGTATATGACATTAGCCTTGTGTGCCTGTTGTTGTATATGACATGCAAAGTTCATATTTCAGTCCACGGTTTCTCCCAAGTCTTTTACAGACGGTATATTATACTTTCTAATTTCACGTGCTAATTTTCTGACCCTGTCATGGAATAGCTTCTTTATTATTTTCCTTTTATAGAAAGAAGTTTGCACTTGTGTGGATGAAACTAAAGTAACCATATACTGGACCATTTCTGAAGAGCATCTAAATTATTTTTTTAGAATAGCTTGGTCCTCCTCGGTCTTCATTTCCCTATAATACAGATGAAGAAATAAATGACAAAAAGTACCGGTCCAAGGACACTGCCTTGTGGTATTCCGCTCAAAACTGGATGATGTACGTACCGTTGACAATTACTTTTTGTGTTCTTTCACTAAAAGGTGTTTTTCCATTTTGTTATTCGTTTACTTATCCCTTATGAGCAACGATTGCATCTTGTACCAGTTTTCCGATTGTTTTACCAACTACGCTTGTAAGGCAGACCTGGATCTGATTAGGAATCCTTTTTTAAAAATTGCGGTAATATTTGCATTTCCCCATGCAGATGGTAACTTTCCATTATTTAAACTTCTGTAAATCATGCTCGACGGATATATAGTTATACAGCTCTTTAAGGTGCCCGATATCTGGTCCAGGTGATTTTTTAGTATTAAGGTTTACCAACAACTTGTTAACGGTTTCCTCGGTACACACAATTTCCTCAGATCAAATTTCTTGCTAATTCCGGTAGTTCCCCCGCTTGCTATATGTCTGGTGCTAGAGTTGTGATGTCTATTTGTCTGGTGCTAGAGTTGTGATGTCTATTTGTCTGGGGCTAGAATTGGAATGTCTATATGTCTGGTGCTAGAATTGTGATGTCTTTATGTCTGATGCTAGAGTTGTGATGTCTGTATGTCTGGTGCTAGAGTTGTGATGTCTGTATGTCTGGTGCTAGAGGTGTGATGTCTGTATGTCTGGTGCTAGAGTTGTGATGTCTATATGTCTGGTGCTAGAGTTGTGATGTCTGTATGTCTGGTGCTAGAGTTGTGATGTCTGTATGTCTGGTGCTAGAGTTGTGATGTCTGTATGTCTGGTGCTAGAGTTGTGATGACTATATGTCTGGTGCTAGAGTTTTGTTGTCTATGTCTGGTGTTAGGTCCGCTAGGATTTATTCCCAAAAATGTTGCGTTTAAAAGCGAAAGGGGCCTTTGTAATTTTTCAGTTCAAGATGTTTCCAAGGATTGTCAAAACTTTTTTATTATCTCAAATTAAGTATCTAATTAACAAAGCCTGTATGACAGTCTCATGGAGACTGCATATATCAACAGTTGCTTAGCCAAAACAATGTTTCCTAATATCTAATATACAACATGTGTTTCCTTTAGTTTTTGTGTATGTCCTTTCGTTCTGGGTATTGAAGTATGATAAAAGAAGCCGACATTACCGTTGTTGTCATGAAAAGCGTAAGTGTTCATTATTGTATAGGTATATTAGTTGTATTGCCATTCGCTGTACCTTCTCAATTGTAATTCAATTTCTATAATTTGTAAAGGTTAGGAGGCAATTTGTAGGTACCATGCTAAACGGAGCTGTCGAGCCCGGAGGGAGAGTGAGAGTACTGATGAGAAGATAACTTAAATGTAGATAGTGTGATTTCCTGTTACAAAAATTCTAAAAAGGAAATACAGAAAAACAACATAACAAAACCCCCCAAATCTTTATGAAACAAGGAGGTCAATTCATATGTATGTTTTAGGATATGTAATACTTATTAGTAGTGTACGCGTGAAAGTATATTCAACGCGATTCGGTCACTTAATCTAATTCCACTCTGAAAAATTGCATTTATATTTAGTTTATATTATTAGAGGGTGTCGCACAACAATGCTCGACATGGCAATGCCATGCATTGTTGTTTGCCAGCTCTTGCCACGTGGAGGGCCCCTCTGTAAGAGCCACACAAACTTATAGCTTGCCGAAAATCACTTATTTCCAAACATTCCAATATAACTTCTGTCGGAAACATCCGTTATTTTAAAAAAAATCACTAGAAAGTCCATCCTACTGGCCTGCCGTCAGTCTATCAACAACGCTGCAGTGTAGATGGTATCCTCGTCGTTCTGGCCGTTACCTTCCCCTGGACGCGTTGGTACATGTATGTAGTCCTCTGGTGTCTGGTTATGTCAACCTCTAGTGTCTGGTTATGTCGTCCTCTGGTGTCTGGTTATGTCGTCCTCTGGTGTCTGGTTATGTCGACCTCTGGTTCCTGGGTATGTCGTCCTCTGGTGCCTGGGTACATGTATGTCGTCCTCTGGTACCTGGTTATGTCGACCTCTGGTGTCTGCTTATGTCGTCCTCTGGTGTCTGGTTATGTCGTCCTCTGGTGCTTGGGTATGTCGTCCTCTGGTACCTGGGTATGTCATCCTCTGGTGTCTGGTTATGTCGTCCTCTGGTGTCTGGGTATGTCGTCCTCTGGTGTCTGGTTATGTCGTCCTCTGGTACCTGGGTATGCCGACCTCTTGTGTCTGGTTATGTCGACCTCTGGTACCTGGGTATGTCATCCTCTGGTGTCTGGTTATGTCGTCCTCTGGTGTCTGGGTATGTCGTCCTCTGGTACCTTGTTATGTCGTCCTCTGGTACCTGGGTATGTCGACCTCTGGTGGCTGGTTATCTCGACCTCTTGTACCTGGGTATGTCGTCCTCTGGTGTCTGGTTATGTCGTCCTCTGGTACCTGGGTATGTCGTCCTCTGGTGTCTGGTTATGTCGTCCTCTGATGTCTGGTTATGTCGTCCTCTGGTACCTTGTTATGTCGTCCTCTGGTACCTGGGTATGTCGCCCTCAGGTACCTGGGTATGTCGACCTCTGGTGTCTGGTTATGTCGTCCTCTGGTGCCTGGATATGTCGTCCTCTGGTACCTGGGTATGTCGTCCTCAGGTACCTGGGTATGTCGCCCTCAGGTACCTGGGTAAAATATCAAAATATTGAAAAGGATAGGGCTAAGGATCGATCCCTGTGGGACCCCTTATACAGTTGCAGGTAGGTGTTTGCTTTTGAACCTAATTTGACACATTGCATTTTATTTTCCAAATAATTTGTAATGAGATTTTGAGCACTATTATTTACCTGATATGGTTTAAGTTTCATTAAAAGAAGATCATGTGGCAGAAAATCGAAAAGCTTTAGAATACAGACTACATATTTGTTTTAATCCAATGCCTTTTTCCAATCTTTAGTTATTTTTGATAAAGCAGTCTGGTATCCATACCAGGACGAAATGCAGACAAAAATGGATGAAAGTGAGAACTGAAAAAAATCTGAAAGTTGTGAGTTTAAGGCTCTCTCAATAAATGGATATAACAAAAAGTAGGGGAACTGGCTTGTTATTACTTTTACTGTATTTCTTGTGAAGTGGGATGACCTGAGCAATTTTCAATTAGTCTGGAAAAGTACCTGTGCTAATAGATTGATTTATCAATAATGTAATGCACTCAGTCGCAACTGGTTGGGCCAATTTAAGCAATTTCAGGGAAATTTTGTCACAACCAGTAGCCTTTTTAATTCCATTTTATTTTTATTTTTTTATGCATAAAAACAGAAAAAATTAGTGACCGTCATTACTTATTGCCTGTCAAAATCCAAGATGGCGGCCTGGCGGCCATTTCGTTAAACCGATCAGTCTCAAAAGTAAACATGCCCAACATGATCAAGGAAAACCTTCATATGACTGTTGAGAAAGATCACTCAAACGTTTTCTGAGAAAAACGATAACTTACTTTAACTGTCAAAATCCAAGATGGCCGCCTATCGGCCATTATATAATATAAACTTTATTTATTTTACAACAATTATGAAACAATTTTTTTTCAACTTAATATTAATCACTCTTGTTAGCGTATGGGGGTCTTAGTGTGGGAGGAAACCGGAGTATCCAGAGAAAACCTACGTGATCGGGCAGGTGACGCCCGCCTTTTCACGTCCGTTCAAGGGAATCGAACCCCGGCCGCCTTGGTGAAAGGCATGTGCGCTATCCACTGCACAACCCGACCACCCTCGGTCATTTGTTTACCTGATAAGACAAGCACAAGTACAGGCCAACGGGAACTTACAAATGAAACTTGTCCTGTTATAATGGCAAAGCAATAGCGATAGGGCACGGTGGTCAATAATATATCCCAAGACATTACTGAGCAGTGCCCGGCCTTTCCTCTTTTGACGGAATTTCTTTTTTTGTCCGGCTGTTGTTTAGTATCGCCTTTCGCGTCACCTTCCGGTTTGAACATGATCAAGATGAATTTCCAGTGGAATTATTTCGTGTTATATGTTGTATTCGTTGGTATATGTTTGATATGTTCCGTTTTATGCGACGAATCAGTAGATTCTGATAACAATGGACATTTCAAAATCGACGGGAAGGTTGATTTGGTTGCATACAGAGACAAGGATTGGATGATGCAAACCCGGGTGTTGGTTGATGGTGGAGATTACGTTGGATTGCTAAGGTGACGTGGATCTGTGGCGACGTTTTCGTGTTATCAGCAATATAAGGGGCAGTGTTGAGGATCCAGCAAGCTCCGCTAACATTCCTTTTAATACCCCCCCCCCTTCTCCGCCATCCCTGCTAAAACCCTGATCATGATCACCTACAACAGCATTTGCCTTTTGACTGATTCCTTCACCCTTGAAGTCTGATACATTTTGAACCAAATAGTATTGTACAATTTAAATTGCTTTGATTATAAATTTGTGAAAAGTTAAACATAAATTCTCTTTTCCTCATTACATGAGGATCAAAAGATTCGAAAGGGGCGACCAATGTGAGAACCCCACTGTAAAATCCGGGATCTACTCTTGTGACCACAATTTGGGGACACAATGGTGATCAAAGTAAATTCAACTGCATCTCTTGTTTCATTTGAGATCCTTGTGTATTGTATTTATTTTCTAATTGTGTTATTTTGGACCTCAAACATTACACACGACAACTAATACTGGTGTCTACACATGTTAACAGTGATTGGGACAAAACGTCTATGTGTGTGAATTAATATTGTACTCATCATGCTTCATTGCTCAATGAGACAATTCTCTTTTTCATTGGTCATCCTTTTTGTGTGAAATTTCTTACTAGTAGCCATAAGAACTAATGCATTGGTGACATTCTGTCAGTCAGGCTATGGTTATTGAATATATGTAGTAGGACGAGAAATAGTGATAAAGATAGTGCCATCGCTGGGGCTTGAACCTGCGACCCTTGGCTCTACAGCCCTTTTACACTATTCCCCCCTTTTTTCAAACACCAACCTAGATTCTTTGACTCCCAGCCAAGGGTTCTCCTGCCTTGAACGGGGAGGGTCAACGGCACCAATTTGTAGTAGGACGAGAACTAGTGATAAAGATAGTGCTGTTGCTGGGGCTCAAACCTGCTCTACCGCTGAGCTAAGGGGAAATTCCCTACAGCTGACGCTTGTAAGGCAACCTAATTAATCCACATCTTTTACATATGGTTGAGATAAGATGTCACTGTAATTTAAAACCTATGGTTTAATTTCTTGGCCACACACATTTACATACAGAATGTCAGTGAATGAGTTCAAAAATAAAAAATGTCAACCTGAGCCCTTAAATGATTGCCTTGCAGATAAGTTCAAATTTGTGATCTGTAGGAATCAACACATTAAATATGTACCTTTAAAGATGTTCTTTAGAACATTGTCATTCAAATGTCACATTTATATCAGGATCAAATTTCAAAATTAACATATAATTACCTTTGAATTATGAAATAATGTTTTCTATTTACCTGGTATTAATAAATGAAGCTGTTGTTCCACAATCATAATTTTTTTCTTGGAGGTAAGACTATTTTTTTCTGTTTCTGAAGAAAGTCTCTTTTACTGGGTAATGAAATAGTTCCAATAATCATGTTTGAGTCCTAATACTACTTGTACAATTTGTATAAATACAAATGTATTTGGGACATGTAGGTATACGTAAAATCCAATGGACAACTGGGCCCAGGAAAATGAATTCTCTATAAGTTTTACATTATTGTTTATATTTACAGGTCTGACGGTTCTTTTACTATCAATGGCGTTCCATCTGGTTCTTATGTGATTGAAGTTTCACATCCAAATTTCATATTTGACGCAGCAAGAGTTGACATTACATCAAAAGGCAAAATGAGGGCAAGAAAAGTCAACTACCTACAGCCATCCATTGTGAAAAATATACAATACCCATTGGAAATTAAAGAAAGAATGAAAGCAAATTATTTCCAAACAAGAGAACAGTGGCGATTTCAAGACTTCCTGATGAACCCAATGGTATGATGATCACGAGCATTAATATTTATATTGCTTAATGAAATACAATTCTCCCAACAGTACTACATATATAGCTCGTGTTTATCTGAGACATTGGATTAACAGATCATAGATGTTATTTGCATGTACATGTGTTTATTGTATATACCTGTTGTATTTTGAGATAAAGTATTTGGTGAAAAAGAAGGTCCCGTTAATTACTGCTAATATTTTACCATGTCTAGCTATCATCAGTTATTTTTAAAGTTTGTCTTTTTATAATTTGATATTATTTAGCTAGTGTAAGATAAAAACAATAAAAGACCATCATGATCACTCAATAGGGAACTAATTACTTCTGCATATACATTTGACATATTCTCATATTTATATATACCAAACAGAGTTACAAGTGAAGCTATGCATTCTCCTTAAGACTTTCATATGATAAAACCATATTGCCACATTAATTAGCTGTATCACATGCATAATGAAGTCATCTTATTGAACCATATAAGATTACTGTATATCATCATGGGTCAATCTAGACTTGTTTTACTTCCGTTCATGGGTACCAGTAGTTTTCCTACATAAGAAAACTTCACTGTTTTTTAAAATTCCCCCTTGTGCTTTAAATTAAATTCACCTATTTCAACAAGAATATAGCCATTTTTCTTCAAAATATTTCCCAAATATGATTTTTCTTTAAAATCTAACAGTTTAAAATGCATAATACTCATTACTGCATAAAAATATTCATTTTCTTCAAAGTTTAAACAAAAAAATCCAAAATTTAAGCTCAAAATTGTTTATAAATTGAAATATACTACAAACATGTATGTTGGAATTTTTTTTTTATCAGTATCTTTAATTTTGATGACACTGGAGCCTTGTATCAAAGTTTCAATTTCCCACAAATCTGAAAAAAGGGTCATGTAGTTATAGATTCCCCTAAATCCTAGATTGGTTCCTGATCCTGTATATTTGGTGATGGCAGTACAAACCAGGTATATAAGTTGCAGTTTTTATTTTGTATTTATTTTTTATACAAGTATGAATTATACTTTGGTCTGTGCTGTAACACAACAGTGATAGTATAAGAGATTTGTATAGTAAGACGAGTTGATACATCACTAATATTAATGTTACTTTTGTAGGTTCTCACTATGGTACTACCTCTGTTTTTAATCATGGTTTTACCAAAGATGATGAATGCAGCAGACCCAGGTGCACAAAAGGTAACTACATTGTAAACATGTATATTTATTTAAAAGATCAAAACATGTTCATGTAAGATTTACCAATTCTAGGTTTTTGTCATATTTATATAATGGACTTACAGTGATTTGCTAACATGTTGCGTAGCACTTAACATCAAGGTAATACACAGGTGACAGAATTCATTGATGAAATATTTTTGAAGTTAAATTTTCTTTTATTTACTATGTAAGACTGCTTCTCAGTTGTTTGTCAAGATCTATATTAAATCTGTCTTTACAGGAAATGCAGAGCCAGATGAAAGCCTTAAATGACAAGTCAGCAATGCCCGATATATCCGAGATGTTAGCAGGATGGCTTGGTGGCGGTGATAGCAAGAAAGCATCAAAAACGAAAGCAGTGAAACGAAGATCTTAACATTGACTTCAAACAAGACTTTATCATGAATATTGAATAGGATTCCAGTAATATCAAACTGCCTAAGTTTTTCGAAATTCCTTATAATTTACCACAGAATTTTGATCTCATTAGTCACAATGGGCTTATTCCTTTTTTTCCCAATTTGTTTTAAAGTGAATTATAAATGAAGTATTTGGCAAAACGTGTACAATGTACTATCATTTGGACTCCAGCTTTGGCTCTGATGTGTAGATAGTTCTTGATGACTATTTCAGATTTAAATGTCTGACAGGGAAAAGGAGTCCCTTTTTTGTGACCTACATCACCCACTCATTTTCTCCTTTCCTTTCATTTGAGAAAATCATTTTAGATATACTACTCATATATTGATGATACATGTGCTCCCCATTCCCCATCAACCCCTCATGTTTTCATACTAGAATAACCCTTAGAACCTTTCCTGTAGTACAAACATAGGAAATATTTTGCTATATCTAATGTATCTATACAGAAGTTAAAACAAATCTATTTGATCTGACAAACAACTGAAAAGAAAAGCTGTAACACCAATTAAGTTCAGTATACTTTTTGATCCTTTAACTGCTACCCATAGCAGACAGATGATTGGTCAGGACAACCCAAATGGAGGCTGACACAAAGTTAATCATATCCTCAGCATTGAGATTACTTCAGTTTAGCCAGATGTAAAATAAATGTAAAAATATCGAGGTTACTCCGATCTAGTGTGGCATTGACTTGTTTCTTAATATACAAATATTGCGTCAGGATAACTTCAGAATGACACGCGTCAATTTATAATGTGTCAAAAATGAATTTGATTATTAATTTATAAATTTTGTGTCTTTTATGTGATGTGATAATCGTTGATCATGGGTTAAATATATTTGTACAGTATATGTGGATTTCACAATAATTTATTCCATGTACATAAAAAATTTATGTTCTGTTTGCCAGGTCATTCAGTACCAATCTTCTGGTAATGCTTTGCTTACCCAACACACCTCTCTTGTGTTTTGTAACTCCTGATTGTAATATTACTTTGAGCTTTTAAAGTAGAGACAGGGTTGAGGGTGGGTAGTACTTTGCAACTTCTGCAAACTATCATGGTACCAAGGGTTACAATCAGTATATCTGTGCAGGGCGATGTCTACACTGTAACCTTGGTAAGTGAAGAGACAAACTGTTGGATCCTGTGTTATTGAACATTTAATAATTGTAAAGGGAACAAGGAGGAGCTTTAAACTTCAAACGGAATTTATTATTGTAGTTTCCAATTATATCATAACGGTGTATATTTCTCTATTTACTTTAATAACAGTACTAGGATATTTGTAAGAATTTGTAGAATGTGAGAAGTTGAATGGAAAGTAAATCAGGATAGTGATATTTGATAAAATAACTTATAATTTCAAATTTTTCATATTTGTTTGTATAAAGAAAAGCCATTATTTTGTCTTGTGTCTAATTTTTGTTGTATTGTTTTGGATGTAGTACTGGTCTGGGCTTCTACTCTCGCTCAGCTGTTGTGATATAGTTAAACAGATATCCTGTAAATTTGCTGCTATAAAAATAAAAAATCAGAAATGTACATCAAAATGGAAAAAGAAGTTCTGTGTAAAGATATGAAATACACAGATTGTCAGAAAAAGAGAACAAAAGACAAGGCGTTGCTGGTAATTTTGTTTTTGACATAAACCTTCATTTTTAAAGACTGAGTTTGGCTACATAAGAACCACAGGATTATTTTGACCAAATGAAAGAAAATTTAACAAACCAAATCTGTATCTAACTCCATAATTAAAATTGCCTCATCAGATTTGACCTACAACCCCTGAAATAGTATATGTAGGGGTAAAAAGCAAATTAACATTGACCGTGATTGTCTTCTTGGCTGTGATAGAAATGTTTGTAAATTCCAGGTCTATGTCAAATGCAAATACTTTGTGTTCAACAGTAGCAAACATTTTTTATTTTTTTTTATTATTCTTTAAAAACATTGTCTTGTGTGATTATTATTTGTAAATTATGAATACTAAATTGGAGTTATCTCCCCTTATTGTTACTCTTTGTACTCTGTCGCAGATAAAACCAGGGTCAATCGTGCAATAAAAACAATGTTTTTAAAGTTAAATGTACTCTAAATAAAATGTTATCTTTCTTCAGACTTTATCTTGTACTTAAGATTTGAAATGCCAAGTTAACAACACAAAAAATGTCAAACAGCATGTGTATTATAAAATCTCAACAAATTATTAGAGAAGTAAGAAGTTATCTGGGATGCATTTATCTATTAATCCAAAAAGACCTAAGGAATGTCTTCTTGATCTCCAGAAAGTGTTTTTAAAAATTGTGTTGTTGTTTTAAATGTAAATAAAAGAAGATTGACAAATATCGACTTAATTTAATTTGTGTACCGGTTCGAGTTTAATCAGGGAACTCTAAGTGTGTACCTGTGGGGAGGTATCATGTAGGAATGTACCTGTTAGAGTTTAATCGGGGAACTCTTAAGTGTGTACCTGTGGGGAGGTATCATGTAGGAATGTACCTGTGTGTGTACCTATGAGGAGGTATAATGTAGGAATGTACCTGTTAGAGTTTAATCAGGAAACTCTAAGTGTGTACCTGTTAGAGTTTAATCAGGGAACTCTGAGTGTGTACCTGTTAGAGTTTAATCAGGGAACTCTTAAGTGTGTACCTGTGGGGAGGTATCATGTAGGAATATACCTGTTAGAGTTTAATCAGGGAACTCTAAGGGTGTACCTGTGGGGAGGTATCATGTAGGAATATACCTGTTAGAGTTTAATCAGGGAACTCTAAGGGTGTACCTGTGGGGAGGTATCATGTAGGAATATACCTGTTAGAGTTTAATCAGGGAACTCTAAGGGTGTACCTGTGGGGAGGTATCATGTAGGAATGTATCTGTTAGAGTTTAATCAGGGAACTCTAAGTGAGTACCTGTGGGGAGGTAGCATGTAGGAATGTACCTGTTAGAGTTTAATCGGGGACTTCTTAAGTGTGTACCTGTTAGAGTTTAATCGGGGAACTCTTAGGTGTGTACCTGTGGGGAGGTATCATGTAGGAATATACCTGTTAGAGTTTAATCAGGGAACTCTAAGGGTGTACCTGTGGGGAGGTATCATGTAGGAATGTCTCTGTTAGAGTTTAATCAGGGAACTCTAAGTGTCTACCTGTGGGGAGGTATCATGTAGGAATGTATCTGTTAGAGTTAAATCAGGGAACTCTAAGTGTGTACCTGTGGGGAGGTATCATGTAGGAATGTATCGGTGAAGTTGGGTTGTTACATTTGGACATGTAAACTTAATTATTACTATGTCGTACTGTGTCCACCTGTCGGCAGTCTCTTCAGAACTGCTGAACGGAATTTTACCATTTGACCTGAATCAGACCGGGGCAGGGTTAAAAGGGATACCTTGGACATATTGCATACAGGAACTCTTGTCTGTAACTTTAGGTATGATGTTAACTATATTTTCCTGTAAAATATAAGTATTATCTGGAGGTAATACTTGATTCATAAATATACAGCAAGAAGGGGTGAATCCCCAGGGACTGAGAGGTAATTTTGCCACATTTCTTAAGTAATTCCCTCTTAAACGATGAGATGAGATATCGACTGCATTTGGTTATAAACACCCTTGGACAATAATGAATGTACAAACAGAAGGACTACCAAACTGAAGGGACTGATAAAAATGGCAATAACTATAAGAACATAAGATGAACTTAACAATGCTACCAGGATTGGAGCTTGGTCTGACCTCTTATATTGGAATTTACCCTCGGGGTCATAATTTGGGAACAGTCAAGATCCCCAAATTAAAACCGTACATGTATGAACAATTGCTGGTATGAAGAGACGAATACACATGCTACGCTGGGTCAAACCCCGCCCCTTGGGACTTGCTTCCTTTTTCATATATTCGAATTACAATTGTAGTTGAAATCCCTTCCGAAACCAGATATGCATTTGCCTTGGCATCAAGGGAGAAACACAATCATGCTACGTGTTTAAGAATTAGGTCAGGGTATTGTTCTTCCCCTGTGTCATAATGTCGAAACGGTTAAGATTACATCCTGTGATACGAATATATGCTACTAGGATTGGCCCCGGCTCCGTCCAGGTTCTGATTTCCAAAAATCATATGCAATTGTTGGACATCAAGATTCCAACCCTACAGTCATATTCAATGTATCGTATCGCTGGGAATGAAGATGTATGCTGCCATGATAAGCTTAACTCATTCACCCCTGAAATTTCATAATGAACTATACCAACCTTTGAATTGGAAGAGTTCAAATGTGTCTTCAGGGGTGAATGAGTTAAAGGATCGGTTCCACTTCTGAGGACATGGTCATTTAATTACAAGATGAAAACGGTTAGATTCCAAACTTATGACCATATATACAAATTGCTGTGCATAATATGACGAACACAACCATACTATTGGGATTTGCTACGAAGTTTTGACCTGCCCTCGGGACTTAACCCTGTGTAATATGGAACAAGATGAGATCCCCACTAAAAACATACAATTTCTAGGCAAGTAAACAGACAAATACTTTCATAATAGAATGAAAATATTTTGTCATTATTGCTATCTAACTATCCTGGTGATTATAACACACCATATGGGTTTATTCCCCCCCCCCCCCCCCCCCCCCCCCTCCCCGACTTCTGGACAACCAGGGAGTATGCTTGTCATGCTATCTGACATGTGGCGGGGGTAAAGGGCTGTAGTTTACAATACGACCAATACTGGCCTAGTGTTAGTGTTCACAAGGGTAAAATCAAATTCTTTCAGCCTACAGTAAGGTTATTTGGCCCGTAGTTTACTTCTATTGAACAATGTGGCTACTGGTCATGGATTTCCTGCAAATTAATCCACCTGGCGTCAGCATGATGTGTCTGTATATTGAATGTCCTAATTATTTACCTACAAGGGCCCGTATTCATGAAACCATTCTCATGCCCAAGCAAGGGTTCTGTGATCAAAGCTACTGTCTTGTCGATGGCTTATAATCATATTACACGACCGGTCTAGTTTCAACTTCGAAAATGGTATTCAGCCCTAAGACGCTCCCAAATTTAGACGCTCCCCAATTCTATCATATCATTGACAAAATGTATTTTTTCATAAAATTTTCACTGGAATAAGAAATTGAGCTTGAGCACAGAAAGTTATTCTGAACATGAGAACAATTTCATGAATATGGGCCCAGGTTACGCCAAGGTGTGTGTTCCTATGTACGGAATAAGTATAGTTACCTACCAGGTTATGACATGGTGTGTGTACCTATGTACGGAATAAGTATAGTTACCTACCAGGTTATGACACGGTGTGAGTACCCATGTACGGAATAAGTATAGTTACCTACCAGGTTAAGACATGGTGTGTGTACCTATGTATAGAATAAGTATAGTCACCTACCAGGTTACGACATGGTGTGTGTACCTATGTACGGAATAAGTATAGTTACCTACCAGGTTACGACACGGTGTGTGTACATATATACGGAATAAGTATAGTTACCTACCAGGTTACGACACGGTGTGTGTACCTATGTATGGAATATGTATAGTCACCTACCAGGTTACGACATGGTGTGTGTACCTATGTACGGAATATGGACGGAATATGTATAGTTACCTACCAAGTTACGACACAGTGTGTGTACCTATGGATGGAATATGTATAGTTACCTACCAAGTTACGACACGGTGTGTATACCCATGTACGGAATAAGTATAGTTACCTACCAACGTACGACACGGTGTGTATCCCTATGTACGGAATATGTATAGTTCCATAACAGGTTACGACACGGTGTGTGCTCCTACGCACAGAATATGTATAGTTACCTCCCAGGTTACGACACAGTATGTATACCTATGTACGGAATAAGGAGAGTTGCCTACCAGGTCACAACACGGTGTGTGTATCTATGTACGGGAAAAGTATAGTTACCTACCAGGTTAAGACATGGTGTGTGTACCGATGTACGGAATATGGACGGAATATGTATAGTTACCTACCAAGGTACGACACGGTGTGTGTTCCTATGTACGGAAGACACGGTGTGTGTATCTATGTACGGAATAAGTAGAGTTGCCTACCAGGTTACAACACGGTGTGTGTATCTATGTACGGGATAAGTATAGTTACCTACCAGGTTACGACACGGTGTGTGTACCTATGTATGGAATAAGTATAGTTACCTACCAGGTAACGACATGGTGTGTGTACCTATGTACGGAATAAGTATAGTTACCTACCAGGTTACGACACGGTGTGTGTACCTATGTACGGAATAAAGATGCCAGCCATTGGTCGTTCTGTGTTGCACGTGTTCTTGTCCTTTGGTCCTGTTTGCAATTATCCATCGTGTATCCCCTGTACTCTAATACTAAACCCTTTGCCGTTATAGATATTCGTCTTCCGTGTAGTTCCTGGTTTTCTCCAATTTTTATGTTTGGTTTTACAGGAGGCTGCCTAGGACTATACACAGTACTGGCCGTGACCGTGCTACTCTATAACGTTTAGCTGTTACATCCATTGCACTGTGTCTCCACAAAGCTTGTCTCTTGATGTAATGTAAACGACGATTTGTAATGGTTCCATGCGAAAAATATAAAACACAGTCAATGAAAAACTCTATCAGACAATTATACCCAGTTCAAAGTAGGACAGTTACGTAATACCTCCATATATATATACAAGGTTTTTCTAAATGACGTGTTTCTATTATTACCGACGAATAATAAACTATATATATGGTTTAACTTATATCTATGCGCATGTTTATTTTAATTAACCAGACTTCCATTGAAGGCCTGTGTCTTATGTAGGTATGTCCTTGTCAATAGAAGCTCATTAACCCGTGAAGGGGGGTTTGCCGGTTCATTAGTTTATCACTGAATCGGAGTGACGGAAATAGAAGAAGTTTTAAAAACAGGGACTGTGAACGGATGCCTTGTACCACTGTCCCCATAATGGACGGTGGTGGACCTCTGGTACTGTTCCTGCTGTGTGTATTGGCCTTTGGTGAGGCGTCTGGGGAGTGGGGCACTCAGAACGAGGGGGAAGGGAAGCTGTACTCCTTGGAAGGAAAGGTCGAACTGTTGTCTACAAATGACTCGTCGTGGATGTCCCACACGCGGATTCTAGTAGACGGAGGCAAATATCAGGGATTCATAAGGTAAGTTAAAAGTCTTAATTCGGTGATAAAGAGAGTCTGATATTATAATATTTGTAATTCACACGCCATTCAGTTGGATTTGAAAACGAGTAAGTATATATATATATATTTACTTCAAGGTACAATACTCCTATTTTGTGTAGCATTAAATAAGTACAGGTCCCGTAGTGTTCGATCGTGTTCACATGGAATTTGCAGCACAAAAAAATGCACACATGTTCATTTATGTCGAAATACAAAGGTATACATACTAACATGATGCACGGGTATACATATGTATGTCGTAATATACAAGTGTTCAACTATGTCGCAATGAACCATGTATGTCGTTAAACACAAGTGTCCAAGAATATCGAAATACACATGCATTCACAGGTACTAGCCTCGTCTGTCACTACACCTGTGATAGGTGTATTGACAGACGAGGCTAGTACCTGTGATGTATCCATATATGTCGTGATACACAATGTAAGTCTTAAACTACGTCGTAGTATACAGATGTCCATATATATCATAATATACAAGTGTTCAACTATGTCGGAATGACGCAGTGAACACGCAGGTTGTTAATACACAGGTATCCCTAAATGCAAAATACACAAGTCTACGACTATGTCGTAATATACAAAGTCCATTGTATGTGATACTATACAAGTGTGCAATTAGGTCGTAATGCAACATGTGTAACGTAAAATTGTACCATGTTCCCATGTAACTCGAAAACTAGACATAAGCCCCTTTGGCGTATCCGGTTCAACCGGTTTGTCTTGAACCTGCAAATGATTATGCATACGTCCGAGCTTATTTCATAAACGAACAACTCTGGTCCAACCGGTTCAACCGTTTGGATAGCGATAAAACAGATTGCAACGTACTATGTATATCCTTTACAACAATGCACAGTGTTTATGTGTAAAGAGGACATGGGTCTCTGTAAGAACATTACAGTACATTTAAATTCACATTCGAGAGACATGTTTTTTTTTGTACTTGTTCATTCGTGCAGTTAGCACGAATATACCTTATCTAGCTAACCCCAGAGAACATGCGCACGAGTGTAAACAATCCTAGAGACCTTATCTAGCTAACCCAAGAGAACATGCGTACGAGTGTAAACAATCCTAGAGACCTTATCTAGCTACCCCTAGAGAACATGCTTACGAGTGTAAACAATCCTAGAGACCTTATCTAGCTAACCCCAGAGAAAATGCGCACGAGTGTAAACAATCCTAGAGTCCTTATCTAGCTAACCCCAGAGAACATTGGCACGAGTGTAAACAATCCTAGAGACCTTATCTAGCTAACCCCAGAGAACATGCGCACGAGTGTAAACAATCCTAGATACATTATCTATAGCTAACCCCAGAGAACATGCGTACGAGTGTAAACAATCCAGAGACCTTATCTAGCTAACCCCAGAGAACATGCGCACGAGAGTAAACAATCCTAGAGGCCTTATCTAGTCAACCGCAGAGAACATGCGTAGGAGTGTAAACAATCCAGGGACCTTATCTAGCTAACTCCAGAGAACATGCGTCCGAGTGTAAACAATCCTAGAGGCCTTATCTAGCTAACTCCAGAGAACATGCGTCCGAGTGTAAACAATCCTAGAGTCCTTATCAAGCTAACCCCAGAGAATATGCGTTCGAGTGTAAACAATCCAGGGACCTTATCTAGCTATCCCCAGAGAACATGCATACGAGTGTAAACAATCCAGAGACCTTATCTAGCTAACCCCAGAGAACATGCGTACGAGTGTAAACAATCCTAGAGACCTTTTCAGCTAACCCCAGAGAACATGCGTACTAGTGTAACCAATCCTAGAGTCCTTATCTAGCTAACCCCAGAGAACATGCGTACGAGTGTAAACAATCCCAGAGACCTTTTCAGCTAACCCCAGAGAACATGCGTACTAGTGTAACCAATCCTAGAGTCCTTATCTAGCTAACCCCAGATAACAAGCGTACGAGTGTAAACAATCCTAGAGCCCTTATCTAGCTAACCCCAGAGAACATGCGTACTAGTGTAACCAATCCTAGAGTCCTTATCTAGCTAACCCCAGAGAACATGCGTACGAGTGTAAACAATCCTAGAGACCTTATCTAGCTAACCCCAGATAACAAGCGTACGAGTGTAAACAATCCTAGAGACCTTATCTAGCTAACCCCAGAGAACATGCGTACGAGTGTAAACAATCCTAGAGACCTTACGTGCACACACAGTATAAACAATTCTGTCACTGTGACAATATCAGGTAGAAATCGACACATTAATTTATACCCAATTATTCTGTACAGTATTCCAATTACCTGGAGTACTGCTACATTTTGACGATATAGGGTGTAGAGCCGTTGACTTTATTAATATTCAAAATACATACACAATATGGTTTGTGTGAAAGGCTAGGAACATTATGTTTTCTGAGATAAAAGGTCTTTTAGACACAGTTTAGAGGTCAGAAAAGTTGGTCCCATGTTAGTATCTAGCTGTGACAAACCGGGGTTTGTAAAACACGTAATCTATGAAATGGAAAATCAAGTTTGGTTATGAAAAACTGGGCCTTGTAATAATGTATTTAATGAAAAAGGAAGTTAGGCTATAGAAACTCGGGGCTTGTAATAATGTATTCAATGAAAAACGAAGTTAGTCTATGTAAACCGTGGCTTGAAATGAAAAAACCAACACTCATAATAAAACGCGTTCAGCAGTTTTAAAAAGACGTTTGGTTATATAGTGTTAATATATGCAACAACAGGATCAGATTAAGCTAGAGACCAGGTTACATACGTGTATTAAAAAACAACAACGGATAGAATAGGGGGCTCTAGTAAACAGGTGTAATATAGGGGGCTCTAGTAA